TTTCTTATAGTGTTATTTTATAGAAGGAGTGGAAGATCCATCATGTTACATTCTTGAGAGAGTCTTTTGGACCTTCAAGCCATGTATTGAAGGATTCAACTATTGTAAGTCTATCATTCAAGTTAATGGGACATTCTTAATTGGAAGATATTATGAAACTTTATTAATAGCTACTGCACAAGATGGAAATCGAAATTTATTTCCATTAGCATTTGAAATGGTTGAAAGGGAAACAAAAGATGTTTTGATTTGGTTCTTCCAATTGTAGAAATAATATGTTACACCTTAACAAAAATTGTGTTATGAGGTACAACAATATTAGCAGCGTTACACACTCAAGAGGTTGGGTGAGATATAAACCAATTAGTATATTGCATTCGACATATAATTTCAAATTTTAACAAAAAATTTAACAATATCTAGTTAAAGAGACAAATAATTAATATGGGTAAATATTTACTTTATTTTTTATTTTCTTCATTAATAATTTTATTTAATAACTTTTTGGGTTATTTTATTTTTTCACCATATGAGATGAAACAACCACAACTTCTAGCTAAACTATCTGTTATGAGATTAGAGTTTCGACAAGCTGTTTTTTGGTTGGATCAAATTCTACTAGAAAAATGGACACAAGTACATGATGGAAGAAAAATATATGGACATATGATAACCAATTTAGCAAAGTGCATGAACTCTGTTTTAAAAGGAGCCTGAACCTTGCTAATATGTGTTGTGGTCAAAATCACCTTTAAAAGAATAAGATCGTGGTTTGTCGAGCATGACATGAAAGCAAAGACAATATTACGAGCAGGACATGCGTACCCAGAAGAGATTTTTTCCTTTCTCAAAGAAGACTAACAATGGGCTGGCATGTGCCATGTGCAAAGATATACTAGGAAAAATGATGAGTTTAAAGTCCAAGAATTGTCAAATCCACAACATGGTGGACGAACACAAAGGTATATAGTCAGATTGCATAACTAGTGGTGTGATTGTGGCAAGTTTCAAACTCTCCGACTATCTTGCTCACATATTATAGCTATATGTTTTACATGTCATTTGTAAATTGGTACATATGTTGATCAAGTATATAAGTTGGATCGGATTTTTAAAGTTTATGAGCATCAATTTCATCCAATACAAGATGAAGATTATTGATCTCCTTATACTGGTCCAAATTTTATTCCAGACCCAACTATGCGGCATGAACAATCGAGAAAAGTGTACCACGACACGCATTCACAACGAAATGGATCAATCAAATCCAAATAAGCAAAAAAAATGTTCATTTTGTCATACTGAGAATCATAGTCGTAATAATTAACCGCATGGACAATGATAATATAATATATTTCACTTTTGATATTAATATGATTTATCTCTTTTAATTATTATTATTATTATGGTTTTATTTTTTATTTATGAATTTATAAGCTTATGAAAAACAATTATTATAACATTATCGAAATATATAATATTATAAATATATAAAAAGATAAAAAAATATAATATTATTCTATAAATAAAATAAATAAATAAAAAATAAAGAATATAACTAATATCGGTTTCAATTAATAATTAAAAAAATTTATTTATTTCATATTATCAAGGACATTTTCATTAAAAAATAATAATTAAGAAAGTCGTCTCATGTTTAAACTTCCTTCTTTTAAATTTTTTTTATCTAAAATCTTGTTTTTTTCACAATCAATTAATCTCATATGAGATGACTTACCCATTTTTGTAAAAATTTTAAAATTTACCCGTATCCATAAATTTTAATTAAAATTACACCCAAAAGGTAAAAAAGCTATTGTTCTAAGGCCCTGTATGGATAAAAATTTCAGCATCATAAACTAAGATATTTTGTTTAGCTTTTAAAACTAAAAAAATTGAAAACTATTTTTGAAAATGATATCTTTTAATTAGTAAAATTAATCTAAAATCTAATTTATTTATATTCTAATCAGACTCAATTAAATTAGTCGATGGACCCAACTATCTAGCTGATGTCCAGTAAAAGCCCAATAAAGTTCAGAAGTGAATAAAAGATTCAAAATTTTGTAAAAAATTACTCAAATTTTTAGCCTGATTCTAATATATGCTACAAGAAAAACTTCTGAATATTGAATTAGTTATTAAAATAATTAAAGATTAAATTAGAATTTAAATTCAAAATAGTTAAAATCTTAATTATTAACTTAGATATTAATTTAATAACTAATTTAGAAAACTATTCAATGATAACAAAACATAATTTTAATACTAAAAATTTTCAATTTAAGATAATTTATAAATCAGGTTATATATTGACTAAATTTTTTTCTTCTAAATTAATTTTTATTTAATGTGTCTTGATGTCTTCAATAATTTATTTGTATAATTTTTTATGAAGTTTAAAAGTTATATATATATATATATATATATATGTATATATAAAAAATAAAATTTAATACTTAATTTTAATACATCATTAGCATGCGAAATCTCAAGAAATCAAGTCAAACATGTAAATAAAAACAGTTTATTTAACATCTGTCAAGAATGATATTCCTTTTTTTAATTATTAGTTTTTTAGAAAAAATATTTTTATTTATATATCAAATATACTATTATATTAATTATTTTTTTATCAATTATATATACCATTTTTTAATTATCTTTATTACAAAAAGAAGATAACAATCATCATACTATAAAAGATCAACAAATTCATCATAAATTGTAAAAAATAATTTTTCTTTTATTTATATAACCAAACCTCAAGGATTACCTATTAAGAAATAACGGAAGAATAATTAGATTCATTTAATGTGTTTTATCTCATACTGTATATAATTTTTTTTTTCAAAATTACCTGTAATTATATTTAATAAATTTGGAATTGTAATTAAATAAAGTTTTTGAAAGTTGAATTTTGAGTCAAGTGAACGTTTTTTTTTTAAACTTATAAAATGCATCTTATAAAGTAAAATAATGACTTTAATTTCTTCACTTTACATAAAAAAATAAAATTATAACTACTAACTTTTTTATAATCACAAAACTGTCCATATTTATATGCTATTACGTGTTTTATTAGTTTGTATTTTTTATTTTAAAAAATTAGCATAAACTTTTGAAATAATTATATTAACAGTTGATAATATTAAATAAAACACTTAACGTTGACTATAGCTCATAATCAAAGACAAATCTTTTTTTTAATTTTAGAATCAATTTTTTGTATCGAGTTAAAAGATATATATATATATATTAATAATAAATAAATGATTTAAAATTTCATCCTCTAAATTAAATTACAATGTCTTTTCATTCTAATAAAAATAATCATTAATTTAATTGGATTCATGTAGGCATTTAAATAATGTATTCTTAAAATTTAAGGACTCTTTAAATTTAATTCAATATATGATAGATATTGATATATAATGGATATCTAAATGCTATTAGGGTTTTTACTTACCATATGGTCAGGTTGTAAAAAGCCAAAAGGAGTAAAAATGAAATAATAGTTAATAAAAAGAAGTATTGATATGGAGTTTTCTTTATATAAAACATTTCAGGCTGAGAGTTCAAAGGATGTATATTAAAATTTCAGGTTAAGATTCAGTTCAAAGGATGTATATTAAAATTTCAGGTTAAGATTCAGTTCAAAGGATGTATTTTAACATTTCAGGTTAATATTCAGTTCAAATGATGAATTTTAATAAAAAAAAAAGGAACAAAGTCATTCTATTGCATTGAATTTCATTTTCTTTTGAGAGTATCAGATTATTTTTTTTCCCCATTTTATAACTAAATATTGAAATGGTAAAACAATAACATTTTTTCATTTAATTCCAAGCATTTTGTTTACACATTTCATAACACAGAGCGTCCAGATCCATGGCTTGGTTATATAATACCTCACCAGTTTCTTAATCCACCAGCCACACCTCATTTTCATTTTCTCTCAAGCCATATCAGGTTAGTTAAACCACGTTCTTCTGCTTCTTCTTCTTTATACCAATTCTTTTCTCTTCATATTTTAATTTGTTTGTGTTCATCAATATATCAGACTTAAACATTTCGATCCAAAGCATCATGCATTTCATAGAATCATTTTTTCCCCTCCTTTTACTATCTCCCACTGACCCTTCAACCAAGAAACTTTTGTTTGCATAAATCTACTTTTTCAATGTTATTTCAAATTCATGAAACCCAAGTCAATCCAGATTAAAGTTAATAGATTTGCTTACTAAAACAATATGTACTAATTGGTTAAAGTGTAATATATTTTAAAAAGTTTATTTTGGATGAGGAATTTTATTACAAGTTAAATATTGTTTGTCATTATGTTTTTTTATCACCTTTAATATAGTTTTTTTAAGTTTTGGTTCTTACTAATTTTTCTTTTCTTTTTATATATTTGTTTATACCGTACTTTACAAAGTGATGCAAATTATTTGGGTAGTCCTTTAGAGACAACACTATTTTTTTTATAAGAAATTAAAAAGTTTTAAAAAATATTAAAGATAATAACAAAATCCGAAATTCATCCAGAAGTAAAAACACATTTATAACATTTTATTATTAATTATCCTTGTACACAAAAATATTAATTACTTTTTTTCAAAAAGTTTATCTCTTTTTTACATTATTTAGTTTTATTGTTATATTTTATCTCTCTTTTAAAATATGCAGGATAAAAAATAAAAAAGAGTTCAAATATATTTAAGAAATCGAATTTACATACTAATTATTTATGTTTCATTCTTGAAATAGTTTTCGTATTATTTTCTTTACTCCAAGCAATTTTAATCGATTTTTAGTTTTTTTTTTAATTGGTTCAGTTTAAACACTCTATATAACATGATTTGAAGGAGGGGACAAACATGTGAGTGTGGAATATCATAACTCATTGTTCTTTTTCTGAGTTTAGGTATACATTTGTTGAAACCAACTATTTTAATGTTTTGTATCAACTTCCTTCAGATATTGTTTCAAAGAATACAATGGCGTCTTTCACTCGTTCTACACCTTCAATCGCTGAAAAGAAGAAGGTTCTCTTCATAATGGGTGCAACTGGCACGGGAAAAACCAAGCTTTCCTTTCCATCAATTTGGCCAAACAATTCCCCTCTGAAATCATCAACTCTGACAAAATTCAAGTCTACAAGGGCCTTGACATCATCACCAACAAGGTTTCCGAGTCTGAACGTTGTGGCATTCCCCATCACCTGCTAGGCATCATTGATGACCCTGATTATGACTTCACCATTGATGACTTTTGCAAGCATGTCCTTCTTGCTCTTGATACCATCATTGAAAATGGACACCTACCCATTATCGTGGGAGGCTCCAACACTTACCTCGCAGCCTTGCTGGAGGACCCTAACATTGCATTTCGTTCCAAATATGACTGTTTCTTCATCTGGGTTAATGTGTCTTTGCCTGTGTTGTTTCCGTATTTGGACAAAAGGGTGGACGAGATGGTTGATGCAGGAGTTGTGGATGAGATTCGAGAAGCTTATGTGGATGGAGCAGATTGCACTCGTGGGATCAGAAGAGCCATTGGGGTTCCTGAGCTGGGAGAGTATTTCCTTGTCGAGAAGGAAATCTACGACGAGGCTCTAAAGAAGAAGATGCTGCAACATGCTATTGTCAAAACCAAAGAGAACACTTGTAAGTTGGCTGAGAGGCAACTTTTGAAGATCCATAAGATGAACTATGATCTTGGATGGAGAATGAGCAAAATTGATTCCACAAAAGTGTTTGAGGCTGTTTTAAAAGGAGTGGATTATAAGCAATTGTATGAAGAGATTGTGCTGAAACCAAGCTTGGAGATGGTAGAAATATTTCTGCAGGAGACAACTTGGACATGGGGAAAGACACTTCACCTAAATGATGAAAATGTGACCATTTGTGCTTAAAGCATCATTGAAATTTGCCAAGAAAAATTTAAGGGGGCTAATAGAAAATAGTAAGGGAAAATATAAAAGAAAAATTAGATGTTATTGGAAGATGAATCCTGTTCTAATTGCTTTTATACCTTTCTCTCTCTTAGTAACCTACCCGCTCATATTGATGAGTGATATAATAAATGAAACAAGTTATTTTTTTACATGTACATTGCATCAATTCTCTTTTTCTTTTCTCTTTTTTAGTTTATATATTAATAATTCGATGAATAAAAATTTAATGAATAAATAATATACACATCACTCAATTATAAATGTCGCGATAAGTTAATTCATTTTTTTATAATAGTCTTACAAGTTATGATATTTTATTGGTGAAAAGTGTAACAACTTTCAAAGATAGTTAATGTCTATTAACTAATTCCTGTGTAATAAATTTAAGTTTTAATTATTTTCAAATGAAATACAATGAATATGTTCTCAGAGATAGTTTTAATGAAATACTAAATGAATAAAAAGTAATTATAATTATTCTTATTAAATTACTAAATAATTCATTTAAAACTTAATAAACATTTTAGTAGCCGGAACTCATATCTTAAAAAGTATTCATATATATACTCAATATATATGCTACAAACTAATCTTTCAAAATTTAAAATTGTAAGTGTATACCTCAGAGTACAAATTTGCAATCTACATTCGTTCAAACACTATCCCAAATATAATTAAAAAAAAGATTAAATTATTGGTTTATTAAATGTGATTAGAAATTTTTAATATAGCATTCTTGAAAATATAATAAAACAAATTACTTCTATGTTAAAGACAAATAAAATTACAGAAGTAATATATATATATATATATATATATATATATATATATAAAATTAAATAGTGTCAAATAAAAATTGAAAAATGATACAATTTAATTACGTAATGATTGAAATCGTAAAAGTTTTACTGTATAATTTTTTTTAAAACCAATTTCAATAATTAGTATTTTTAAACATTACTATTTTAAATAAATAGAAAAAAATTATTTCAAGAAATATTGAGTTATTTACTCTCATCTTCATTCTTTCTAATCTAAATGTTACTGTTAAATTGCTTATTAAAATAATTAATATTGAAGATAAAGAGTGACTTTTATTTTAATAGTCACCAAATTCAGTCATTACGAAAAATGAATTTTGAACATGAAATTAAGTTTCAAATGGAAATAGATAAAATCTATATATTTATGATAATTTAAGTTAAAAAAAAACAATGCATGAAAATTTAATATTAAAAATAAATGGAATTATTTTATTTCATTTTGAAGGAAATACAAAACTAATTTAATTTAAAAATTGAAAGAAAAAATGAGTAAAAAAAATGAAAAAAAAATACATACAAAATATGTTTATATTTTTTTTTTAGTGACTGATGAAGAAGTATGGAGATCAATTGTTAAACTTTAGTGTATCATGCTTACCCGCTTCACACCAACATTATTTATTTATTTATTTTATCAAGAAAAGTTACTTGACTACACCATGAAGTCAAGTAATATTTTTATTCAATTCGTTGTAATTTGTAATATCTTTATTATTTTATTCTTATATCGTTATTTTAATACAAGTTTTATCTTTGGTTGATAAAAATTTTAAGTTATTTAATAATTAAAATAATTATCTAGAAAAAACTCATGACATTTTATTTTGATCTTGATAATTTAAATAAGAATTAATTATCTATATTTATGATTCTCAAATATATAGGGCAAATTCAATAATAATATCAAATATATTTTTTAAATAAATGTCTTGAAAAATTTGTGTGATGGATATTATATTAATTTAAATTTAATGTTATTTTTCTTGAACATATATTTTTTTGTTTGCATAATTTATAAAATATTTACTGATATATATTTAAATTAAAAAATATATAAAAATACCTACTCCATATATAAAATGAAGATTACAAACTTATCCTAAATTACAACTTATTGGAATAGTTAAAATTTAATAGTGTTATCATATCTTTCTTCGTTTTTATATTTATATTTAATCATGAAATTTAGAGAAAAAGTAAGATTAGTTTTGTAATATTTTATTTTTATAATGGATAGACTAATATTGAGATTTTTAAGTTTAAAAAAATGGATTAATCAAACTAAAATTAGATTCAAGATGTTAAATTGTCCTATCATATTGTATAAATACCTAATTTTATATATTCGAGTATCTCTTATAAAATGAAATATCTTGTTGATTTATGTTTCTATTGTTTGGCTTGTGTGATTTATCTTTAAAATATTCATTCACTTTTTTGTGAGGGTGTTGTTAATATATTTTTAAAAGAGATTTTGACACTTAAATCAACTACTATATTATAATATAATAATATGCATGCGTATAATAATCAAGAGTATCTTATATTTTATAATTCTCTGTTTATAATATTTTTTTTATGAAATTTTACTTTTATCATCCTTGACACTATTTTATCTAGTAATCTTGTTTAGGTGTACTTAATATACACTTACAACTTAAATATAGATAATTTAAATATTTAACTTATGATTTTAACATCAAATTCCAAAATATTTTAAAATCTAACTATTCGATTAAGTAAGAAATTTAAGTATGTGGAACAAATTATTTTTCCGTAGGACATTGATTAATGGACAAATTATGAAATGAATGTTCTTTTATTTTATTGACAAAACAAACTATCTAATAATAAATAAGATGTGCTTATTAAAATAAAAAAGGTCTAGAATGCAATAAATAGGAGGTTTGGATATGATGTCAAGGTTCATGAAATAGAAAAGTTTCTTTTCATTATTTAATAAAGACCATTTATTACAGAAATATAAATAATATTTACCTCCACTATTTAACATTATAAACTTTTAAAAGACTATTCATTTGATAAGTAGAAATACAATTTTTCTCTATTACCTTACATTGACAATTTATTACGCTTCTTCAGTGTTTAGACTTTATTTTATTATTTTTCTCTTTTCATAAAGACTTCAAATATTTTTCACATAATTAAGTATAATAACACCATTATAACAACAAGAAAAAAAAATCTAAATATTTAATGTTATTGTATATCTACATTCTAGAAACTTGTTTTTTTTTTCCAATTTTTAGTTTAATTCGATTAACCATCAATCATTTACTATATATATATAATAATAATAATAATAATAATAATAATAATAATAATTATTATTATTATTATTATTTTTACAGTAATATACACTTATTTTTTCTCTTTATCACAACATTCATTTTGTTGAATATTTTTATTTATTTTATTTTTATATCTCCTTTTCTTTTATAACATGAAAAAAAGGACAAAACATATTTAGGAAATGCAATATATATATATATATATATATATATATATATATATATATATATTAATAATTTTAATAACTTTAATAAACTAGATAGATGAATAACAATAATTTTATACTTTCATTTATTTAACTTAACGTTGCCATTTATTTTAACACACTTCTTTTTGTAAAAAAACGAAGTTTCTCTGTAAAAAGTGTTTTGGACATGACACTTGGAGATCAAGGAAAGAGACACAAGGAAAAAAAGAAGTGAAATAATAAGTGATAATTAATGTGGTTATAAAAAATATTTAAATGAAGTGTTTATAATAAATACAAGTTCGGGTATATATATTTGTTATGGAAGCAGCTATTTTCAATTTTTTTCATATCAACTTTCTCTAGACATAATAAAGAAGGATATCATGGCCTCTTTCACTACTTGCCCTGCACCTTCACTCGTTGACGTGAAGAAAGTTCTCTTCATAATGGGTGCAACTGGCACGGGAAAAACCAAACTTTCCATCACTTTGGCCAAACAATTCCCCTCTGAAATCGTCAACGCTGACAAAATTCAAGTCTACAAGGGCCTTGACATCATCACCAACAAGGTTTCCGAGTCTGAACGTTGTGGCATTCCCCATCACCTGCTAGGCATCATTGATGACCCTGATTATGACTTCACCATTGATGACTTCTGCAAGCATGTCCTTCTTGCTCTTGATACCATCATTGAAAATGGACACCTACCCATTATCGTGGGGGGCTCCAACAATTACCTCTCAGCCTTGCTGGAGGACCCTAACATTGCATTTCGTTCCAAATATGACTGTTTCTTCATCTGGGTTGATGTGTCTTTGCCTGTGTTGTTTCCGTATTTGGACAAAAGGGTGGACGAAATGGTTGATGCAGGAGTTGTGGATGAGCTTCGTGAAGTTTATGCGGGTGGAGCAGATTGCACTCGTGGGATTAGAAGAGCCATTGGGGTTCCTGAGCTGGGAGAGTATTTCCTTGTCGAGAAGGAAATCGACGACGAGGCTCTAAAGAAGAAGATGCTGCAACATGCTATTGTCAAAACCAAAGAGAACACTTGTAAGTTGGCTGAGACGCAACTTCTCAAGATTCATAAGATGGACGATGGTCTTGGATGGAGAATGGCCAGAATTGATTCCACAAAAGTGTTTGAGGCCATTTTAAAAGGAGTGGATTACAAGCAACTGTACCAAGAGATTGTGTTCGAACCATGCATGGAGATGGTTACAGAATTTCTAGAGACAACTGAATTGAAAATGGTACCTAGTCAGGATGGTGAACAAGCCACAATTTGTGATTAACAAATCACTGATTTGGCTAAGGACCATGCTATTGGAGTTAATAATAAATAATAATACAAGAAAAAAATATAAAGGCAAAATTACATTTTACTAAAAGATAAATTATGCTGTAGTATTTTTGCTTTTTTAGTTTTTTCTTCTCCTGGCAAGTCCTGTATATATTCATGCTAATGAATAATGTATATTATAAATAAAATCAGTTATTTCACATATGCATTGTATGAATTCTTTTTAGTCTTATATTATTTTAGGCTATTAACTTTTTATAAACAAATATTCATGATTAAATAATCCATACGTACCAGAATGTGAAAGATTTTTACACAATCAATTATGTATATGTATATATATGTGTGTGAATAATATTAAAAGTCTTAACAGTGGTGATATTTTATTTGTTGAAAGTGTAAATTTTACATTGAAATATCATATATATATAAAATTCTTATTTAAGTATTCTTATGTTGTAATTACTTTTAAATTAAATATAGTAAAATTTTTCTTTTAAAGAAATTTATTAATACGAATAAAAATATATTTTATAATTAATATTATTGAACATATAAACACTAACATTTAATAATATACATTAAAGAAGTTATTTTAAATTGGCATTATGAATTCCTTTTAGCCATCTTATATATTATTATTATTTTGATGAAAAAAATATTTAGTGATTAAATAATATACATGACTTTTAACAATAGTCAATGTGTAGGGTGGGGGTGGGTAAGTCAATATAAATTTATAATAACTATATTAAAAGTCTTAACAATGAACTTTTATTAAAATAGTAATATGTATTATTTTTAAATTAAATATAACGAAGTGGTTCCCAATATACTTTAAAGAAAGTTACTAATATATTAAATGAATAAGAAATATTTTTAACTAATATTGAATATTTAAAAGCTAACCATTTAATGTTATAAATAAAACAAGTTAGCCGTATACGTTAAAAACATTTCTTTTTATTTTCTATATTCCCCTGTACTATATAATATAAGATATATTTTAGAAAAAAAAAAGATGATCCTTTTAATAAGATATTAAATATAGTTTTTATAAAATATTAAAATTTTATGCGTCTTTTATTGATGAATAATGAAATAATTTCAAAAATAATTAATAATAAAGGTAAATTTGATAGTATATTGGTAATATTGTTTTTAAAAAATCAATAAAAGTAATTATTTCTATTCATATGTGTATAATGTTTATTAGAAGTCTCTTATGCTTTATTATTATTTATTATAAATATAGCTTCACTTGGATTAAAAAGGTATTTAAATGCATTGAATTTTATTAATATTTTAATATTAGTCATAAAATATTATTCTCATAATCACAATGGACATAATTCTATGGTGTTAAAAAATCTTAGTCATTAATTAAGACATTTGAAGGAAACTCTTTAAATAAATAAAAAATTGATTATATTTGAAAAAAAAATGATTTTTTTATCTCTTAAAATAATTGTGGGGTATTAAGGATAAGAGTATTATTTTACGCAATTAATTTGATAAACAAATATTTAATATGAATAAATAATACATGCGTCACCCATAACCTAAAGCACTTTTACGGTATTTATCAATGTTAAATTCATATTTAAATAGGTTAAAGTTTTAATTACTTTCAGAAGAGAAAAGTTTTGGGTCGTATGTAAAGTATCTAGGGTATTTGAGATTGAATACAATGAATAAAACAAGAATAGATGAACACTCTAATTAGAAAGCGACGGATTATGCTTAAGTTCTTGAACAAGGAAACTAAAATATCTCAACATGCATAATTGAACCCATCATTGCATACTATAAATAAATACTTAATCATTTACTGATAAAAACATTCTAAATCTTTTATTAATCAATGCATTTAAAAAAATAGCATATTATATTTACCTATAAAATTAACTTATTATAACTTTTCCCATATACATCTACAATGTAGTGTGTACATTAAAAGGCGTAAATTCAGTTAAAAAGTCGAAACTCATTAATTGAAACAAGTTATAACTTAGTGATTTATAAGTATTTCTTGTACATCTATCATACTTAAACTTTGATTTATCACATTGCTTCAGACAAAAAAAAGTTTATATAAATAAATATGTTATGTGATAAATTTTATTTTAAAGATATAATTTTGTTTTTTTCAAAATATTTGAGAAACATACTCTAAAAATTAAAATATGCACTAAAAAAAATCAGTAATTACTAACGGATAATTACCGATGAATATGTAGTCGTCAAAAAATGAATGATTACCAACAAATTTAAAGTATTTGTGGAATTTGATCTTACGACGGTTATATCCATCAGTAAATGAACATTTAATTACCGACAGATATATTCGTCGATAAATGAACAATTAATTACCGACGAATATATTCGTCGATAAATTAACAATTAGTTACTGACGGATATGTAATCAGCAGAAAATGAGTAATTATCGACGAACTTAAAATATTTATGAAATTTGGTCTTATCAATGAATATATCTGTCAATAAATGAACAATTATCTATCGATAAATTAATAATTAGTTACTGACAGATAAATTCTCTTTCTCTCTCTGTCAATTGTGGTGTGTGTCTTTTTTCCCTCAATGCTCTCTCTTAATAATACCAAACCCTCTATCACTCTTTTTCTCTCTCTATAATCCTCTCTCTACCTTTTCGATTTTTCTCTCACTTTCTCCCTGCCCTCTTAGGTTATCGTCTATTCTATCCCTCTCTCGATTTCTATTAAACCATTTTTTTTCCAATTGACTTTAATTAATTGTGCAACTTTCAAGTTCTGTTTCGTGTGTCATTGGATAGGGACGACGGATTTATTTATTGGTAATTTGTCTTGCCAGTTTTTTTTTTATTTTGGATTTTAGGGTTTCGCTGTTTCGGATGGGAAAGGAGGTAACTTGAATGCGATTCCATGTGGTTTTAAAAATTCGATGTGGAATTTGGTGGATTGCTTGTTTCTTTGATTGAAAATTTTTTAGTGTGATTTTTTCGTGTTTTGGTGTTGTTTTTTTTTTGGTGTTATGAGTGTGGACCACTAGGGTTTACTATGTTCGGTGAAGGTGAACAAAATTAGAAGCTAAATTTGGTTTTTGGAGAAATTAGATGAAAGACCTTTTATGAAAGTTGAAGTGTATAATTTGATTTTAGATTTATGCTACACATTATTTATTTATTCACATAAATATTTATTCATAATTCTATCCAAAAAAGTGCTGCTACTGACAATGGAAATGAGCTAGTAGCTACTGTCTTGGATAATTTGTCTTTGGTTAGAATCAATTGGTCGTTGTCTTGATGATCCTGGAAACTATAAGACTAAGAGTTCATGAATCATGTGAATTCCTTATTTTTTTCTTTCGTAAAAGCATCAAGCAATTTGATATACTATGAATGTTTATTCTCTTAAGTTTGGTCACTTGCTTCTGTCCTTGTGTTACATTTGGATTGATAGTGTGTTACATTTGGATTGATAGTAGAAATAGTAGATGAAGGTAAACAAAGTAAGTTTTTAATAAACACTACATGCACGAGTAATATATATATTCAAAGTGTGACTCATAAATGTTACATCTTCTGTTATTTTTCTTTTTCTTTCATATATGTAGCTTGCACTTGTAATGGGGCTATTTATGGGATGCTACTAGTTCTAAGTGAGCTCACATGCTTGTACTCGTGCTACTAGATTTGAGTGGACTCGCATTGCTTAGTTCATTTCTGCTGTGAAACTTGTGCCCTATGCCAAGAGTATAAAGAACTTAAAAATCGTGGATTTGACTTGAACATACGTAATAACATCTTTAACTTGTGGCTAACAAATATACTGCACATCTCATCAACTTTAGGATCTCTACTGTCTCTGTCTTAATCTTATTTCTTCTTTTTATGCCTGTACTTCTTCTCAAAATTTGTTTTTAATGTATTTAGGGTAAGAATCTTTGTGAATTGTCAGACATCATATGGGTTTGCTGGCTAAATAATGCCTTTGAATATTTGTCCTATAAATGCAGTTTAGATACTATTATAATGAGCTTAATCTATTATAGGAATTTTCATTGCCACAAGCTGCATAGCCAATTTTAAGTACACTTTCATTGAATCTTATTGGAGGGATGCAAAGTTACATGTTTCTTTTCCTGACGGATTGACTTTTTTTTCCATGATTAGAACTAATCTATTGATCAAAACTGTCTTGATATAATTCATCCTCATTATCATGTTCTCATGGTATGGTTGGTCATTCAAACTCTTTGGCCCTATTGGCAAGAATCTTTCTTTATTTATCCTTTTTGTCAACTACTCTTACACATTAATTTCATTATAAATAGTTTGAACTATATATCATTTGTTTGAATTGAGGTTGTTTTAATTATGTGTGATTTCAATTGAGGTTATTTGTCTTATATTTAAGTTGAATTTGATCGAAAATAATTGAACTGAATTTGGTGTGTAATATTATGTTGAAAAAATGGTTTACTGAAAAAAATGAAATGGAATATAAAAGAAATTAGGATATTATCGACATATATTTTTGATGGATATATCTGTCGGTAATTACATATAATATTTTCCGACGGATATATCATAGGTAATTTACTTACAACACTTTCCGACGGATATATTCGTCAATAATTACATACAACACTTTTCAACGGATATATCCATCGGTAATTACCTATAACACTTTTCGATGGATATATCCGTCGGTAATTACCGACGAATTATTCAAATTCATCGATAATATTTACCAATAATTAAATTTCTGATAAATTCTTTTCCGTTGATAATATATATTTACCGATGAATTTTTGTTGTTATTGACGAATTTTATCTGTCAATAAATCCATTATTTCTTGTAACGACGATTTATTGATATTAAAACTCTTCCTACACCATAGAATATTCAAATGTTTCCTAAAAATCAAACTCTTGAAGAGGTTAGCCCAATTGTGTTGCAAAAAAGTTATTCTAGACAAGTGGATATTTTTATGACTAGGTACGTCTACATATGGAATTGTCCTGTATCATTTTGAGTATTTTGTGACTTTAATACTCATCAAACAATAACTTTAAAGAAGTATCCAGTATTGACTTGAATATACTTTCCTTATTTGTCATTTTTGGATAAAAAGCTAATCAATTTTTCAATTCATACATCTCATTTTATATCTACAATCTAAGACAATAACAATTAACAACAAAACTTTAATCACCCCATTCTTCTTGTCATCTTGTAGCTTGATTTTACTCTAATACTTAATCAAATGGTTGATCATGTTCCGAATTCCACCAACTCTAATATGTACATATTATAAACATAATGCACAAAGTAGCTTCATTAAAATTAAGGTTGCATAGACTTAACATATCTCAATCTTCAGACACACCGATATATCCCATTTTTATGCTTCAAAACAACATCCAACATCAAATAGGTTGAATTCTACCTTATCTCAACATGTTCAACATCATATATTCTTAAACAAAATTTCCAATCATTTTTATTTCAATAATTATAAATTCAAAATATAGACACAACAACGAATGAACATAGGTAATAGTTTTTTTTTTCTATGGTCAAGCTTAAAATATGATTGAACCACCACCCTATCAAACACGACTAAACAAAGTTAGCTGTGGCTTTTCCTACTTATTTACTTGCTTAAAATTCATTTGTCTGTAACTTCTAGTTATTATCAATTAAATGAAAAATACATATAACCTTGATTTTAAGGTGAAGTCAAGTATGACGAACTTTTTAACTTGTATCTTCATGGATTTGCATAATATTAAACAAATATCTATAATATATTTTTAGACAATTCTTTTGATTTAGAATATTTAAAGATTGTATAGCAATAGTTAATTTTTCAAAATAAAACCATTTTCTTTAAGTTTGAAACTAGTTCAATTAATAAATTCAAATCTATCTTTATCTTTTTAAGTTATTAGAGGATTTAATTCAAACTAAATTTAATTTATTTTTTCAATCGAAATCAAAATAAAATATCAAAATATGAGTGATTAAGTCAACTAACATTAAAAAAACATAATCAAATTATAAATATTAAATATACGAATATCAAATGAAGAAATAATTTGATAAACTAGACTCAATTTTAGTGTAAGAGAATCTTAACTACTAATAATAAGGAGAGTCATATCATATACATAAAAAGATGTAAGAGTAAATAACATGAGAAAATGAATTGATCTTAAATATCTTGTTCTGGATTAATTCATGGCCTTTTTCTTCTTCTCTTAGCTATTTAACCCTTAAAAGCTATCTTCCAATTATTAAGAGGTTTAGAAATTCAACAAATTCTCACTGATGCTAAAATTCTTCTTTGAAGGAAACAAGTGTTTCATGTTAAGTCTTCATTTCAGTGAAAATATTTTTGAGAATCAAGTTCTGATTTTGATAATTTTATTCAAACAAGAATTAGTTGATTAAGTAAAATTGATTATGATAACTTGTTTAAGTAAAAATGCCAAGATGATTTTCTCTTTTAACTTCATATTTTTTTCGTTGATTATAATTTTCTTTATCCTTTATATATTTTCCTCATTTTTAGTATTGATTCCTTATAAATATATATTAAAGATAATAATTATAATTAACGTTTGAAATAATCAATTTACTGAATACCCATTAAAGGTTTACATTTGACTGAATTTTGAAACTTACCACTCATATTAAATTTTGCATTAAAACATAAAAATAATAGAGTTTACACACTAGGTGTTGCGAATTATTTCAAGCTACTATACCGTCCACAACTTTCCCATAGCAACCAATTCTCCATTTTGCTTGTTTATGACTTTAACAAGCACTAAAGTCCAAAATCATATATTTTTACAACCTTGGCCTTTATTTCAACCTCTTCATAAAGTCAAATATTCATGCGAAAAGAACAAGCTGAATTACTAAAGTAGTATACTAGATAGAAACGGTACCATTTAATTGAAAATTAGAATAATATACGAAAATTAGATGCAATGTTTCTTCTATGTATATGGTATACTTTTTTCAGATTTTTCTCAATAAATAAGCAATATCAATAATTAATGGTCAATATTTTAACGCATGGCATACATAATATTAATCATTATTGATTATTTATACTTGCTTATCTAGAATAATTTTTCCTTGTCTATGATTTTTTTTATATTTGTAATCACTTGCTGATATAAAAACCAAAGGGACAGAAGGAAAAAAAAAATACATGAAATTATTCAATCAATAAATGAGATCATTGAGAAATTCTCCAATAAATATATAATGTTAGCATGCATAAGGATATGCTGTGTGTGTGCTTCTAATTTGTCCATAAAAATTAAAGAAAAAGAAATGCACATGTTCAAATTAAGGATACGCATTGGACTTACCAAAGATGAATATTGAAGATAAAAAAAATTATTTCCATGAGTGAAATGCTTGCTTTAGTTACTTGAGGTTGGCAAAAGCATGGAGCAAAATTTTGGTCTTAAAGAGATATTTTGCTCACCCTTAATTGACTAATATCAACAAGTGTCTCGTAAGCATATATATCTCAATTTTGACCTATCGTCAATTATCTTTTCACATTTTTCAAAATCTTTAAAGTGACGAGTATATGTAAAAAAAAAAAAAAAATATGTTAAGAATAATAAGTTATACACCTGACATATGGTGAATCGTAACTCTGGGCAGCAAACATGAGCATTTACCTGAACCCCACGTGGCTTCAGACGGAGGTCGATAGAGTTTGTCTAATCGTGGTCGTGTTCGCATGTGATAACTAGCTGCTTCAATTAGCACGTATATATAATATATATATATATATATATATATATATATAAGCGAGGAACAGAGTGCAGAGCGTGTTCAATTTTGCAATTCCAAATCCGTGGCGTGCTGACTTTGTGTAGTGTGCTTTTCCCCCGAAAGAAGCAAACCAGTCACTCATCCTCCTCGCGCTGCGTGCGGTGTTGGGAAAAACAGAAACCGAACCCTGTAGAAGATGAAGATTAACGTCAAGACTCTCAAGGGGACTCACTTCGTCATCCAAGTGAACCCTCAAGACACGGTAATGCTATCAACACTCCTAATGATTCAGATTAAACAGTTTTCCTTTACTTTTTATTTTTCTAATTTTCTCGCTGTTTCACTTTTTCTTTAGTCTGTTCTAAGGTATGTTAGTTACACTTCTGTCCAATGCTGTTGAATTTGAATTACATTTTTCCGGAATATTGATTTTGTTGTGGATTGTTAATTTTATTCAGATTAAACCATTTTCCTTTAGTTGTTTCTTTTTCTTGAGTAATTCTCTCCTTGTAGGAGTTTTTTAGGTGCAGTTACATTTGCTTCAAATGTTATTCAATATTTGATTTTACATTTTTTCGGAATATTGATTTTGTTGTGGATTGTTAATTTTATTGGTTGATGTTAGGTTGCTGATATGAAGAAAAACATAGAGGCAGCGCAAGGTGCTAACATTTACCCTGCCGCGCAACAAATGCTTATTCATCAGGGGAAGGTGCTTGTGGATGCCACAACCTTGGAGGAAAATAAGGTGGTTGAAGATAATTTTGTGGTGATCATGTTGGGCAAGGTGATGGTGTTGTTTCGTCACTTGGATGGTTTCTGTTCTGTTTCTCTTAACTTTTTAAGAATGAAGGGGGAAGGGAAATCATGCTATTCTCTTCCATTAAAAGAGAACTACGAATATAGACCACATGAACATATTTAAGCGGTCAATATAAAAAAATAAAAATAAAACTATAGATCACTTCTTTAAGTGACTGACTACTAATTAACTTTTAACTTTGATTATCTATGTATGACTATATTATGTTCTATTATAGTCTCGTTTTTATGATAAGGAGAGCAAGGTTTACATGGTTTCATCATCTTCCTCGATATTGTGGAAAATAAACCATGAACAAATGTGCTTGAGTTACGGTTGTGGACGCTCCTGAAACCTTAAAAATTGTCGTTATGAATGGTAGTATAAAACCTTGAAGAAGAGTTTTCACTCGATACTTTCCCTATCTTCTACAATTATTTTAACTACTTAAATTTATCGTAGAAGCTCGGCTTAGTACCTTTTATCTGACAGTGGGGATACTCCTTACACATAATTTTTCTTTTTAAATTGTCAAACACAAGGTTTTAAGTTGAAGTCACGGTTGTGGTTTCATCGTGATCCTTGATATTGTGGGGAAATTACGGTCATTAAAACCCCAAAAACCTTATCGTGACTGAAATCATGATTGCAGACTATTTTCTACAACCACGGTTAATCTTCTGTGAATACATTATATATTGATAGTTTTGAAAAAAAATGCATGAGATCTCAACCCATACCTTTAATTTTAACATACAATGGAGAGAAAAAACTTGCATGAAAGAGGAGATTAGTAATTGCACAGGGTGCAGTTCCCTTTCGAACTGCAGAAGATCCATTTTTCGCTTTTATTGAGTCTGCAATAATTAAAATAAGAAGAAATATCTTATCCACCTTTTGGCTATATTCATGTGTTTGTTGTGCCATATTATGCCATACCTGCATCCTAAAATGTTAAGGAATGCTGCATCTGTTAAGGAATGCCTGTTAAATGTGACAAGGTAGAAAATCACTTTCTAATTGCTTTTCCTAGTTCGAAAAATTCGTGGTTTGGTGTGCAAAGGAGCTCCACTCCCCTTTCAACCTCCCCACATTTTTTCTTTTCCGGTACAAAGAAAATGCGAGGCTTTATATGCGTGTGTTAGTTATATCAGTAAAATTTTTATTGAAATTGTACTATCTGGGAGGAAGTGATGGATGCTTTGTAAAGGGGAGTAAAAAAATTGCCGGTATCGTTTATTTCAAAAGAGGGGGAGCAAGAGAAATGATGAGCAATTTTAAATATTGCAATTTTTTAGTGTTGTTTCGATTGGCTTACTGCTAAAAATTTGTAATGATCTACCCATTGCAGAATAAGGTAACATCAAGTGGAGCCTCAACTGCCTCATCTCTACCCTCAAACCTGGTGACTCTAAGAACTTTATATTAATTATTTTTTCTTATATTTTATTTTTTATCACTTTCACTTATTTTACGTTTATTTTGACCTGTTACAATTTTTTAACTTTCTCGATGTTGTTCTCTATAAAACTTAGAGCTTGATGTCGTTACTTTTGTTGCAGTTGGATGTATATTTTTAATGATTTAAAAAATAATATTACATGCTCAAGCTGGCATTCAAACAAAATTTTATATAGTTATTATCTTTATATTCTTTATGTTGAGTATCAATATTGGATATAAACTTTTTTTGTTGTTTTTTTGACTAATATTTAAATATTTAAATATTTAATAATATTCACTTTTGCATAAGTATTCAGGTTTTGTTTTGACTGTTGACCACAAAAAAGTGTCATTTTTCTTAATTTGTTTCCTTTTACTTGCTACCTACATGTTTAGGAAGCCCAACCTAAAAGTTATTTTCCTCCTACTTCATCAACATCTCAACCTCCTGCGTCGACTGTTGGACAGTGAGTTCATACTTATTTCCTGCTTCGAAGTCTCAGCATGATGGGATGTTCTTTTTTGGTTTTCATATGAATTTTAATTTCTCTCACTTTGATTTCAGGGGAGAATCCAATTCCAAGCAAATTCCAGATATAACTCCTCCCCCTAGGTGAGTATCAGGCATTTTCTCTATCATGGGCGTCAATACCTCTTCTGCAATTAAAACATGGTTGATAATTTTTGCAACCTTGTTACTACCAGCTGCAGCTCACATGATTGTAAATAATGTCTTATTGGTATCACTGAATCACTGCAGAGTATCTTACTCATGACAATTTTCTTTTACTCTGAATAATTTTAAAATCCAAGTTTTATATATACTGGTTATTGCAGTTCCGTGTCTGGTATCTATGGCCATGCAACATCAAATCTTAATACAGGAAGTAATTTAGAATCAACTATTCAACAAATTCTAGAAATGGGGGGAGGAAATTGGGATCGGGATACTATTATCCGTGCCCTTCAAGCTGCATTTAACAATCCTGAAAGAGCTATTGAATATCTCTATTCTGTAAGTCTATGTGAGGATTTTGACTTGATTCCTGTTTAAAGAATGGATTTTCAACTGTTAATTTTGTAATTTGTTATCTATTGGATGCTTTGCCCTCAAAACCCGTCTTTTAATGAAATATCTATGTATACTGAGTACATATACCTCTAGCATATTGGGTGGAAACTGTTGAATATAGAGAAAATAGGGTTTGGAATTAATTTCCCTTGTGTATAAATCACACATAGGGTGGTCTATTTATAGTAGAGAGATACAACTAAAAGAGTAACTGAAAGTAACAGAATAAACAGAAGATATTGTTTGATATTGTGGTTACCAATATCTAACAATATCTTAACAATATCAAATAATATCTAAACAATATCTAACACTCCCCCTCAAGCTGGAGCATACAAATCGTATGTGTCAAGCTTGTTACAAATATAATCAATTCTAGGACCCAGTAAAGAGTTAGTAAAAATATCTGCTAACTGATCACTTGAGTTAACAAACTCAGTCTTGATATCTTCAGACATAATCTTTTCTCGAATAAAATGACAGTCAATCTCAATGTGTTTGGTCCTCTCATGAAAGACAGGATTAAAACTAATATGAAGAGCAGCCTGATTATCACACACAAGTGTCATTTGAGTGACATCTCCAAATTGTAACTCTCTAAGCAATTGCTTGAGCCAAACAAGTTCACAGGAAGCTGAGGTCATAGCTCTATATTCTGCTTCTGCACTGGATCTTGCCACAACACTTTGTTTCTTACTTTTCCATGAGATCAAGTTACCACCAATGGAGACACAATATCCAGATGTAGATCTTCTATCCGAAGGAGATCCTGCCCAATCAGCATCTGAGTAGCAAACAATTCTTGTATGGTTATTAGAACCATATAACAATCCTTTTCCAGGAGATCCTTTAATATACTTCAAGATACGAATGACTGCATTCCAATGATCTTCACATGGTGAATTAAGAAATTGACTTACCACACTGATTGCAAAGGAAATGTCGGGACGAGTAACTGTAAGATAATTCAATTTTCCAACCAATCTTCTATACTGCTCGGGATCAGATATAGGCTCCCCCTGATTTGGTAGAAGTTTAGTATTGGGATCCATGGGTGTATCAACAGACTTTGAACTCATCAACCCAGTTTTCTCCAAAATATCTATGGCATACTTCCTCTGAGATATAACAATACCATCATTGGACTGTGCCACCTCAATACCCAAGAAATATCTAAGTTTGCTAAGATCTTTGGTCTGAAAATGGTGACAGAGATGTTGTTTCAACTGAGAGATGCCATGGTTGTCACTACCTGTAAGAACAATGTCATCAACATATACTATCAAGTAAACACATCCAGCACTCGAGTGTCGATAAAAGACAGAGTGATCTGCTTCACACCGAGTCATACCAAATTGTTGAACAACCTTGCTAAACTTTCCAAACCAGGCCCTAGGAGACTGTTTTAGGCCATATAGGGATTTGCGAAGACGACATACCATCCCAGAAGACTTCCCCTAAGCAACAAACCCAGGAGGTTGCTCCATATAGATTTCTTCTTGCAAATCACCATTGAGGAAAACATTTTTAATATCTAGTTGATAAAGAGGCCATTGTTGAAGAGCAGCCATGACGATAAATAAACGAACAGAAGTCATCTTTGCCACAGGGGAAAAGGTATCTCCATAATCCAACCCAAAAATTTAAGTATAACCTTTGGCCACAAGACGTGCTTTGAGGCGATCAATAGTACCATCAGGTCCAACTTTGATAGCAAACACCCACCTGCAACCAACAACAGATTTCCCAGACGGTAACGACACCAATTCCCAAGTTCCACTATTATGAAGAGCACTTAGTTCATCTAACATGGCCTGACGCCAACCAGGATGGGCTAAAGCTTCACGGACAGTTTTTGGAATGGTCACAGAAGAAAGAGAGGAAAGACATGTATAAAAAGGTAATGACAGTCGATGATAACTCAAAGCAATATAATGGGAAGAGGGATTACGTGTAGAACGAATACCTTTTCGGAGGGCAATGGGAAGGTCAGACTCATGTGTCAGATTCGGAGGAGACAGAGTAGTTGGCACTTGAGTAGAGTCACATGGTGGTGGTTGTGATTGGTTTCGAGAACTATAAATCTGAAGAGGCAGTGGAGAAGAAGCTGACTGCGGAGCAGAAACTAATGGTGAAGAAAACACAGTTAGAGGGTCACAAACAACAGGAACATTAAATGTATTAGGAGTGTTGACAAGATTGGATGGAGACAGATGTGAAGTTTGACTTTTAAAATAAAGAGACAACTCATCAAAGGTGACATCTTTTGACACAAAATAACGGTTAAGAGAAGGAGAAAAACATTTGTATCCTTTTTGTGATCTTGTAAACCCTAAGAAAACACATTTATGTGATCTAGGAGAAAGTTTGTCCAGACCAGAACTGAAATTATGAACAAAACATGTAGACCCGAAAACTTTTAGAGGTAAAGGATGAAGTGGTTCATGAGGGAATAAAATGGAATGAGGTATTTTATTATCTAAAACCGAAGAAGGCATGCGATTAATGAGATAACATGCAGTAAGAAGAGCATCACCCCAAAAATGTTGAGGAACATCTCCATGAATTAAAAGTGTGCAAGTTGTTTCAATAAGATGTCTATTTTTACGTTCAGCTACACCATTTTGTTGAGGTGTATAAGCACAAGAAGTTTGATGCAAAATACCGTGAGAAGCCATGAATTGTTTAAAAGAATGAGAAAGATATTCACGGCTATTATCACTACGCAAAACTCTAATAGAAACACCGAACTGAGTTTGAATTTCATTAAAAAAAGTTTGAAAGATATGAAATAATTCAGAACGATTTTTCATCAAAAATAACCAAGTGCATCTGGAATAATCATCAATGAAAGTAACAAAGTATTGAAAACCTAAAGTAGACTTAACGCGGCTAGGTCCCCAAATGTCAGAGTGAACCACGACAAAAGGGGACGAAGCACCATGTGTGAAACTACGAGGAAAGGAAGTACGATTATGCTTGCCTAATTGACATGACTCACACGCCAAACTAGATAAGTTGGACAAGGCAGGGACAAGTTTCTGTAACTTGGCAAGACTTGGATGACCTAACTGAGCACGAAGAAGAGAGGGAGACTCCATAACTATACTAACATGTGTAGAGGGACGGATATAATAAAGACCATGAGACTCACATCCTGTGCCAATCACCTGTTTCGAACTCCGGTCCTGTAAACACACAGAATTGTTGGTAAAAGTAACAACACAATCAAGAGAACGAGTTAGACGACTGATGGACAACAGGTTAAAAGGAGACCCAGGGACATAAAGAACATTATCAATGGTTAAAGAAGGAAAAAGTTTAACCGTTCCAACACCATGAGATGATACTCTAGAGCCATCAGATAGTGTAACAGAAGGTAAATGATTAGGAGAGGATAAAGAGGAGAACAAAGATTTGTTACCAGTAATATGATCAGTGGCTCCTGAATCAAAAACCCAAGGACCAGGAGAAAATGATTGGGTTAGACCAGCAAAATATGTATTTGTATGTGTGACAGATATAGTGGAACTAGAAGACTGTTGATCCTTATACCATTCGAGAAATTTGTTGAACATAGCAGACATGTCGGATGCAACAGAAGAAGGAAGATCCCCTGCAGATAAAGGTGGGGAAAGATTTGTCTGAACAACTACAGCAGACTGAGGAGGACGACCATGTAATATATAACACTTGTTAATCTTGTGACCTAGCTTGCCACAATGTTCACACTTAGGACGCCCTTTTTCCTATTTGCGAGGGCGAGCCCGGTCATCACGATGGGATGTCAACACAAAAGAATCGTTAACAAAATTGGAAATAGTGGAAGAAGTCATGAAGAGCGGGAGAACAAACCCAACTCCGATAGTGGTGATCTCAATGGCACGGTGGTCACCTGACCGAGACAAGCAAAATCATATGTCACCGGTAAAAAAAAAAATGAAACTCCGGCGAATTCTCCGACAGCGGCGGACCCGGTGACTGCTCCAGCGGCACCGGTGACAGTAACGTGAACTAGTACACCAGGTAAGTTCCCAGGAAAGAGAGGTGGGTCACTAATGGACACACTTAAATACCAGAACTTTCCTAAACATGCACTTTCACACTACCAAATAAAATTCAATAACAAAGATAATTCTTTTCTGATGTGGAGGATCAGTTTACCAGCAGTGGTGGGGCGGCTCTAGCAGCGGTGGGGCGGCTCCAATAGTGGACAAAAGGCGAAAAAAAAAATTCAAGATAACCTTAAGCTCTAGATACCATGTTGAATATAGAGAAAATAGGGTTTGAAATTAATTTCCCTTGTGTATAAATCACACATAGGGTGGTCTATTTATAGTAGAGAGATACAACTAAAAGAGTAACTGAAAGTAACAGAATAAACAGAAGATATTGTTTCATATTGTGGTTACCAATATCTAACAATATCTTAATAATATCAAATAATATCTAAACAATATCTAACATAAACATTTAGGGATAGGGAATTTGAAGATTATTAGATTGAAATCAGTTGAAGCGGAAGGTTGTTTATTTTTTAAGCGTCAAACATATGGCTTTTGTTTTGTGGAAATAAATTATTGGAATGGTTCTTCTATGCAAACAGAACATGGAGACAGAAAATTATGTTTGTACCTGTTGTTTGATTTTTGAATAAAATATGATTGGAAAGAACTAATTTGATCATATCATGAAGTTGTCATTATTTATTATCATATGGCCGATATATAGTAGTTTTATGTGTATTTGGATTATGCATCAATGGTTATGGACTTGTGGTTTTGGTTTAACTTCTCAAACCTATGACTTAAAGCAGAACGTGATTGTGTTAATAATAAAAGTTATGCTTGGATGTTTCTACAACTTTTTCTTGAACTAAAGTTTATACAAAATTTATTTGTTAGGGCATTCCTGAGGAAGCTGATGCAGCAGAAGTTGCCAGATCCCCCATGACTCGACAGGCAGAAAACTCATCAATCCAGGCTCCCCAGCCAGCTATACCTACTAGTGGACCCAACACAAGTCCACTCAACCTGTTTCCTCATGTCTCTCTCTCTCTCTCTCTCTCTCTCTCTCTATATATATATATATATATATATATATATATATATGTGTGTGTGTGTGTGTGTGTGTGTGTGTTTGTATACAGTTTATCATGCTGTAGAGTAAAATTTTAACATTGGTTGGTTAATATATAACTAATGTTTGTTTGTTTGAACCAGGGCATTCCCGAATTGGGTACACCTACAGATGATAATATAGCAGACTTGGATTTCTTGCGAAACAATCGACGGGTAGTTTAATTGGTGTTTTCTTTATGGGATCTAGGTCTCATTTTAATTTTCTTTGTTTATGCATCTAAAAATGTTATTCTATATCATTTTAGTTCCAAGAATTAAGAGCGATGGTGCGAGCAAACCCCGAACTTTTGCAGGTATTATTGGTACTTGCAGATCCAGTTAAATATCCAATTTGGACCTCACCTAATTATAAGGCATCATAAATAATTTTCTTCTTCCATTGCAGCCTATGCTTCAGGATGTGGGAAAAAGAAATCCTGAGCTACTGCACGTCATCCAAGATCATCAAGAAAACTTGCTTGACCTTATAAATGAACCTCTAGGGGATGAGTAAGATGGCTATTTTAAGTTTTGTATCATTTTAATTTAATATTGTTCGAGTTTTAAATGAGATCCAAATTAGGTTCATGCTTTTTTCATTAAGTAATTCAGAGTTATACATGGATGACAAAGACAAAATTCTTGAATTAATAGTTCAAAGAGAACTAAAGAGACACACAACTCCAAAAAACACTCATATGTATGTGTGTGTATATAACGTATATAGGAAATTTCTACAAAAGATTATTCATTGGTTTAGGAAGTGTTGTAATCTTAATCCTATCAAGGGACAGGTGGTTTGGATATATTGTAGGTTTTGATCCTGCGGGTTTCTTGAGATTATAATGTCGAGATTCATGGTGGGAGAGAGAGGAAGGGGGTAAATATTGGGTTTCTTTGAGATTTGGATGCTCAAGCTATTGTATAACCAGGAACCTACGGAGTCAGTTAGCTTCCATGATGCCCGACACCGTCACTTTCACCCCTGAAGAGAATGAGGCCATTCAACGGGTGAGCTGTAAAGTCCTGCTTGTAAATTATTTTTTATAATGCCTTTCTTTTCCTCTCTTTTATATTGAGACGGAACCTAAACGCAGTTCCGTTAGTGTTGTTTTAAATTAGAATGAGAGTTTTATCTCAGTAATCCCGCATAATCCTTTAATGCATTTTTTATTATTATTTGAATAACTAAAGTGAACTTCAATTTTGATTGGAGAACGACAATGATACCAAAAAAACTGTATATAGCTTTTGTCCTTTAAAATAAAATAATTACATTTTCATCTTAGTAATCTGCATCATTCTTTAATATATACTTTTATTATACGAATTATTGAATTAAATTCCATTTTTGATTGAAAACAACATGAGCAAACCTTAAGAACTGTATATTTGTTTGGTCCTTTATAGATCATGAAACTACAATGACAATTATGTCTTGAATGGAATGAGTGACAGCACTATATGTCATGCATAACCATGGCAGTGTCTACCTCCACCCCCTAAAAATGTTACTGACCTGGACATTTTTGCAGCTTGAAGATATGGGATTTGATCGAGATCTTGTGTTGGAGGTGTTCTTTGCATGCAATAAAAATGAGGATGTAGCAGCTAACTATCTACTGGATCACCAGAATGAATTTGAAGACTAGTCAAAATTAAAATTCATCTTCTCCGACAGAGGTTTCCTGAGCTGTGCTGTTGTGGCAATTGATAGTCTTCTGGAATATTTTGGAAAGGTGCCATTGTTAATATTCTATAACTTTTGTTCTGTGGTTCATCGTTTCGTACATCCATAGCATCGGTACATCGTTTAATGCAATTGACTAGAAGACGGGAACGTGTTGAGGAAAAAGGCCATGTGTTCATTGCAGCCTTTATTTACATTTTTTTTTTAATTTTTCATTTAGACGACTGTGTGAGAAAGTAGAAACTCGATGAACTTGGATGCAAATTGGTCAAGTCATTTTAGGTGGCGAATTCGGTGCACAAACACAGATGGGAGGGCGATAGTGGGGATGGTGGTCTCTTAAATGTACACCTGTTTTTGGGTTGTGTACATCAAAACCCCACTTGTTCTATGGGATGGATACTGTTTCTTAACCGGAATTCAATTCATTTTTACAATCAAACACAAGCCTTATTATAATGAAAAAAATGAACTAGGGATTAGTTAGTTTATTTATTTATAATATAATGCAAAGAGCCTAAATTGATTTATTTATAATAAGAAGAGAGAAATTGATTTATTAAAAACCCTAAAATTCATCTCAATTTTAATAATTTTCTTTCTTGTCCATTCCTCCATCCATTTTCTTTCGTTAATATCTCCTTCCTAAATCAAACATAGCGTTAGTCATTATATATATATATATATATATATATATATATATATATATATATATATATATATATATATATATATATAAACTAATCATTTGAGTATAATTGTGTGGTCAGAATTTATTTTTCTCTACCTTTTAAAATTACAACTACCCTCGAGTCTCTATTACACTAATTTCACCTCTATCTCTTGCAAATATAATTGTACATACTTTAACCATTTATCTTCACTAAAAAAAATTAACAGGGAATTTGTTTTTTGGATGCACTAAAATATATATTTGAATTATACTCTTTATATTTAGTGAATCCTCCTGAATACAGCTGAGTTTATAAAAGTGAAATATGAACTGTGTTACATAGATCAAAAAGCACCACTTAGTAGCTTTAAACTCGTTTCATTCTTATTGTATTGACCTAACGCGTGGGCTACTGTTGAGTCTTAACCACACTACACCAGGTGCTATCTTGCCATAGCAGCCTTTCAAATTTATACGTCTTCTGATTTTTTTCCAGAATAATATCAAAAATAATTAATTATCTAAATACATCATTTCTCATTTTATTTATCTAAATAACATATTTATTGAGTAAGTCAGAATTCGATTTCTAGATAATCAAATTCCAAATGAGAAAGTCTCACGTGAAAAATAGAAATGGAGTCAAAATTCGATTTTTGGAGAAATCGAACTCTGAACTTTGTTTTAATTTATTTTTTTCTACATCAGCTTTTATATATATATATATATATATATATATATATATATATATATGATAATACTTTAATATATATATATATATTAATATATATGATAATACTTTAATATATATATATATATATATATATTATAGTTATATATTTATATATGAATATATTTAGATATTTATATTAATATATATATATATATATATATGTAATTAAATGTTTATATATGTAAATATTTATATGTTTATATATTAATATATATTTAATAATTTTATATTTATATATTTAAATTTTAATATATTAGTATATTTATATTATAAATATATATATATATATATATATATATATATAATTTGCTAAGTATATAGTTATATAATTAGATATAATATATTTAGATATTTATATAATTATATATTAACATAATATTTTTATATTTATATAAATATATTAAAATTATTTAATTTGTTATGTTTAAGTAATATTAGAAAAAAATTAATTTGTTATGTTTAAGTAATATTAAAAATAAAAGAAAGTTGATTTGTTATGTTTAGGTAATATTATGATAATATTAGAATTATAAAGAAATAATATAAAATTAAAAATTTATTTATTAAAATGAAACATAAAGAAATAATACATGATACAAGAAATATATTAATTTTATGGATGAGTAACATTGAGACACATTCTTTTGGTGTAATCAACTGTGTGACAAGATTGGTTGTTTGTGATATCCATTTTTGTTCTTATTCAACTTGACTTTGGATGACCTTTTGCAGTTCTCTTCATTTCTGAATTTGGGCTCGAAATTGACCCGTGTAAGATGACCAATAATTTTCATTCCTTAATTCTTTGAACAGTCTGTCATCGACCTTACCGATTCGTGTTAAAGTATAAACAGGATTTATGTAGTTGGTAAAATCATGATGTCCATGTTTGCAAGCAGCTATTAAGTGTGAACACGGTAAATGAAGTTTTTGGAATTTACCACAGTCACACCATGATTTGTTTAACCTTACTACAAATCAGCCTAATGGTCTAACTTCTCTTGGATTGAAGGTTTCCGTTACCAGAAATTTGTACTCATTTGGTCAAACTCAATTTGTCTATGGGTGTTTGCCTTTGAATGTGCATCATCCAAAGTCTTGGCTACCACTTCAGCATATATGTTTCCCGTAGCAATCTTGACCACCACTTCTCTACCTCTTTCGATGAAAAACTTATTGCAACATATATAAGTTGTTGTCACCAAGGAGGAAATAAGAAGGTTCCTTATCTTTTTGAGGATGGAATTGATTGCCTATGCTAAGTTGATGGTCATGTATCCCCAAGTCGACCGTTGTCCCAAGCTAGTGTTCACTTTTCCCTTGGGATTTCATCCAACCATTTTGTTGCTTCCAGATCTTCATTTCTTACTATCCTATAATAGTAGAAGAATTAGGGCTCAATCATTTCATATGTTGTTTACAAAATAGTTGAAATAAATCAATTACTAGGTAGTTGAGTTAATTTAAAAATAATGAAAATAGTGAGTTCAAAAAATCAGAAGTTACCCATGTTGACAACATCCTTCTTAAGTGGAATTTTATTGAATCTCCTCATGAAATTTTGTGTAATGTGTCAAATACAGTACACATGCATAGAATTTTTTTTAGTCCAACTACTGTCCTCTCTTAAGTAAGCACTTCGTATGGATTCATGGTGGTTAGAAATAAGACATAGTCCATCTTGTAAGGTGATGTATCTCCTTAGGTTCTTAAAAAAAAAGAACTAAGTATCAACTATTTTCCCCTCAACTATAGCGAGGAGGCGATTAGGAGTATGTTGTTGCAACCATCTTGTGCTACTGCAACCAATAAGGTTCCTCTATATTTTCTATAGAGAAATATTCTGTTCACTTACACTAATGACTTGCAGTACTGAAAACCATTTATGCAAGGTTTGAAGGATTAGAAGACCCTTTTGAAGAAGACATGGTTCTCAACCAGTTTTTGTCCTTAGTATGTTGGACTTGTGTTCATCTTCCATATAAATCCAGGAACATATACTTGCATAGCCTTCAGAAGATGTGACAACTTCTTGTACGACTCCTCCCAATTGCTGTAAATTTTCTTGATGGCTAATTATTTCACTAACCATGCTTTTCGATAACTGACCTGTATCCTTGCGTAAACTTGATATAGGTGATTAATGTTGACATAGGGGTTGAATAATCAACATCCACAATTTCTTGGGTTGTTTGAGAAATAAGACAGAATCCCAACTTGTTATGATCTCGAGAGATTAATTGGGACACGCAAGTGTGACTGCTTTCCAACTTTATTATTTTCCAATATTGCTCTTTGATCGACAATATTGTGTTGCATCTCCAGTCACACTTTGGATGAATACATTGCACTACAAGCCTATATTGACTTGAAATTTGCACCCTGTATGTGTAATGGTGCATGATGTGGAACCTATTTATTGTGTTTGTGACATCTTGTTTGTTGTTAAAGCATTGACCAACAAACAATGTCCAAGGGGTATACAAATGTTTCTCAGTTAAGAACATGAGCAAATTTAGGATCAATGTCATTCATGGTAAAGTTAAATTGGGTAAATTGTTCGGGTGGATTGTAGGTAGGGATGACAAAACAGGTCAGACACGGCGGGCTGGCCCGCCAACCCATCGGGCCAACCCGTGGAGCGAGGCGGGTCAGCCTGCGACCCACTTTATTAATAATTTTTTTTTTATTGTGATACAATACAAAGAGTAAAAAATGAAATATATAATATAAAGATTTATGAAAAGAGAATTTTAAAAGTCTCAATGTCTCATAAAAAGAATTCATAAAGTCTCATTATCTCACTAATAAGAAAATTTAAAAAGTTTTATAATTACTTAAACTCACATTACGGGAAACACTTTCCTTTCTCAATCATAAACCCCTATCTTTCTCATCTCCTTTTACTCATCATCTCCTTCTTGCTCATTCTTCATAAGATAAAAATCATATATATTTCATACTTTTCAATATAAAAAATAAATTTTTAATAAATTTTTACTATTACATACATGTATTTATTATTATATAAACTTTATCTTAATTTAATTGTTGTAAAATATAATTTATTAAAATAATATATCAATTTATATTATTAACTTGAAATATATATATATATATATATATATATATATATATATATATTGAATTGTTGACAATGATAATTTTATTATTAAATTTATTGAAAGATTTGATTTAAAAATAATAAAATAAAATCAAATAAGAAATATGATGGGTTAACCCACCCTTTGGCTGAGCGGGTCGAGACCTATAGCCCGCCATGATTATAACGGGCTACCCCGCCTCGCCCCGCTTTTGGTAGGCCAAAGGCGGAGTGAGCCAAAATGGGGCAGACTGACCCGTTTTACCATCCCTACATGTTCTAGTTGGGGTTCTTCATCATCTTCCTCATCCGCACTATCAACGAGGATGTCATTTTCGTTATTACTAAAAGGGTCAAAAGTTTCAGATGGAAGGCCTAATATGACACACTACCATAGGTGATAGCAAAAAGCAACGAGCAAGATCAAATTTCCATATATCAACGACCAAGATTGCGTTCGCCTCATCCAATGGTCCAAGTCACAACAACATAGAGTTAACAGTTCATGATAAGATTCCTCTGTACCATGCCCTGAGACACACTGCCCTAGGTGACAACAAAAAGCAACAACTAAGATCAAATCTCCATACATCAACGACCAAGATTGCGTCAACCTCATCCAACGGTCCAAGTCACAACACAAAGATAATTGTTCATGATAAGATTCTTTTGTACCATGACCTAACACACACTACTCTAGGTGATAAGAAAAAGCAACAACCAAGATCAAATGTCCATACATCAACGACCAAGATCAACTCGTAGGCCATGCACACTTACCTTTATATATAATGTTATTTGTAACTTCTCGTTTACAACACTTTTAGAGAAATCTTACTAACTTTAATTGTATTTTGTGTATTTGAAAACAAGAGACTACAATCTTTTACAATGTTGTGTAGAAACAAGCTGAACATATATATGCTTCCATAAGAACAATGATAATATTCTTATTTCCATATTGTTTATATATTCATCTTTATTTAATAATTATGTTAATTATATTTGACCATATTTACCTAAATTCTCTATTATTGCAGGACCCTGATGATAGTATTATGTCTTCATAATGTCACTTAATGCCCGAGCCACACCCTCTAGTTGTTACTATACTAGAGGAAGCTGACTTTGGGGAATGGCAAGATAAAGACATCTAAAAGTCGACCACAGTCTAGTTACTACTTTGATGGAGATAGAGACATGAAAAACATACATTTCATTTACCCATAAGTGAATGTAACATCACATTAGAAGATGTTGCACTACAACCTAGGATACGGGTGGATGGTCGTCATCCGATCATTGGACCCACACTGTTCGACTAGGAAGATAAGTGTGACATGTACTTGGGAATAATGCCAACGAAAGGTGAAAACACTCATTGGAAGAATGATTAAGTTGATGTAGCTAAGAGATAACATGTTGCCATTATCAGAAGACTAAATGCATGTCCATGCTACGATATATATATATATATATATATTAGGGTTAATTGGAAGTGTTTTGATGATTGATAAAATAGGTAACAAAGTAAACCTTATGTATTTATAATTTTTTACTAATTTACGTAGAACCAAGTGATATAGTTGGGGTTCTACGTGTTTAACTATTTTGTACAGGGAAATTGTTGAATAATCGATGTTAGAACAAAAATAATAGGTGGTTGTGCCTCACTGTTACAATCATGAGCATGACATCACATGCCACATATTGCACCAATTAGTTGCATACAACCAACATATCTATTAGTGTGCAAATAGAATGGGGGCATGATTTTAAACTTTTAGAATGTATCACACAATGATATGGTTGGGTACCAAGCAATGATTGATTATATTCAATCTCACTACGTAAACTTGGTTTAACACTTTCATTATTAAATATATGTTTTAAATTATTTTTTATTAATTATTTACTCATAACTTCGTTGTAGTTTTTATGGGCATCATATCAAGGGTTAGAAACATTAATAATACTGACACAAACATACCAAAATTCACATTTGTGGACGTCTTGCACGACCATAATTAGTTTTACAGTTGTGGAGTGACATTAGTCTGATCGGGTCAAGTTTTAATTTGGTTTGTTTTAGAAAGTCTCTTTTCCCTCGCAAAATTTAGACAACATGCACAGAATTGACATGCAGGAGAGACTTGATGAAAATTGGAAAGTAAGACATGTCGAGTGAATCAATATATGAAATAACAAATAAGACCTTGTACTAGCATGTTTACCAATGCAAGGGTCTTTTTTTCACGAGAGAATACATGGAAGGTACATTGTCAATTTCATTTATTTATTGTCTCTGCCATAATTACTTTAAAATCCAAGAAACCAACAATGTGCACCCAACTAATCACACACATTTGAAATTGGATCATCCATTACGTCGTCATTTGAGATGCCTTCACACCAACCGTTCACAATAAATGTTCAAAACCAAATTAGGGATGCATGGAATACTGTTCAAGTTAAGACTCGTCTTTACCATACATTTGACACACATTGCCCAATATCCACAATGTCCAAAACCAACCTCAGAAAATATGTTATATTGTTCAAGATAAGATTTCTCTGTATCAGATACTGTTCTAGGTATTAACAAAAAGTAATGGTCAAAATTGAATCCCTAAATATCAATTATCCAAATTTAACACACACTGCGTAATATCTACATTGTTCAGGACCAACCTTAGAATATATGTTATACTATTCAAGATAAGATTCATATGTACCATATACTATTCAAGGTGTCAGCAAAAAGTAATGGTTAAAATTGAATCCCAAAATATCAACGATTCATATTTAACGCACACTACCCAACATCAAACTCAAGTCACCATTACAAAGCCTAGCTCAAAATACAAAGTATGCTAATTTATTATGGGGGGAATTTTCATCTACATAATACAATAAATGACATATATAAATTGAGGTTTGCTCTCATAAAAAATTTGCCCACTCATCTTTCTTATCAACAAACATATCTAATCTTTGTGTTCTTCTTTTTACTCTTTAAATGGAAGAACTTGACATCACAAATACTGAAATTTTTTATAACTCTTATCTTGCAGCAATGTTTGCAAATGAGCAAATCACAACAAATGAGGAAGGGATATACTTTTAATGTACATCTCCTAAACTTTTTCGAATTTCACACTGTTGCACATTCATCATTTTTAAGGAACAATATGCACTTCTTTAGGGATTCCTGACACCTCAATCAACAAGTTGTATTACCGTAAACTAAAACTAACAAGTGATAGTTTAATTATATATGATGCTATTGAAATATTTGTTTCATATTAATGTATCTAACATGATTACTTTGAAGTCACAATTCCTTTTGGATACTATAATTGAATTATATGTCCAATATATAAGATCCACTGATGAAATAATTATGCTTTTAAACCCCCTATTTCTACCTTTTTCGCAAACCCAAACAACATCCCTTCCTCTGAAGCTATAATTTACTTTGATAAGTTTGTCCAACATGCAACCATCATGGAAAGTTCAAATGGTTTTGGTCTTACTTATACATGTTCAAACTCTAGAACAATGGTAATCCAACACACATGATCTTTTGCTGAGCTATATGAAAACATTATTCAAGTACTTGACTATGGAGATCACAAACAAATTATTGAAATTAACTATCGTCGTCCAATTTAAGTGCAAAACCAAAAGATCATTCACGACTCAATATAGATTAAAATTGATGTTGATGTGACCTAAATGATCAATTGTTTTAAAAAAAATATCGCTATACCCAGCTGTGCAACTTGAACAAACATGAGGAAAAATTGAATTGTTTGTTCAAGCTAAGACTATACGAAGGACAACACTTGAGAAAATGATTCATAACTTAAAAGATAGTATATATGTTGACAAACACGGGATAACAATGTCCACATTTGTCTCACGATTTATAAGATGATTCTTTAATTATCATTTATCTTGTATTTTTTTTCTAATTTAATTAGGTTTCATATTAACATGAATTGTTTCACGTATGCACCATTAATCTATAATCTTTTAATATTTTATATAATGAATATAAATATCCACAAATACAAAAATATAAATATATATTAATTAAATATAGAAACATATGACTATAAATATAAAATTTATATTTATATTTATATAAATATATAAAAATATACATATATATATATAATTATATATATACATATATATATATATATATATATATATATATATATATATATATATATATATATATATATATAACCAAACGCAATTTAGAATTCTCGAAAGGGAGATGGTCTATATGAATAATTAAATATTTTTTAATATTATTTGGGAAAAAAATATACACCTTCTCCCATTATTTAATTTTTTTTTTCTGAAAACATTGCACACAGTATTTATTCCCAGTTAGAAACAATGAAAATGGTATTACTAGGCGCCTGAAATTTTGGTAAACTCGTACTGTGGTGGCTACGAAAATGCTATTACAACGCGCCTCAAATTTTCCACTTTGGTTGAAATATACTATTATGGTGGCTTTACCAACACCAATCCTACGCTTTCCTACAACTCCTTCAACCTGCACAGGACAAAATATATAATTCATAACTTATGACAAAAGTATATATGGTTTTTGAACTTTCCAATTCTAAACTAGTTGCATGAGAAGCGGTCATCCCACTTGACATCCCTGACCCGTTTGAAGATGACGAGTTTCCATTTGAATTTTTCAAAGTTTCTAGTATTTATGTTGCAGAAAGGAACCAGATAAGAACTACTCAAACTTTGGCTAGGCCAATTCAAAACAAATAACAAACTCTCTATTAGTCATATTTATTATACTGGGACAATTTCATTTATAAGTGACAACAAACATTATCGTATAGAATAAAGTCTCAACTGTGTTACTACTATAGTGGTTTTCTTACATAAGCGTCTCCGATCCAAAAATCCTTCATTCATAACATCACATAACATGGGTCTGCTTGGAAAAAGCTTCACTTCCAAATTCAAAAGCATCACCACACTTGCTGTTTCTAGGATTGTTATCTTGAAGAACCAGCACAAAGCTCGAGCCTCTTATGCTCGCTCTGATGTTTCTCAACTCTTGAACCTCGGTTACCATGACCGTGCTCTACTTCGTGTAAGTTGTTGCTAATAACAACACATTATAAACCCTTTTCTTTCTCTTTCTCTCCTACAAGTATATATTGAATTTATCTTTTACTTATTAACAGGTGGAGCAATGGATAATAGAACAAAACATGTTGGAAGTATTTGCTATGGTAGAAAGTTATTGTAATTTCATGAGAGAAAGGGCTGAAGCTCTTGAAAAGAACAAGTGAGTTTTCTTCTTCCTTGCTTCTATGGTTGTTGAGTGAATATTGAGAATACACCAAACTGAAGAGGTGATGAATTATTCAATGATACATGCATTCTACTATCTTAATTTACTAATTTAGAATTTTTGAACACGCGTAGGGAGTGCCCCGTTGAGCTCAAGGAAGCGACATCTAGCCTTATCTTTGCATCCTCGAGGTGTGGAGATTTTCCAGAACTGCACAAGATAAGAGAGATTTTAACATCAAGGTTTGGAAAAGAGTTTGCAGACAATGCTGTTGAGTTGCACAAAAATAATAGAGTGAATTCTAAGGTGCTGATTAGTTATTTCATACATCGTGTGAGAATTCATTTCAAGAGAATTTCCCTCTATTCTGATAACTTTTACTTGGTTTGTGTAGATGATACAAAAGCTTTCACCAAGACGCCCCACCGTGGAAATCAAAATGAAAGCACTGAGGCAAATTGCTTCAGAAATTGGAGTTAATCTGCGTTTGGAACAGGATCATAACCATAAGATTAATGTTGACCGAAGCCAAGATGAACGTGAAACCAGAAAAAATTGTGTTGATGATCATAACCATATAGATAATATCCAAAATAATCCAGAAAAAAAAATTCAGCGTGAGCATTTATCTGATAGGAATGGAGAAAGGAAGAGACACACTGGTACAGCTTCAGCTGGTGAAAAAGCCTCAGAATCAGAATCTTATGGGATTGAAGTTAGTAAACGCTCAAATCATAGTGTTTCTCTCAGCAAGATGCATGTGCAACCGATGGTGAGCTCTACTTCTCAACAAGACTATGAGGTCATATCAAAAAGCAACCATGCTATTGAACTAAAAGCATTGGAAAGGAGGGAAATTAAAACACAAATTGGATGGGAAGACTTTCATTTAAGTCTGAATCCAAGAGATAATATAACAACAACATCAAGGAATGCAGAGTTAATTTCCAAGGAACATGTGGAGGAAGAAAATAGAGAGTGCCGCCTGGTTGACGAGTTAGGCTCAGCCAAGAGGGATAACAGTGATCACAACAGTAAGTCTGGTGCAGCTACAGAAAATGAGCACTTTAATGAAGAAAGAGTTCAGCCTTCTTCCCACGCTATAAAATGGAATTCACAGAGTGCTCAATCTGATACTCTGAATCCTATGGCAATAAGGCATGTGATGGAAACTAGGGATCCAACAAATTTTCAGAAACAGATACACACACATCATGAACATGTGGACAGGAAGTTGATGTCAGTGAGGACTAAATGATCACAAAGGTGAACAAAAAGAAATGGAGGATCCGAACATATTGTTTATATTATAAAGTTGGGTTGGGCTATAAAATGGTTTATTGGTTGCACATATTGCTTGACAATAGGCCATATACAGTTGTGGATGAAAAATTGATGATGGAAATTAAGGAAAAAAAAAGTTTCTATTATACTGAGGTACAGAGAAGATTTTGGATTAGTTAGGGAAGTTTTTATAGCGATCTCATTATTCATGTTATTGAGAGTGAAGATTAATTAATAGAATGACAAATCGAAGCAATCAAATTTCTGTTGTTTTCATGTGTAAGGTTACCCTCTTATTCTCTGTATAAGAAACATAAATCTTTACAAATAGGTCCTGCATCTCATAAAAATATTTGAGAGAAATACATCGATCGATGAACAAAGCTTTAATCAGATGAAGTGTGAAATATCCATCCTTGTCAAACACAATATGAATTGTAAAATAAGAGTATGGGATGTAATTTCCCTTCGAAACAAATGAGACAACAACAACTATACTTCGTAACGTAATCCTGATTCCTGAGTCTTGATAATAAAGCACTGACACCGAGAGGTTTGCATTAAAATTTACTCATTGAATCAAATAAGTCAAACAATTCATATACAAGAAAACGATAAGCTTTAAACCTTACACAGCTTTTAGCAATTGATTACCGCAAGAAAGTTTTTTTACAAACAGAATGCCTTCTCTTGAATGAGAGGGACCAAAACCTAGGCAGACAATATGTAAGAACTAAAACTTACAATTTAGTCAAACAAAATTAAAATGTGACAGACAGAAAACCAAACGAATTAATCTGAAAGAATTCTGGGATTAGTTGATTGATAATAATATTAATTAAGCACATGTCAGTATACAAAGCAAGAGAAAGAACATACAACAGAACAACATGAACATTAAAAGGGGAAACATCCTATTATCACACAAAATGTTCGAAATATGTTCTAACAACAGAATTGAGGTCAGGATAAGTTGCCACCACTCTGCTGCCACAAATTGATGATATCAGTGGCTTGATTGAGCAGAATAATCATCTGCTTTTGGGAGATCCAAGGCTTGCTCTCAAGCAACTCCTTGAGCTCTTCCCAAGCATCTTTTCTGGGCCAAAAGTAGTATGGGCTCAGAGGAATGGTGCCATGCCCCGGTATAGTCTGGTCAAGTGCAATTCCAATGTTCTTCTCCATCCAAATGAACTTCAACACAAGTCTCGGCTTCTCTGTTGTCTTCACAACCACTCCAAGCTTCTATTAACCAAAAAAAAAAAAAAAAAAGATTTTTTTTATTATTATTTTGAAAGAAGTGGATAAATGAGAGAAATTGAAAGCATTATTTGAATGTCTGAGAGGAGAAAGTGAAAGAGAACCTCGGGTTTGGGAGTGGGAAGGGCTTCTTCTTGGGCAACGACGGTTCCCGCGGCGGAAGCGGAGAGGGTAAAGCGTGTGGGGGTTGGAGGAGGGAAGTGGGAGCGTGAGAGAGAGAAGGATAGAGAGGGTTTAAGTTTGACGGGGGGAAATGTTAAAGGGTTGGAATTGAAGGTCGGAAGAAGATTTGGGTGAAGAAGTGCCATCGAAAAGCTGTTCATTTGCTGATGCCACACTCCAAGATTTGAAGACAACCAACAAGATAAGGAAGGTAACCCGACCCGATTTGTGCCTCACTTTTTATCGGGTCATCCGAAGATCTGTACGGATTTCTTCTTTCTCTTTCACTCCATTAAAAATTAAGATTGGAGCTGATTCCATGAGATTTTGTATAAAATAAAATTAAAATTACAAAGAAAAAATTCAATAACATTCAACTTAGGTTTTGTGAGAAATAAAATCAGGTATCTTTTTGAATCCATTAAAAAAGTGTTTATTGCTTACTACTCAGAGGAAGTTAATAAAATATTTTTAATTGTTGATAGTATAATAGTGTTTTATACAGACATATATATACTTTAGAATAGTGTATTTTTTAATGATAATATTGATATAAATTATTCCTCGTTGGATGACTAATATATCAAGCAATTACATAATAATACATGATTGTGACTAATAAATTAAAATATAAAATTAAATAAAAAATAAAAATAGTTAAATAATTGTTTTTAATATTGAAAAATATGACATTGAAGACCTCAAAAAATTAGTTAATATATATTATATTAAATACTAACAATTATTTTCGATTAGTAATTTTTTTAATATAATGAAATTCAAACTAAAGTCCTCGTAAAAGTTATCATTATTAAAAATTTATAATTAATTTTATCATTAAAATTGATTCATGAACTCTTTTCAATACGTTAATCAATTATTTAATTGTGATAAAAAAAAACATAATTAAGATTAAAATTAAGAACTTCATTTTTTTTTTTAAGATCACAAAACTTATCAATATGGCCCTCTTTGAGAATATCTAATGGCTCCCTCACATTTTATGATAAAAAGGAAAACAATTCCCATTTCACTATTTATTAGTGAACAAAGTAGAATCAGTTATGATTTTATTATTTCTATAGTATGCTCATTAAAATATATGAAAAAGTAAAAAAAAAATATAAGACACCACAATTAAATTTTTATATAAATTAAATAGTAAATAGTATATCACCCCATTAATGATTTCCTACAAATTTAACTTTATTATATAAATTAAATTGCATATATTCACATTTTCTGTCCATCACATATTCTGAAAGATTAAAAACAAAATGGTAAGTATGCCTTTGGAAGGTTAAGTGCTCAACTAGCAGGATTTGGATTCCCTGTAGTTGAACAGCCATGCACATAAAAAGAAATGAATAAAAGGAGAATCTCACTTTTGGGTCTTAAATGCCCAAATGCAAGTTAGATAATTTTCCAATCATTCTTCAAAAAGATATTCATACTACTTGTACAGCTCTTTGAACATGTTCTATTACCCAGTCATAAAAATATTTAAAATGCTACATAAAATATGTTACTAAATAGAAATTCTCTTCTCATAATACTTTTAATTGAGCAGCAATTTTTAAGTCCTAAAAGACAAAATCATGTTGCTAAATACAAATTATCTTCAAATATTAATTTCAAATGAGCAGCAATTTCTATGTCCTAAAATACAAAGCATAGACACTAAAGAATCAAAGACCCATGTAAAAGGTAGGACAAAGATCCAATGAACTTATAAAATCAAAATAATTGGACATGATCTCATCACACATAACCTTAACTAGGATTATATCACATCCAAAATACTTGTGAACAGGAAGAGATCAAAGTTTTTCTTTTCTCCCTTTGAGAAATTAAACATTAATAAAGTGAAGTTCCCTGCCTGTGTAAACTTTCAATAATCATCTATACAAAAAAAAAGATAAGAATATAAAAAAAATTAAGCTTCTTTCTTAAGTTAAAATTAACTTACAATTTTAATTTCTGAAAGAAACTTTTCTTAATTTCTTCTCCTATAAATGTATGAGGCATGTGGCATTCAGCCCAAAGTCACAGTAACAAATACTATGATCACAGATTTGTGTTATCATCATGAAACATTCAGTGAGGCTAAAACAGGATCTCAATTATAGTTTCCCTACCACACAGTCATTGTACATAAAGCAGGTTGAAACACTTATTAGCAATTAGATTCTTCTTTTTAACACTCTCAAGCAGTAAAAAGCTTGATTACAAACCAAAACACCAAAGTATTGTCTTTGTAGTACAAGGCAATGTGTTTTAGACCTATGATGGCATGTTGGCATCATCCTCGTTCTTGCTCTTGTCAGCTTCAAACTTATCAATTGCCACCTGCAGTTCATCAGTCCCTCCAACAGCCCTCATGGTGTAGAAGTAGGCACCAAAGACAAAAGCTGTCAAACCCCCAGCAACTACCAAATTCTTTGCCTTAGGTGGAAGACTCCTATATCCTAACAGTCCAGACATCTAGGTCAATGGGAAAAAAAGGGTTAGCATAATTCCATACAATTACAATTACCCTTTGTTGTTGAAACTGCAGAAACGTAAGATCAATAAATAAATAAATAAATAAATATCTAAATTGAGATGATGAGGGGAATGCAAAGAAATAAAAGGTAAACATTTCCACAAATAGAATGAGGGCAGTCCCAAAACGATTGAAAAGATAGTAAAACTAAACGAACGGAGAGGTGGCTAAAATGATTCATCTGACAGAAACAGTTATGGTGGGTACTACTCATACTTCTTTCAATTGAAGAGAATCTTTGGATTAAGTTTCTATTATATGATATGAAGAAGCCAAACATCAGCAACATCAAATGATGAAACGAAAGAAAGAGGGAGAGAGAGCGAATTTGCATTACCTTATGGAACAGAACAGACAGGTTCTCCGATTCGCTTCACTTCTTTGGATACGTGAAATCAGTCCAGTGGACACTCTTCCTTTTGTGAAGACGAAAGAGTGCAGAACGCACCGTCTTGGGGTTAAATATCAAATGGCACACTAGTTGAGAATGGAATTTTCGGTGGTTAAGAAAATAATACCAATATTAAGATTAATATAAAATATGTTTTAATTTGTAAGAATCGAGCAGAAGAAAAGTTAATAAGTTGCGAAGTTTTCAAAGAGAAAGCAAGAACAATAATAATATTTCTTAGTTTATTTATAACAAGTTCACCAAAGTTTTGTAATATTATTATCTAACTATTTCATTATGTTATTACAAAGTTAAACTTTTTAACCATATACACTTAGATTGAAATTCATATAAATATTAATTAAATAAGAATGTAATTATCCGAAAAATGAAAATAAGCACTGAAAAATTATTTATAGAGGTTAGAAAACCTATATAGCATTGTTATATATGATTACTCTATTTAGATGATGGCCATTCAATAATTAGATCTGGATTCAAATTCCAATTTCTTTTATTGGAGTGAGTGAACATGGAAATGAATGAAATTAATACAAGTTAATTGTAATTGTAGTTTTGTGCAGTGACATAATTAAGTACAATACAAGTTCTAAATGACAGTATAATTATAAAAATAGTTTTTATATTTATTTATTTTCATTTAAATCGTTCTATTTCTTTTTTTTTCTGCTTCTCTCGCTACTGGGTTCGCCAAGTGAATAAAAGAAATCAATTACCACACTGATGCATAGATAGCTGCAGTTTAAGGTTATTTTATAGATATTAAAAATAATAATAATAAATATTTTTTAAGGCAATTTTGTTGAATCTTATTCTTCTATAAATACATTATTTTTAAATAAGAAAGAGAAAATAATAATAAAAATTAATACCTCAATAGAGGGTAAAAGCATAAATTATTTTGAATTGTTTTTACATAATTAAAATTGCAATTATTTTGGAATGTTAACACCACTTACACTTCCCACCAAAAATCAGAAGTCCAAAATCTCTAAAACAATGACTTACTGAATTTTCGTATTTCACTCCATAAATAAATTTGATAAACAAGAATACCTTTCTGGATACTAATAAGAAAGGCAGGGAGTGTCCCAAACCCATAACACGGAAAATGTCTTTCAGAATTATCATTTCAATTTGAGGTTGATACTCCCAAATAACAACCTTAAATAATAATGTAATAATAAATAATATTTTTGTAATCATGAATGTCAAAATATAATTTTCCTTTCAAATTATGCATCTCAAAATATGATCAAAAGTATTTCAACAAAGAATCCAACTTATTTCAGAATTATCATTCCAAAACAGTATTTGGAATGAACATTCGATGTAATGTAAAATAGGCACCATTTATATAATTCTGGATTCCTCAACGCACAATAAGTAATGATATTTTTATTGTTTCGGATAAAAAAATTCCCTCAAAAGCTGAAGCTACATCTGCAAGCATTTTGGTTGAAGAACCTGCAGTATGTAGACCAGACCCCCTCGGGTAATTGGTTTCAGATCCTTTTGTTGTGCTCCCTCAATTCTTTTAATAAAGAGCAATTGTTAAGGTTAAAAACAAGCCTAGACCAAAAAGACTTACTATAGGCAGGACAAAAATTTCACGTACTTACAAAAGCAAAACAATTGGAAATCATCTCATCACAACCTCACCGAGGCAAATTCTGTAATACGTGAAGCTTTTGAACCGGTGCATACGGTTTTCATTTTAAGTTTGTAATAGCATCCTGCCGTGAGTCCCCATAAACGATAACAATAGCAGCGGTTCTTACATACACCATCATAACCAGATTTGTAAAAAGGCCAAACCAGGATCTCAGTTACAATTTCCACACTACACTCAGTCATTGTACATAAAGCCAGTTGACACTTGCACTACAATAGATTCAATTTAACTTCATTTTTAATATTGTCATGCTGAATAAAACACTTGATCCCAAAACCAAAACAGTGAATGTCCCCAAAGTATCATTGGCAAAAAACAGGAATGTGATTCTCTAAATGCAACAACTATCTTTATGAGGCTTCTTTCGAAACATAGGACTAAATTCTACTAACCAGATAACACAGACCTCGACCAATACAAATGTGGAACTGCAAAAAGGTCAGGGATACTGTTTTCTAGTGATAGATTCCACAATTTCTATCTCAAGATTCCTTTCATCAACCCACATTGAACTCTGTCGGCGCAATAACTCTTTCTTCTCCTCCTTCTTCTTCTCATGCATTTTGGCTTTCATTCTCCAGTTTTCAAGTTTCTCAGCTCTTTCTTTTAACTGGTTCATAAAATAAGAAATCAATCATAAAGATGACAATAAACTAAATCAAGACTATCACTGACTGTGTGTTTGGTTTCTCTTATTTTAAAGAAACAATTGCTCATATTTTGAGAAAGCTTTTAAAAGCCCCAAAAGTAATCTATACACATGAATGTAAGAAATTTAACTGAAAATCATGAAATGAACATTGCAAGTACAATTGATCAAAGTTTATCTCAAATGCATACTAAAAGAGCAAAACAATAAATAGAAATAGTTCCAATTGCATAACAGACTTGAATGATAGATTTTCAACATAAACAACAAATTTAAATATTTCATCAATTGTCAAACAATTGCAATACTACGTGAAGTATCCAAAGCGAGAAGTTAGGAACAAATATTGTATCCATGACTAAGCTCTTTACCACTAAAATAAAATCCACCTCACGTACAGCAAGAAAGTTCTATGAGTTTAAATCTTCAGAGACCTATTGTAGATTTATACTTGTTTTCACAGAGTATGGCATAATAAATTTATTCATCAGCATAGGATATAGACAAAATATATCATATCACACATTAAGTGTGAACTTTGGACTTCAAAGTGAAATCCAAACCAAATCCAAACCCATAAATTGAGCCTTCAACATTTAAATTGCAATATGAACAAACAAATTGACATGCCAGTAAATCCAGGTTCACTTTAACTTTTCTGCAAGCATATCAAAATAATGACAAAACTCAAATGAATTTAGTTGTTTTAGGCTTCGTTCTCTGATCAAACTTGAAGTATCTCCTCAGTAAACTATGTTATGTGAAGATATACTATGTACATTATCGAAGTGAAACTTCAATTGTGATAAAAAAATTGTATCAAAAACACTCAATGAATTGCATCTAAGTTTAGTTCAAACAACAATTGGATTGGAGGAACATCTACATACGAGCGTTTGTCGAAACTGTTGTCGTTCGATGTCGCGTTCTTGGGCTCTGAGCTGAGCTGCTTGAGCCTTGAGCTTCTTGCGCTCTTCGTTGGCGACTCTGAGGGCTTCCCTGAGAACCTCGTCTTTGCGCTCCTTTTCAATCTTCATCGCCTCCATCTCTCTTATGTATTCCTTCCGAACCTCCTTCACCTGCTTCGCGTAATCCCTTCGCAGCATCGCCAGCTTCGCCTCCGCCTCCTTCGGGTCCCGCGGCGCCTTCCAGCTTCCCAGGAACGAGTTCGGAGAGAGGAACTTGTGGTTCTCGCGCTGCTGCGACGCCCTCGCCGACGTCGAGAACGCACGAAGCGATGAACGGAGCATGCTAACCACGGCTAAAACACAACAATGAAGAACGATTTTAAGTGAGCATTTTCACAAACAGAATGGGGGCAACGCGATTGATATAGTTGTGAACGGAGCATTTTGTTTTGTTATTAAGTTTGTATGGTATGATTAGGCAATCGTCATTGAGAAACGAAGTGAATAATCTAAAAAAGAGAGACATACAATTACCTTGCTCAACACAATTCACTTCCTTCCCTTCACTTCTTTCTCTTTTTCTTTCCCAAACACAACACAGCACCAATTAACTCAAAACACACACCCTCTCCTTTTATATATGCACATGAAATCAATTCTGGTAAAAGAAGAATTAGGCTAAATTACTTTTTCCTCTCATATTTTTAATAATTTCTTATTTGATATTTTATTTTCTAAAAATTTTACGTTTTATATTTTTAATTTTATTTATTTCGATGTTATTTTTTTTGTTTGAAATAATTTTTAAACATTAAATGTTAAGTAATTTTAAATTAAATTAAAGATATCAATTAGATTTCTTTTCATCTTATTTTAAAAACGATTTTTAAAATTAATTTTTAAACCTGATTCTAATAACTAAAAAATAAAACAAAATCAAATAAATCTTTCATTTTTATCTTGTTTAAAATTTAACACAACCACCGCTGCGAATTTTAGAATAATTAATTTAATATAATGATAATTTTAATTATTATCATTATTTCTACTTTATTAAATTTTTAAACAAAAATTGCTTTGAAAAAAATAATTATGAAAGTTAAATGGAATAAATGTGACTCGTTAAATTCAATTGTATTTTATATAGTGAAAGCAATAATTATAAGTTCACACAATTGTGAGTACTCCCAAATTTAATTTCAAGAGATATTGTTATTCAGCTCACAACTCATAACTTTTCATCATAAACTTCATTTGCAAAATTTAATTTCTCAATTAATATTAGATTCTTAAAACGAATTAACAAAAAAGTTAAAATGACTATCATAAAGTATTGCTGAAGAACAATAATGAGGATATTATCTTTGCAGTATTAAAGTTTTCTCATTGTCTCCATGAATACAATTTCAATTTTTCATAAGCCATAAATATTTTGAAAGAGATAATCTCCCCAGTCAAATAGGATCATTTTGAGCAATATAATTCATTCACAATTTTCTTCATAAAAAAACATTAAGAAAAATAAATTGTAAAAACATAAAGAATAAGAAAGAAATAATTCTTTTGAAAATATTTTTCAATTCTTAAAAATAACTAAATTCCACATATGTGTAGACGGAGGAAAGAATAAAGGTAGAATGAAAACGAAACAGGAATAGAATGAATGAGTTGATTACTATAATTGCACTATCAAAGGTCTGTCTGAATACCAGGAGTTGATGACTTGTTCTAAGACCATGCTTCGATGTGATATTTACCACAACTTTCTAATGCTCTAATCCACCTAACTGCATCTTCTCTTGAAACATCATTTTCTGTAGATACAATTTCTTCAAAAGCTGATGTTACATCTGCAGGCATCTTAGTTGAAGAACCTGCTATATAAACAGCAGCCCCCTCAGATAACAGGTTCCAGATTCTTTGCCTGTGCTCCCTCATCTTATGCTGAACATAAACCTTCTGGGCCTGCTCCCTTGAGAAAGCAACATAGAAACCTCCACCCTTTGCTTCTGAAAGCACTCCTTTTTCTTGGGAATGACTCAACCAAAAGTCACGGTACAGAAAGTCACCGTCTTCATTCCAACAACCAAAGAAAAAAATAATTGGAGCAGTGGCGTTAGTTCTACTTTGCACTGCTCTTTCCTCTACAAATCCACGAAATGGCGCACATCCTGTTCCCGGTCCAACAAGTATGAGGGGAAGTGTTGGTGATGGCGCAGGAAGCAAACCTTTATGGAACCAGGCTGGAACATGGACACCTTCAAAGAAAAAGAAAAAAAAAATGTATATAACATAGGTAAAACTGATGGTTACATAAAAAAAAATGCAATAAGGTGCTTGCTTTGCATTCATACCATCGCAAGGATCTAACGCAGCTAGCCATGAAGAGCATAGTCCTTTCTTTTTCCTCTTGTAAGGTGTTGTCCAGGACACCACATTCACTGTCAAGTGTACTTGATTGGGATGAGCTGATTGAGAAGAAGATATGGAGAATGCTCTTGGTTTCAGAGGAGGAACCAATTGGACTAACCACTCAAATGGCATTTGTACAGAAGGAAAATCCTCTAACACCTGTTTTCCCACCAAACATAGAGAACACACATGCATAAGATTGAGATGAATAAGACAAAAAGACAAGCAGAGAAACAAGGAGTATCTAAATCATTGTTAAATAAGCTAAATTACAAAACTATCAATTCACTATGGCTATCATAACTCTTGCACTTTTATTCCCTTCCAATGATGTCTTTTTTTTTCAAAGAAAGAAAACATATCATCGGATAATTTAAAATCCCAGAACTGCTACAAATTTTGGGATCTACTTCTCCCATTCTTTGCATGAGCAATGAAGCCCCTTGGTTATTTTCCTCTAACTTATTTTTCCCTTCTTCAAAACAATGGTGCCCAAAGAATATCATGTCCTGCCTATGGTGATCACCTATTCACACAAAATACCAACACCTTTAAAGAAAACAGATTAACATTTTCAAGACTAAAACATAAAATAGGTAATTCACCATTCATTAAATCAACATCTTCCCAATTCAGTTTTAGCACATTTGTCCCAATGAAAAATGAGTCATATGACTGGTAGCAAATAAAATAAAAAGCTATTTATTTAATTTGAAAAAAGCAATTACCTTGAAACAGAACCAGAATTTCGGGACTGGGACTGGAACTGAAACTGTAATCATAATAATTTCACTTACATAAAAGATTTTAAACGTAATTAAAAATATTGGTTTAAGAGCTTAAGAACCACCAATCCTTATCAATTGTTGTTTCTTGAATTCTTTTACATTCGTGGACCAGTTTTAGACACTACCCTTTAACAATTCCCCACATTCTTAGAAGCTGCTTAACACACAACATAGTGAGAGTAAAGTGATCACAAAGCAAAATCATGCACGACATATAATCCATTTCCCTTACCTCAAGAACAGTTCTCCTTTCTTTCTGGTTATATTGGTAAAGGTCATCTCTTCCTTCAGGTGAAGCAAAATATTTAAGTCTTTCCCTCTCATGTTCTGCTGTTGCAAAAAAACTCATAACCTATAACATAACACTAACGCTTGGTCAGTTTTTAATTAAATAAGTTATAAGCAGAATAAGACTTTTAATTTGTGAAGAAACTCAAATATCCAAACTGATGTCCTTTTAAAATCATGCTTCTTTCCTATGCGTCAATATTTAGGAAATCATCATGCGTAACAAACTTATAAGATATTAATCATACACAACATCTTGCATTAGAAAAATAGACATGTCATGCGCAGGCACAAAGAAAAAGAAAATCTTGTTTTATAGAATGTGGAATAATAGATTTTACATAAACAAACACTAGCATATATGAACAGTACATAACATTGCTTTTGCTGTATTTCATTTCAGTTACTACCTTAGATTTTGAGACATTACAACACAATTGCCAAAGATGGTCAGAGGTCATTTCTCTCCACATCCAAGATGAGTATTAGAAGTTCTACTTGATGAATACTATATTATAAAGAGGCTTTATTTTATTTACGGCTTGGCCTGCCATGTGTCTTGATCTAAAAGGCCAGTCTGAAGTAACAAGGATTTTTAGTAGAGAGTTGTGGAGGAAAGCCAATAAATATATTGAAAAATCAACATTCCTTGGCCATTGTGTGAGTTTTTTATTACACTCCGCAACCAATTCTAGCAATTTATTAACTCATTATGTATCTAATCCAAGGTAAAAAACTTCAAATAAAAAAGAAAAAGAACATAAAATAAAAGACAGGAAAAGGTTGAATTCAACTATGCAATTTTTTAAAAATGGTCCAACAAATGGGCTGCCAAAACCTAGTGCATCTTACCTCAAAGAAGTAGCGCCGTGGAGAAGCTGAAGCAACATCCATTGAAAATTCCACAAAGGTTCTTAACTTTACAGGGATTCTAGAATCATGTGCATTGTGATCATCCATATCTTTTGGACTAACCTGAAATGTTGCAGATATCTTATATATACACATTGAAGAAAAAAAAATTAATAACAAAAATACCCATCAGGTACAAGACATGCAAACAAATAAAGTACAAGCAAAAAATGGATAGCTATATGATTCTACTATTCCCAGGTAGAAAACTTTTCAGGGAGACCATGGCTTCAGAAATCCGATAAACACAGAGTAAAGGCAGAAACAACCATAAGGCTTGCTTCTTTTATTTCTACATACTTTAAAAACGAGGTCATTTAGCTGATTAATTGTATCAAACAATGTTTGGAGGATGCATTTATGTCTAGGCACGAGGCAGTAAATGTGAAGTCAACACTGACAGAGGAAGGTCAGAGAACCTCATTAATCTTAACAAATATCAAATTACTTACAGTGATGAATGAATCAGGATCCAAATTACATCGTTTTATGAAAGCATCAACTGCAGCTGAATCTTGACCAGGTAGAATTTCAAAGACATCACCAATCTCATATTGAAGAGCCTGGAAACCATAATGCATCTTTTAATTCAAATGAGTATGAATGATTTTGTAGAAAGTAATTTCACCATTCGATATAAAATTAGGATCCTAAGCATTGTAATCTGTTCTAAATATGTTTTAACATTAAGAAATTTATACAGCTAATCCACCCAAAGGTTAAAAAAGACATAGGGTAGCTTACATGTGAAACAAATTCAAATTCAAAATGACGAACATCTTTGCCACAGTTTGATCTGGTCAAAGGAAGATTCTTTACCTGCATGAGCAGAACCAGATAGAGTGAGGCATGCAACAGAAACAGATGACTTGGTGGTAGATATGTTTTTAGAAAAGTTTGTTCATGATAAATAAAGACTTGGAACACACAGAGAGTAAATTAAAGTCTACAAAAGTTTTCATTGAGCAAATCAGGTCCACAAAATTCCATACAATTCAAGGATCAATTAACACTTCATCAATCAACTTTCAATTTTAACAGATTAGATACTATACTTCTTAAAATACAAGTAAATGTTAACTATAAAAATGACATTCGTAGACATATTTCATTTATCTAAAAAGTTATGTATGAGCATCAAGAACTCTTAAGTTTATATCTTATAATTCTATTGGTAGATTCGATTTGTTAAATTCATATTCAATAAAAGTGTTTAGAAGTGGCACAAGTGTCCATGATAATAATAAACCACTTATCACCAAGATATACACCCGCAAGAAACGAACAAAAGAAGCAACAATCCTAGACCACCAGCAATGGGGCACACAACACTCAAAGGATGCAAAACACCCAACAGTTACAATCCATCCAAGGGGTGTAAGGTCAAGGGATGTGAATCAAGGGGCATAACCCTTGGAATAGAGATACAACCATTAGGAAAAGTTGTATCAATTAGGAACAGTTGTTAGAAGTAATATAAATAGAAGTAATCCAGATCAGGAAAGGGGGAAGGAAATTAGGAAAGAATTGTATTATGGAGAGACAGACTCTCGAAAACCTGTGTTATAAAATATCTCAAAATTATCTTTATAAATTCTATTCATTTTTCAATCCTGTCCAATTCTTTTAATCTTAGGGTCAATGGGTCTAGGTCTTTTCACACACACATGCAAAAAGCTAATAAATAGTTTTCACACAGAAACAACATTTTCATTTGTAACTCGATAATGGATGTTACTGGAAAATTAGATTAAATAAAATCTTATTTTATTATTTTAATACAAAGAGATTATACAAGATATATACAGGAGACCTAAGCTATTTTAGGAAATATAATAACTCTATTTTATTCTAGGATCCCTTGATTTATGGGATTGTTCCTAATTGTTCAAATCTGTACAAATTACAAATTTTCTAATTTATTCTTTCCTAAAATATTATTTGATTTCCCACACTCCCCCTCAAGCTGGTGAATAGGTGTTTTCCATTCTCAGCTTGAATACAATCTTCTCAAAATTGTGGCAGCTTAGTCCCTTGGTAAGAATGTCTGCAATTTGGTCTTGAGAGGACACATATAGAGTGCATATTAAGCCACTATCAAGCTTTTCTTTGATGAAGTGTTTGTCTACTTCAATATATTTAGTTCTATCATGCTGCACTGGGTTGTGAGCTATGCTGATTGCTGACTTATTATCACAATAGAGTTTCATAGGTTCTTCCCATTTTATCCTCAAGTCTTCTAAGATGATTTTAAGCCATAGCAACTCACATATACCTTGTGCCATGGCTTTCGGAATTCTGCTCAGACCTTGGACCGAGCCACTTACACCACGCTTTTTGCTTCTCCAAGGTGCAATATCCTGTAGTTGACCTCCTATCCACAATTGACCCTGCATAATCAACATCAGTATAGGCTTCAAGCTTCACATTACCATTCCTTTTAAATAGAATCCCTCTTCCTGGAGTTCCTTTAAGGTACTGTAAAATTCTGTGAGCTGCTTGTAAATGGGTCTCCTTTGGGTTATGCATAAATTGGCTAATTAAACTCACTGCATAGGCAATATCGGGCCTGGTATGCGACAAATATATAAGTCTGCCCACTAATCACTAGTACATATCTTTTTCAACAGCAACATCTTCTTCTGCATTTCCAAGCTTTAGGTTTGGTTCTAATGGGGTACTAGCAAGTTTGCAAGCTGCCTTGCCAGTTTCCTTGAGCAAATCAGTGATGTATTTCTGCTGGGATATAAATATCCCTTTCTTGGAGTTGGCAACTTCAATTCCTAAAAAATATTTTAGTTTTCCCAAGGTCTTGATCTCAAATTCCTTGCCTAAACATTGGCTCAACAATTGCTGCTCTTCTTTATTATCTCCAGTTAATATTATGTCATCCACATACACCAGTAATATTGTTACTCCCCCTGACTTGGAATGTTTAAAGAACAAAGTATGATCCCCTTGGCTTTGTTTGTAACCCAGACCTGTCATAACTTTAGTAAACCTACCAAACCATGCACGGGGGAACTGTTTTAGCTCATATAATGCTTTTTTCAACTTGCAAATAGTGTTGGCAACAACATCTCTACCATATCCCGGAGGTATCTCCATATAAGTATCTTCTTCAAGGTCTCCATGTAGGAAAGCATTCTTAACATCAAATTGTTCCAAGTTTCAACCATAATTGGCAGCAAGGGACAATATCACCCTAACTATGTTCATTTTGGCAACCGGAGCAAAGGTCTCCAAATAATCAATTCCATAGGTTTGGGTGAACCCTTTGGCAACTAGTCTTGCTTTATATCTCTCAATTGATCCATCAGCCTTGTATTTCACTGTATAGACCCACTTACATCCAACTGGCCTCTTTCCTATTGGTAAGGTGACTAACTCCTAGGTGTTGTTCTTCTCTAATGCCTCCATCTCTACATCCATGACTTGTCTCCATTTTCTGTCAAACAATGCCTCATATAGGGTATTAGGTAGAAGTACAGTGTTTAGGTTTACTAAGAAAGTTTTATGGGTAGGAGAGAAATTTTTAAAGGACAGGTAATTTGAGAGAGGGTAGAGTGGTTGTTTGGTGCATTTTCTTGTCCCTTTTCTAATGGCAATTGGGAGGTCAGGATCATTTTGGGTTTCAATTTCAACCTGCACAGCTGGAGAAAAAATTGTTACCTCTTTTTGTGGAGTCGAGTTGGATTCTTGAACATGGCTTGATCTTGGAATGGTCTTAGTCTTTCTTGAGTACACCAACTTCTTACCAAATTTCCAGCTTCAACATCTTCTTGATCAACTTCACAATTAATTTCACTTTCTTGACCAACTTCCTTTTCTTGACCAATTCCTTGACTTCAATTTGATCTCGTTTAGGTTCAAATATCAAGTCTGAAAGAATGAGAAAACCATAATTACTACTTTCAATATGATCTCGTTTAAGTTCAAATGTCAAGTCTGGAAGAATGGGAAAACCAGAATTACTACTTTCCTTACCTTCCCTGAAACTCTCCCCCCTGAAGATAAGGTTGATGGAAATAGCCCTCTTGTTCATTGAAGGTAACATCCCTAGACACAGAATTTTTTGGATGGGGGGTGTTAATTTATACCCTTTCTGAGTGGGTGAGTAACCAACAAAGACACACTTTAAGGCTCTAGGATCAAGTTTCCCCCTATCTGTACTATGAATATGGACATATGAGATGCACCAAAAAACTCTTGGTTTAAGATTATTTGTAGTAGACAAGTTTGGATAGAAAGACGACAAAGCTTCCATAGGGCTTTTTAATCCTAAGACTCTAGAGAGTAGTCTATTGATAAGGTATGTTGCTGTAAGGACAACTTCCCCCCAGAAATTTTTTGGGACACTTTTTTGGAACAACAATGCCCGAGTCTGATTTAATAGATGTCCATTTTTCCTCTCTGCGACCTCATTCAGCTATGGTGTTTTGACACAAGAGGACTCATGAATTATACCTTCTTTTTGACAAAAAGAATTAAGGACATGATTGAAGTAATCTTTGGCATTATCTGACCTAAGCCTCTTAATATTAACACCAAACTGATTTTTTATCATGGAGTGGAAGTTTAGGAAGACATAACTGACTTTTGATTTTTGTTTAAGTAGGAAAACCCAAGTGACCCTTGTACAGTCCTCTATAAAGGTGACAAACCATCGAGCACCAGACACATTTGGAACATTAGAAGGTCCCCATACATCAGTATGAACAAGATAAAAAGGAAAATTGCTAATTCTATTACTTATTGGAAAAGATATACGCTTGTGCTTAGCAAGTTCATACACCTCACAATGAAGACTCTCAACATCTAACTTGGTAAACAGAGAGGGAAACATAATTTTGATCACTCCAAAAGAGGGATGTCCCAACCGACAATGATAAAGCATGATTTTTTCTCTGTTGGTCATCAAGGATTCAAATATGAAGGAGTGAGAGATTCTGTTCTTGCTGGGCAGACTTGGATCTTCGAGATAATAAAGGTCATTCCATTCTCTAGCATGTCCAATCATCCTCCCTGAATCCTTGTCCTGAAATACACAATGATCGTTGAAAAAACAACTTTAGATGACAAATCCTTTATAAGTTTTTGTATAGACATTAGGTTGGTGGACAGTTTTGGGACATGGAGAACATCTTTTAAGGTTATTAAAGGATTGATTTGGATATTTCCTTGACCAGCTACAGTTATAAGGGTTCCATCTGCTATGGCAATTTTCTTGTTGCTGGGACATGGGGAATATGTGGAGAAGTGTTTGGCTAATGGTGTCATGTGATCTGTGGCTCCAGAGTCCAATATCCAATAATGGTTAAAAGGTGTATCTGAGACATTTAATCCAAAAGAAAGTGGAAACTTACCTGAGTATGCCAAAGAACACACACCTGTAGGTTTTTCCAGCTTACTAAGAACGGGTTTCACCCTTTCTATCTCCTCTTGGTTAAGATGGGCAGTAGCTTCTTGATTATTTCCTTCATTTGTTTCAGCAGCAACATAAACTTGTCCTCCTTTCCTTAAGAAGCCTCCTCTGTGTCCCCCTTCTCGATCTCGATTTAAAGACTTCCCATGTAACTTCCAATACTTCTCTAAGGTATGACGAGGCTTATTGCAATAGGTACACCAGAGACCATCACCTTTCTTCTCCACATTTGCTGATCCTCCTTTCTTCTATTCGGCTACCCCTTTCTATTCAACACTGTACGAACAAGTTGGGCCCACTTCAAATAATTTCTTCCATTTAGTCTATATGCAAAATGAATATTCTGCAGTTCTCCAAATTGTTGGGATTGGATATTCCCCGTTTTTGGGGTTGGGTTCACAACTTCCTCTTCCCTTGACATTATAGCAAAAAGGTGCGATGCAACAACAATGCAGACTGCCGTCTTAGCATTAAGAAAAATGCAGCAGCAATGCAGGCTGCTGTCTTAGGATTAAGAAAAATGCAGCAGCAATGCAGGCTGCTGTCTTAGGGTTAAGAAAAATGCAGCAGCAATACAGACTGCCGTCTTAGGGTTTATAGTACACAGACAGAACTTCCTAGATCGGAAGCTCTGATACCATCTGAAAAATTAAATTAAATGAAATCTTATTTTATTATTTTAATACAAAGAGATCATACAAGATATATACAGGAGACCTAAGCTATTTTAGGAAATATAATAACTCTATTTTATTCTAAGATCCCTTGATTTATGGGATTGTTCCTAATTATTCAAATCTGTACAGATTACAAATTTCCTAATTTATTCTTTCCTAAAATACTATTTAATTTCCCACAAACTAGTAGAATACTAAATCTCAAATGTATTATTCTATACTACAGAAGAGATGGTGAACTGATCTATGTACTATAAACTGTCTATTAATGGACAATGCACAACATCCCAATTATTGATAACTGTTATTGAACACTAATGATCAGCAGAGTATGCATATTCTAAATACTGTTTACAACTAATGATGCAGTGTCTTATCCTATACCATCTTAAGAAAGTAGCCAGGTGTACTTCTGTCAGAGAATGCTTTTCCAGGGTGCATTGATCGAGCACTCCCAATTTGAATATTAAGAGATGTTAAATCTGAAAGAGGCACACGTTAGTCACGTCAAATATAACAATAGCAAAAGCCTTATCAACAATGTGTAACTCCACAAAACCGTTACAGCTCAATGAAATGTGTGTGTGTGTGTGTGTGTGTGTTTGTTGCTTTTTCCCAAATGTGACGAAAAATCAAAATCCTCTTGGATGTTTAAGAGCCAAAAACTTTCAAGACTTTACCATAAGAAATTCAAACACACAACTCATCCCACATCCAGTAACATGTCAACAATTCCAGAAAATGGCTATGTAATGAAGTAATGAAAGCAAGCACTTCTACTAATTTGGGACTAGTTCATTACTTAATATGCAAAGACTTATTACCTAAGCATATATATGTGCTACCCAATTCAATTATTCATAGAGGTTGTGCAACAAACATAAACAACAAAAGCAACATACATACAAAGACTTTATGTGGTACAAATATGGAACAAGTCAACCAAGAACTTAACCAGTGTGGGATACCCGAAGCACTAGAAAAATGTGAATCGTCATTTTCAATGTTGTGATATGTGATCTGGATTTTGGGTTGATCAATCAAAACTGTATCTTGAACCACAACATCAGGACCATTTGATAAATATTCTGGTTTAATCATGTTTAACATTCTCCAAAGAGAAGACATCCAAGGATCCAGAGAAGCTTCATAGCTACAAATAATTATACCATTTTTAGTCACTTGAAACATAGTTTGTATCACAACATACAATGAATAAGAACATTGGTTTTGATAAAAAAATTAATCACAAAGCATGATGTATTCATTGAGTATAACAAAGTTCTCCACGGCAAGTAGTAGCAAGATCTAATGGAAAAATCATAAAGATAGATTCATATCTTCCATAGAGCTTACTCAAAAAACCCATGTTTTTGTCATCGTGACCTCTTAGTCAAAGAATACAGAAAAGTAATAGTAGTCACAATTCAAATTCAGAAACAGTGAAGTTCTTCACCTCTTTCAAGCTTTCTTACCAAGGTTATTTTAAAGTAGCAGATGAATCTGATAAGCAAAGGGATCGGGCATCCTCACTTCATTCCTCGTTTCATGCATTAACTTAATCCCCTATTTGTTTTTCAGCTCTAGAGGATACTTTCCCTTTGCCCCGATAAACTTACTTCTATCTTTGAATATTTCTATATCTAGTTCAGATGTTAAAAGTGTGGTAGGGCAGTAATTTGTACGAACATTTAAATACTTTATCACTGTCAACATAAACTTACTATCTCTTTGAGTACTTCCCTAACTAGTTCAGAAGTTCAGAGTAGTTTGGTAATTATTTGAATGTTATAATTTTCTTTTTATTTTTATTTTTTTTGCTTTACGAATGTTAGTGGGAGACACCGGAGACCAAACTCAAGGTTGTGGCATTATATATTAGAATAGATGTTTGAAACTCCATTTTGTTGACTGACCATACCTTGTAGATATTAGAATTATACTCGTGTTAACATGATATGTTTTCAACTAAAGGAAGAACAATTAACCAAAGAACAGAAGAAAAGTAATCTTGGGCTTGAATAAATAGTGAATACCAATAATTAAAAACAAAAAAATATTTGAAGACTCAATTAGTACATTCTAGATAGATGAATCAGTCATCCAATAACATCAATGATTCATACTTTACAAGCATAAAGTTGTATGTTTGAACTATGCCAAGTAAAATTATCTAATTGACATCATAACATGTAAGCATACCCTGAAGGGTGTTGATCATCTCCCAAACCTCTTTCTATAATAACTGTTCCTCCAAGGTCCATTAATCTTTTGTCTAGCTTCTTCGCAACAAACTGTAACAGTTCAGTGTAAGGGGTTTTATCCAAAAATCAAACTAAATAAAATAAACATATCTGCAATGACAGTAAACAAAGCATCGATCAAAACTGTAGCGTAACTAAGTAATTTTCAACATTGTACAGTGCCTACTTGCCCACATTCTTACAATGTTTCGGCATCAAAATGTATATTGTCCACAATCAATGCAGCAGTGTTACAGTACTCCATCCAACAAATAAAACATAACAAAATGTGCAAGAATTAATACTTTACATTGTACTTCTGATAACTAGAATCTCCCAAGCCGAAAACTGCATAAAGAACACCTTTAAGCCAATGCCGGCCTAGGCTCCTCTGAAGAAGATATCTCCAAAAAGCCTGTAAAGGAAAAAAAAAAGTTTATACACTTTCACCCAATCAACTAATAGGAAATCAACTTACATATGACTATTAACATAGTTATTATAAAAGTCAACAATTCTATTGTATACAACACTCCGATAGAATGATAATTTAAAAAAACCTTTAGACTATCAGCACATATTGAATTCTGAAAACAATCTCAAATCACACCACAAAAAGTTAAAAAAAGAAGAAAAAGAAAAGAGAAGTAAATAATAGTATACGAAGACCTTTTAAGTTAGTTTACCTTCATGGAATCAGGTGTATCACCCTGGCCTGTTGTAGAAACAACAAAAATGACAGCCTGCTCTTGCGGTAACAAACTCTGCACAAACCCAACAACATTGCATTCAAGCCATGAGCAACAAAAAAAAAAAAAAAAAAAACTTTACTTAGATTTCAAAACAACATTTTTTTGGCACACCTAACAAAAGAAGCTTTATTTAATTGCAAAAGATGAAGCGGAAGACACATACAGGGTCATATTGCTCAAGGGAGAGAAGGTTGACGGGACAGCCTCTGCGTTCAGCTTCGCGAGAAAGACGTTCGGCTGCGTCCAATGCATTGCCGGTCTGAGTGGCATACAGTATGAGGAGTTTACGCATGGCTTTCACCTTCAACCACCGCAAAGCTAAGAGCTTTTAGGTGAATGAAGAAAAAGGGGTGGGTTTTGTTTTGGTAGGGTCTTGCTACGTCGTGGCGACGGCTACAACCTCCCGGATAGGCTGGGCAATGAGAAAGAGAAAGCTATGTGAGGGGCAAAAAGAAGAGAAATCTAGAAAATATAGGTGGATGTTTTCTCGTGAAATGAAATCAATCCGAAACGAGAACGCGAAGCTTTGCAGACTTAATTGATTCACTTGGTTCAAGCAGAGGTCCAAGTCGACGAGTAATGTGCAGTTATTGTATTTAAGGTAAAATATACTTTTTTTTTTTGTTGTTGTTAAGTGGTCCAATTTTTTTTTTAATAATTTTATTTTAAAAAATATTGTCTGAAATAGCACATCTCTTATATTATTTATTCAATTAATACTTTTTACTTGTTTACGGTCATTCAAGTAAGAAATTTATCTTCTCGTTTCAGTAAAGAGACATGAAACTTAAGAATTTTGTAGAGTTTAATTTCGCTCAAGCGATATAATTTTCACTCAAGCAAGAATCATTTCGCTTGAGTGAGGAGACCTGAAACTAATGAGTAATTTCGGGTATTTTTTCGCTCAAGCGATTGATAATTTCGTTTGAGCGATAACTAATTGAAATACGTGGTGACCTAAGTTGTATTATGTGGCTAACTGCGTTGGACCTTTAGCTTGTGGTCAATTCTCGCTTAAGCGATGGGTAATTTCGCTTGAGCAAAAAGTGACTGACGCTTGTAGTCAATTCTCGCTCAAACGAGAAAATCATCGCTTGAGCGACGAAATTTATAATCGATCATAATTTTTAAATAATTGAATATTTAAAATTATGATCGATTATTTCTCTCTTGTTCAAGCGAGAAATTCATCGCTTGAGCGAGAAAATATGAAACTAATGGATAATGTCGGGTCAATTCTCGCTTAAGCGATAGGTAATTTTGCTCGAACGAGAAGTGATTGGCTAAGCTGCGTTAGACTTTTCACATGTGTTCAATTCTCGCTCAAGCGACAAATCCATCGCTTAAGCGAGAAAATTTATAATTGATTATAATTTACACTAATCAATTATAATTTTAAAATAATCGAATATTTTAAGTTATGATTGATTATTTCTCTTTCGCTCGAGCGAGGAGACCTGAAACTAATAGGTAATCTCGAGTGTTTTTTCGCTAAAGCGATGGGTAATTTCGCTAAAGCGAGAACTGATTAAAATATGTGGTGACCCAAGTTACATTATGTGACTAACTGCGTTGGAGCTTTAACCTGTGGTCAACTCTCGCTCAAGCGAGAAATCCATCACTTAAGTGAGGAAACCTGCAACTATTTATAATCGATTATAAGTTAAACTAATCAATTATAATTTTAAAATAATCGATTATTTTAAATTATGATAGATTATTTTGTGACTTTTTTACATAATTCATATTTTTTTTAAAAACATTTCCCAAAACAGCACCTCCTAATATAATTTCTAACGCACACAAGTCAGAAATCCAATTCTAAGTCACTCACCAAAGTCAGGATTCTCATGCCTTTCTGATGTACACAAGTCAGGAATCCAATGGTGAGTCACCCACCCAAGTCATAATCTCCCAATATTGCTCTCTTGTGCGCAATATCGCTCGACATCACCAATTGCATTGGTTATCAACACATTTAACAACATATCTACTTTGGTTTGAAATTTTCACCTTGTATGTGCAGTGATTAACAATGTGAAAGCGGTTGATGACATCTTAAACTTGTGTCTTTTGTTATGAAATGTTGTCCAAAAAATAGAGTTCGTGCCAGTGAAACAAAAGACTCTCTGTCCAACACTTGGTCATACTCTGGGTCTTGTTGTTGAATGTAACTTCCAAAGTTAATATTGAAATCTTGACTTGGGTGGGTGACTCAACATTGGATTCCTGACTTGTGTGCATCAGAAAGACATAGGAATCCTGACTTGGGTGGGTGACTTAGTATTGAATTTCTGACTTGTGTGCGTTAGAAATTATATTGGGAGGTGTTGTTTTGGGAAATATTTTAAAAAAAAATTATTAATTATGTAAAAAAGTCGCAAAATAATCGATCATAATTTAAAATAACCAATTATTTTAAAATTATAATCGATTAGTTTAGCTTATAATCGATTATAAATAGTTGCAGGTTTCCTCGCTCAAACGATGGATTTCTCGCTTGAGCGAGAGTTGACCACAGACTAAAGCTCCAACGCAGTTAGCCACATAATACAATTTGGGTCACCACATATTTCAATTAGTTCTCGCTCGAGCAAAATTACCTCATCGCTTGAGCGAAAAAACACCTGAGATTACTCATTAGTTTCAGGTCTCCTCACTCAAGCGATGAATTTCTCGCTTGAGCGAGAGAGAAATAATCGATCATAACTTTAAATATTCGATTATTTTAAAATTATGATCGATTATAAATTTTCATGCTCAAGCGATAAATTTCTCGCTTGAGCGAGAATTGACCATAGGCGTTACGTTAGCTAATCACTTCTTGTTCGAGCGAAATTACCCATCACTTGAGCGAGAATTGATCATAAGCTAAAGGTTCGACGCAGTTAGCCACATAATGCAATTTGAATCACCACATATTTCAATCAGTTATCGCTAGAATGAAATTACCTATCGCTTGAGTGAAAAAATATCCGAGATTACCCATTAGTTTCAGGTCTCCTTGCTCAAGCGAAGGGTTTCTCGTTTGAGCAATAGAACTTCTCGCTCGAGGGAGAATTATATCGCTTGACCAAAATTAAACCCCACAAAACCCTTAAGTTCTAGGTCTCCTCGCTCAAGCGATACATTTTTTCGCTTAAACGAAAATACCGTAAACAGTAAAAAGTGCTAGTTAGGTAAATAATGTTCCAGATGTGCTATTTAGGAAAATATAAAAAAAAACATTATTTATGAAAAAAAGTCACCAAAATAATGTTATTATATATATATATATATATATATATATATATATATATATATATATATATATATATAAAAGTAAGAAATTAAAAACATTTAAAATTTTATAGAAAATAAACATCAATTTTCAAAATATTTGGAATGAGTGAAAGCATATTTTATCCTTAATAACAATCTCTACGTTATTAGTGTCTCCGCATTCTCTATATAAAATAAGGATTTCTAAGATAGAATGGACTTTAGTAAGAACATAAACAATTAGTAAGACCAATCTTCATCGTTCCGTGTGTCGGAATAAAGGATTACGAAGACACAAGTAAAAATATAAATTAGTCATGCAATATTAATAACATTTTAAATTTAGGAACTAAATACAATTCATTCTTAATTAAATTTTAAACTACAAAATCATTAAATCAACATTTTTTATTAAGACAATTTAATTATCACTATAAATAACAATTCAATCTAACTAAAAAAAATAATAATTCAATCAATAAAACTTGTGTGGTTGTTTTAGGTGAAAATTAGAAAAAGGGATGGCGCTGTCATCCATGATGAGATAGAAAACATTAGGATTCTAAAAACAGTTAAGAAATGTGTTATTTCCCTTCAAAAAGAATAATGAGGACTAGTAACTTGTTTGTTGTTGTGAGACCTCATCTTATTCCATTTAACCATCTCCTTAAAATTTATTTCCCTTGATTTACGGTGATCACTATAAACGACTTGTATTCATAATAATTTATATTAAAATTTATATAATTATATACAAAACAGACGAACTCAAAATAAAAAATAAATATAAAAAAAGAAAAGAAAACAAAAAGTGGATGCGACAAGTTAGAATATAGATTGAAAATAAAAATTAAAAAATAGCTTTACTTTACGATACATTTTTACATTCAAATTTAGATATATTGTCGCAGCTATCATCATGACAGGGAGTAATAATCGCAATATGTTATGCCCTTCAATTTACTTAATCTTTATGGTCTTCGGCAAATAGTTATAATTTTGTGTTATAATGTACACTCTCTAGCTGCGGGTGATATGACTTTTGTTTTCAATAACACCGTCTTTCTCAACACAATCACCACTCTTGTTATGTTGAAGTGCTGGAGAATGTGACACTAATTCCTCTTTAATTGATCCTTCAGCTTCTACCTCAGCCTTCTGCTCACAAGAATTTAGTTCATTTCCCAGGATTGATGCCCCCTCTTCTTGGAACCTCGAGTTTTGCAATTTTTCCTCGTGATCACCAGAACCTGCTTCATTTCGTAGGATTGATGCCCCCTCTTCTTGAAGCCCTGAATTTTGCGATTTTTCCTCCTCAGCTTCTACCTCTGGCTCGTAATTACCAGAACCTACTTCATTTCCTGGGAATGGTGCCCCCTCTTCTTGAAGCCCAGAGTTCTGCGATTTTTCCTCGTCTGCTTCTACCGCAGGCTCGTGATCACCAGAACCTAGTTCATTTCCTGTGATTGCTGTCCCCTCTTCTTGAATCCCTGAGTTTTGCGATTTTTCCTCCTCAGCTTCTACCTCAAGCTTCTGATCATAAGAAACTAGTTCATTTCCTGGGATTGATGTCCCCTCTTCTTGGAGCCTCGAATTTTGCAAATTTACCTCCTTCTCAACTGCTAACTCAGGCTTGTTATCACAAGAAACTTGTCCATTTCCTGGGATTGATGTTCCCTCACGCTGAAGCTTTGAGTATTGCAATTTTTTCTCCATTTCTGCTTTTACCTCAAGCTTCTGATCACAAGAAACTAGTTCATTTCCTGGGATTGATGTCCCCTCTTCTAGAAGCACTGAGTTTTGCAATTTTTCCTCCATCTCCTGATTCTCATTGTCTTGTTGCTTATTAGTACCAGGATAAGTTCCATCATGTTTCTCTTTGACAACCTCCAGACATTCATCACCTTTCAGCTCCTTTTCACTATCGATGGACTTCGAAATAGAACTTTCTTGTAACTCAACACCTCCAATAGAACTTTCCATTTCTGATGATATATTAACAGGGCCTTTGCCTTCAGCAGTATGCTCTGTTTCTGAGTCATCTTCATCCCCATTTTTAGAGACAGGAAACGACTGAAATGCATCCCAATCATCTTCACTGACTTCATCTTCTTCCTTGTCATTGTCATCTGTCTGCATCACAGCAGCTGGTGATGGTACAGAATGTTTCACTTCACTTCCTTCTGATGGCTTCGGCAGTTTTATGTCCAAAACTGGTACTTTTAGATCTATTGGATTTTTATCATGTGTTACAGAAGCTCGGATTACACCCTGAAAATTAGAAATTATAATGGGACCTTGTTATTTTTATGAACAGAAATTTTCCATTTCTAAAAATATAATCTCTTCAGATAGTCAATTAGTAGTAGTAGAAAACAGAGGATCTGCTAATTGAGCAAAATAAATGTCTATAATTAATTCATATGCACATCCATCAGTAACATAGAATTACCTGAAGTTGCTGGCGGTGATGAGGAGGCATTGATAGTAAAACATCCTTGAAATGAATGGCTGAAGAAGGAATTTGAGCAAGGCGAGAAACAAGCTTAACAGCCGTGCTTCTTAAATCACTGACTTCCTGTCATTTATTTGCACGATCAAAAGAATGTATACAAAAGTACGAAGAGCTAACTTCACCAATAGAAAATCCCAGTTCAACTTACCTGAGAGAACCCAGCTTCAGTTGACAAGAAAATCATGACAATTGCCTCCAGAAGTAAGTTCATAAAACTTCTCTGGCAGTCATTACCTTTAGACAGGGTTTGTAACAGCACCAGGAGACTCAAGCATTCACTAGCAATGGTTACTGATTCTCTTGTTATAGTATTCTGTTACCAATAAAAATATAGAATCCTTTAGCTACGCCATGAATTACAAAGTTCAATATTAATAACAAACTGATGACAATATATAGATGCATTAATGGAAAAGCATACACAAGATTGGGTATACCTTCAACAGTTTGTGGATCAAAGTGAAAATATCAGTAATTAGCTCCCCAACGACAAACATCATAAAAGAGTTATCTTCTATATTTACTCCTCTTTGAATCCTGGCTTTAAGAAATTGCAATCCTATCACTTGAACCTGTTAAGAAGAAAATTCTATCATTTGTATTTCTCTCCGGGTAACAGCCATGGTCATGTGTGTGATGTTTCTTACATATTCATTTACCTGCGTATTTGAATCAATAAGTAAAGTTTGGATACATCGAATACAATATTTAAGTGCACCAACACAGATGGAGTTCCTTGCTTCACAATCTTCGGCATATTTACTTTCAAGGGCCAGTTTTGAAACGGATATAATTTGTTCAAGAGAAAATGCAAGCTTTGTATGTATTATCCTGCGTTGGTTGAAATTTTTAACCTCCTGCAAATGAAATCCCTCAATGCAATCCTTAGTCAAAGCAGCGACTACACTCAGGCAAGTTCCAAACATAGCTCTTAGACGGATAATGCTATCATCAGGCTCAGGCTCAGGCTCATCTTCGAAATAAAATTGGGCAAAAGATTAATCATCTGTGATGTTGAATGGATCAAAGTTGATTCTTCTCTCCTATATTGGTTAGCTTTATGCCGAGATCCGGCTCAATTATCTTGAAACTTGAGGGACTCAAGTAATTTTTGCCACATAAAGATTGTACCATTAAATTGAATTAAGAAAATTAAAAATGCACATGAGCAAAAATTTAGGAAATACAAGTAAAATTATAACATTCAAACTAGCTATTCAGAGGGACGAAAGAATGAACATGTATCACACTACCTTCTACCAAAACTGCTTACCATCAATGATTCTCTTTAATAAAGGACTTGTACAGTTGACCATCTCAATGGCTTCAGATAAGCACACCTCAGTTGAAGCCTCCCTAACGCACTTGTAGCTAATTAAAACTAACGCCAAAACCACTGATTTGGGATTCTTATGCATCTTAAGTAATCATCATAAGAAGAAATCATCAATGAAGATAGTTTTGGAGAACAAATATAATAAATGTAGAATAAAACATTGCAAATTTCCATGAATACAGAATTTTATAGATATTTGACAAAAGATAATGGCTCAAACAGAAATCAGTCATCCAGTATCATCGACAACAGACACACCTTGGTATCGATACAGTTGATGACTGCATTTGTTGCGCTACATAGTGTTTGTATCACATTTACTTCAGTGTTTGGATGAGTTACTGTTGTGTCAGCACTGGACAACACAAGAGCATGAACTCTTTAGCAAAGTATGTATAAACAGTAATGTCCATCAAATAATTGAAACTGCCTTAAATCATCAGTCGCAGTAAATTAAATACCTCCGAAACACTTTAAAAAGGTAGCCTAAACAAAGTTCCATTGTTATCAAAGCCAAATTTTCACTATTGAAAACTTGTCGTGGACAATTCTGTGCAACCTGTAGGAAAAAAAATTGAAACTTGAGCTTCATAAGTCTCAAAAAAATTGAGCAAAGCAGCAAAAACCTTACTAGACAACAATAAGAATCTATTCTACCGTAGGAATAAGTGCATGAAGTGTTGAGAAAAAATAAAATGCAGAGTTACCATCCTGAATCAGTTTATCAAATGTCTACCTCTGATAAGATGGATACCGCAAGACTATGCCAAGAATTATCGATGTAGGTGGTATATGAAAGAATCTGCATACATTAAACAGAATAAGATATGTAAGAATAGTTTTATTTATGCCCATTCCATATAAACTCAACCATAGGGCACAGGAATTACTATGAAATCTGGATACAATATCCTTGGAAAATGTAGTGGACTACCACTAATATACTGACATAGTGCAGATTAGTCATCAAATTTTTCTTCCTTTAAATTGTCAAATATTCTACTCTGAACCAGTAAAGACAAAAAAAAGTATCTAATTTAACTAGAACGGTCAGTAGATTTGATAGTATTTGGAAAAGCCAGCTTCTCTAAATTCAATGTTATCCATGAGGCTCTAAATCACATGTTGTAGTTCCAAATGCTTACTAATTGTATATAAGGAAGAAAAAAAAATAAGAAACTAATATTGCACAAGGTCTAGTTTATTATGAATATCCATGTCAATCATATTTTCCAATTCTGCGTCAAGGACAATCTCCTAAAAGTTAGGTAGTTAGGTGGAGCAACGAAAACGATTTAACACATAACATATAACACCTACCTGCAGCAGTTCTTTGCATATATCCGTAGGAAGTAACCCAGCTCCAAAAAATCTTTCAGTCAGAAGAAATTGAAACATAGGAAGTACAATTTCATATAATTTCAAGCCTGAGGGTTTCACATCATTACTCGGCAAGTTCCCACTATGCTTAGCGTTAACAAAAGCCAGCTGTAAAATTGGTTTGCAAAGGGCAGGATGTTGTGACTGAAACAGGCCAAGAAGCGAAAAGCCCCACAAGAACTTAAAATCTTCACATTTCAATTCAACCATACTATATCGATGTGCAGTGGCACTATGTTTTTGGGTGTTTTCAATTGGGGCTTCATTTCCTTCAGAATCCACAGGAACTGCATCAAGTGCAAGTGCTTGCAAAATTACAGGCCAAGATTCATCTAAGCATGGACGCAACTTTGAAGATACGATAGGTGATTCCAGTCCATCAAGGAATAGATTCCACTGCAGAAAAGGAGCAACTAGAATGTGAAGGCAACCATAAAGATATTACAGTTACATGTTGATCCAGGTTTCATCTCCCGATGAAATTATGCACTCATTAATATTTGGTAAGTTCAAATTCTGGCATACCTTCCTCTTTGGGCTTAGGCATAAGCATATATAACTATAATCTTTCAATGTATGGATCCAGTACTTCCCCAGAATACTTGAGCTTTTTTGGAACAATGGTAATAGTGCCAGGTACTTATCTGAAACTCCATCTCTGTGCTTCCTCATGGATGCATATATATAACACTTAAGAGAAGCATGTGCAGCCAGAAGTCTTATTTTGATCTAAAACACAAATTATAAATAAAACAAAAGATCTAGATAATAAATATTGGAAAAATTAACAAGTACATGATAACAATAATAGTCACATGCCTTGCTTGTGACCCATTCTGCAAATGAAGGATAATAAATGTCCTCAAAGTCACTCAATGGGCGAGAAATTATCGAGAATATGCGCTTGACCACCACTTGGTCTCCACTGATGATTCCACTGGTTAGTATCTGAAATTTCCACATACTACTGAGTTATATTTAATCACATACTTGACGAACTTCACACATATAATTGCTAATTTTCAATAATTAATTTATGATATGTTCAAGGGAAGCCCGTAATTGAATTTAAAGAAGCTCTGATGCACCGATACGTTGACAAGCCTAGCCTATCTGTATCGGATATGTATCCGATACCGATTCACCTCCATACTTAAAAAATTCGTATCGAAAAAGAATCGAAAAAAAAATCCAAACAAAAGTAAAAACAGAATAACAAATATTTTTCTGTTATTATTACTATTAAATTAATAAAAACCGTGGAATTTGTTATTATTTAGAGTGACAACATTATCTCTTGATGAACCAAACATAAAAGTTGTTTTATTAACTGATGATGTTCAAGGAGGAGATGATATTGATATTATTTCTATTTCTAAACAATAAGTAATTATTGTTAACTTTTATTTTACATTTAAATTTTTTTAAAGTCATATATACATTTAAAAATATATTTAATATGTTCAATTTAAATAATATTTAATAGTTTTATATAATTTTTTTATGAATTATATATATATATATATATATATATATATATATATACACACACGTATCTTAAACGTATCGTATCTTAACATTTTTAATATAAGACGAAACACAGTATCTGATACTTGTATCGTATCTGGCATCATAGTACAAAAGTAATTTTGGGGGATTTCTAAAAGGGTAAATAAATTATGGAAAATTAGATTAAATGAAATATGATTTTTATTATTTTAATACAAAGAGATGATATAAGATATATACAGGAGAGCTAAGCTATTTTAAGAAATATAATAACTCTATTTTATTCTAGGATCCCTTGATTTATGAAAGCAATGAGGGGGAGATTGATGACAATGTGAAACATATCTCTACATTCCCAAGAGATGATTTTGATGATGATTCAAGTCAACAACATTCAAGACTCAAGTAAGCCCAAGATATGATTTTGATAAAAATTTTATTTAACATTCAAGCAAGCCCAAGATGATTCCTGAAGACTAGATAGAGTCTTAGAATACTGGATATGGAGGTACAAGTTGATGAAGTAATATTATGCATAAGCCTCCAAAGCACAAGTGTGATAAAATTCATAACATGATATTTTTCACTGTCATAATCAACTATGATGCATCAAAAATGGAAAAATGATTTTCTCTGTCATAATTGATTATACTGGTAACATAATCAATTATGATAATTCAAATTTGAAAAATATATCTGTTTTGAAGAATAAATGTTTTTGAATATATCCTGATTTTTATTCACGAAAATATTAATGTCCAACGACCATTTTCTGATGCTATTTTTCATTTTAATTAAGTTTTGATGAAAAATAAAAAGCACATAATTACAGAATTCGAAAATACAATTTATTTTCAATCAGTTTTGAGAAAAGAATCCTGAGCAAGGCAACAGAGATATTTTACACCTTCCGAGAAAACCCTCTTCTCTACTGCCTTCTGTGCTCTCATTGTTAATCACACTTGTTCTTGGAGATTGACATTCTACAGGCTTCTACAATTTGTTGTCTCCATTACCCAAGTGTGACTGTTTTTATTTTTATTACCTTTATCCTTTGTGTATTGGTGGCAAATGAGGTGCTTTTCATCCCTAGTGTGATTCTAGGGAGGTGTTCATCCTTAGTGAGATTCTAAGGAGGTGTTTTCATCCTTTGATTTGTTCATGGGAGGTTTTCATCCCTAGTGTGATTCTAGGGAGGTGTTCATCCTTAATGGGATTCTAAGGTGATTTGTTCAGAGGAGGTGTTCATCCTTAGTGGGATTCTAGAGAGGTATTCATCCTTAGTGGGTTTCTAAGGAGGTGATTGTCTTTTTAATTATTTTACTTTTTACTGGTTCTTCTGCTGAGTTGATTGTAATTTGTAAACTGAATTTGAAAGATAGTGAATTGGGAGTCACTCTTGTGTTAAGAGTTGACTGGGAACTGGATGTAGGGTTGGCTATACCCGAACCAGTATAAATCTCTGTGTGCTCTTCTCTTTCCCTTATCTCTTCTCTTTTGCTGATTATATTATCGCTTCCGCTTTATCTGTGTTCAAACAAATTATTGACTCACAAATAATTTTTTAATTTGAGATCTATTTTAATTTGTGCATCTATTCACCCCCCTCTAGATGCCATTTGTCTAACAATTTATGGGATTGTTCCTAATTATTCAAATCTGTACAGATTACAAGGAAATATACAAATTTCCTGATTTATTCTTTCCTAAAATACTATTTGATTTCCCACACTCCCCCCCTCAAGCTGGTGAATAGTTGTTTTCTATTCCCAGCTTGGATACAATCTTCTCAAAATTATGGCAGCCCAGTCCCTTGATAAGAATGTCTACAATTTGGTCTTGAGAGGACACATATGGAGTGCATATCAAACCACTATCAAGCTTTTCTTTGATGAAGTGTCTGTCTACTTCAATATGCTTTGTTCTATCATGTTGCACTGGGTTGTGGGCTATGCTGATTGCTGACTTATTATCACAATAGAGCTTCATAGGTTCTTCCCACTTTATCCTCAAGTCTTCTAAGATGATTTTAAGCCATAGCAACTCACATATACCTTGTGCCATGGCTCGGAATTCTGCTTCAGCACTGGACCGAGCCACTACACCCTGCTTTTTTGCTTCTCCAAGTCACAAGATTTCCTCTAAGAAAGGTGCAATATCCTGTAGTTGACCTCCTATCCATAATTGACCCTGCATAATCAACATCAATATAAGCTTCAAGCTTCACATTACCATTCCTTTTGAATAAAATCCCTCTTCTTGGAGTTCCTTTAAGGTACTGTAAAATTCTGTGGGCAGCTTGTAAATGGGTCTCCTTTGGGCTATGTATAAATTGGCTAATTAAACTCACTGCATAGGAAATATCTGGCCTAGTATGCGACAAATATATAAGTCTGCCCACTAATCTTTGGTACATATCTTTTTCAACAACATCTTCTTCTGCATTTCCAAGCTTTAGGTTTGGTTATAATGGGGTACTAGCAAGTTTGCAAGCTTCCTTGCCAGTTTCTTTGAGCAAATCAGTGATGTATCTCTGCTGAGATATAAATAAATATCCCTTTCTTGGAGTTGGCAACTTCAATTCCCAAAAAATATTTTAGTTTTCCCAAGGTCTTGATCTCAAATTCCTTACCTAAGCATTGACTCAATAATTGCTGCTCTTCTTTATTATCTCCAGTTAATATTATGTCATCTACATATACCAATAATATTGTTACTCCCCCTGACATGGAATGTTTAAAGAACAAAGTATGGTCCCCTTGGCTTTGTTTGTAACCCAGACCTGTCATAACTTTAGTAAACCTGCCAAACCATGCACGGGCGGACTGTTTTAACCCATATAATGCCTTTTTCAACTTGCAAACAGTGTTGACAGCAACATCTTTACCATATCCCGAAGGTATCTCCATATAAATTTCTTGTTCAAGGTCTCCATGTAGGAAAGCATTCTTAACATCAAATTGTTCCAAGTTCCAACCATAATTGGCAGAGGGACAATATCACCCTAATTGTATTCATTTTGGCAACCAGAGCAAAGGTCTCCAAATAATCAATTCCATAGGTTTGGATGAACCCTTTAGCAACTAGTCTTGCCTTATATCTCTCAATTGATCCATCAACCTTGTATTTCACTGTATAGACCCATTTACATCCAACTGGCCTCTTTCCTATTGGTAAGGTGACTAACTCCCAGGTGTTGTTCTTCTCCAATGCCTCCATCTCTACATCCATGGCTTGCCTCCATTTTCTGTCAGACGATGCCTCAGATAGGGTATTAGGTAGAAGTGCAGTGTTTAGGTTTACTAGGAAGGTTTTATGGGTAGGAGAGAAATTTTTAAAGGACAGGTAATTTGAGAGAGGGTAGAGTGGCTGTTTGGTGCATTTTCTTGTCCCTTTTCTAATGGCAACTGGAAGGTCATGATCATTTTGGGTTACAATTTCAACCTGCACAGCTGGAGAAAAAATTGTTACCTCTTTTTGTGGAGTCGAGTTGGATTCTTGAAAATGGCTTGATCCTGGAATGACCTTAGTCTTCCTTGAGTACACCGGCTTCTTACCAAATTTTTCAGCTTCAACATCTCCTTGATCAGCTTCAGAATTAATACTTTCTTGACTAGCTTCCTTTTCTTGACCAATCCTTTGACCTGTTTCACTTGTTACAGCTTCAATTTGATCTTGTGTAGGTTCAAATATCAAGTTTGGAAGAATGGAAAAATCAGAATTACTACTTTCCTTATCTTCCTTGGAACTCTCCCCCTGAAGATAAGGTTGATGGAAATAACCCTCTTGTTCATTGAAGGTAACATCCCTAGACACACAAAATTTTTTGGATAGGGGGTGGTAGCATTTATACCCTTTATGAGTGGATGAGTAACCAACAAAGACACACTTTAAGGCTCTAGGATCAAGTTTCTTTCTGTCTGTACTATGAATATGGACATATGAGATGCACCCAAAAACTCTTGATTTAAGATTATTTGTAGTGGACAAGTTTGGATAGAAAGATGACAAAGCTTCCATAGGGCTTTTTGATCTTACGACTCTAGAGGGTAGTCTATTGATAAGGTATGTTGTTGTAAGGACAGCTTACCCCCAGAAATTTTTTGGGACACTTTTTTGGAACAACAATGCCCGAGTTTGATTTAATAAATGTCCATTTTTCCTCTCTGCGACCCCATTCTGCTGTGGTGTTTTGACACAAGAGGACTCATGAATTATACCTTCTTTTTGACAAAAAGAGTTAAAGACATGATTGAAGTAATCTTTGGCATTATCTGACCTAAACCTCTTAATATTAACACCAAACTGATTTTTTATCAATGAGTGAAAATTTAAGAAGACAGAACTGACTTCTGATTTTTGTTTAAGTAGGAAAACCCAAGTGACCCTTGTACAATCATCTATAAAGGTGACAAACCATCGAGCACCAGACACATTTGGAACATTAGAAGGTCCCCATACATCAGTATGAACAAGATAAAAAGGAAAATTGCTAATTTGATTACTTATTGGAAAAGATACACGCTTGTGCTTAGCAAGTTCACACATCTCACAATGAAGACTCTCAACATCTAACTTGGTAACAGAGAGGGAAACATAATTTTGATCACTCCAAAAGAGGGATGTCCCAACCGACAATGATAAAGCATAATATTTTCTCTGTTGGTCATCAAGGATTTAGATATAAAGGAGTGAGAGATTCTATTCTTGCTGGACAGACTTGGATCTTCAAGATAATAAAGACCATTCCATTCTCTAGCATGTCCAATCATCTTCCCCGAATCCTTGTCCTGAAATACACAATGATCGTTGAAAAAATAACTTTACATGACAAATCCTTTATAAGTTTTTGTATAAAGACTAGGTTGGTGGATAGCTTTGGGACATGGAGAACATCTTTTAAGGTTATTAAATGATTGATTTGGATATTTCCTTGACCAGCTGCAGTTATAAGGGTTCCATCTTTTGTGACAATTTTCTTGTTGTTGGGACATGGGGAATATGTGGAGAAGTGTTTGACTAATGGTGTCATGTGGTATGTGGCTCCAGAGTCCAATATCAATAATGGTTAAAAGGTGTATCTGAGACATTTAATCCAAAAGAAAGTGGAAACTTACCTGAGTATGCCAAAGAACACACACCTATGGGTTTTTCCAGCTTAGTAAGAAAGGTTCTCACCCTTTCTATCTTCTCTTGATTAAGATGAGCAACAACTGCTAGATTATTTTCTTCATTTGTTTCAGCAACAACATAAACTTGTCCTCCTTTCCTTGAAGAGCCCCCTTTGTGTCCCCCTTCTCGATCTCGATTTAAAGGCTTCCCATGTAACTTCCAACACTTCTCTCGGGTATGACGAGGTTTATTGCAGTAGATACACTAGATACCATCACTTTTCTTCTCCACATTTGCTGATCCTCCTTCCTTCTGTGCGGTTACCATGGCCAAAGTCTAATCTCCTTTATGGTCCATTGCTGAGTTCTCCACTGATGGACTCTCTAGCATGAGACCCCTTCTACTTTCTTCACTTCTCACAATAGCCACCACTTCATTGAAGCATGGTACCTTTTGCTTCCCCAATATTTGAATCCTAACTTGATCAAATTCAGGATTCAAACCAACAAGGAAATCATAAACTCTGTCTTGTTCGATATACTCCTTGAGAAGTGCTGAATCTTTAGTACATTTGGCTTTTATGACTCTATAATGGTCTAGCTCCATCCATAATGATTTCAGCTGATTGACATATTCTGTAACAGTCTTGTTCCCTTGTTTTGCTGCTAAAGTTTTCACCTTTACTTCATATACTTGAGCAACATCTTTGGCTTTAGAGTAGGTTTGCTCTACGGCATCCCAAATCTCTTTTGCCGAATTAAGGAACATGCAGGTGTCGCTGATTTCTGGAATCATTGAATTCCACAGCCACGCCATGATCATTGAATCTTCTTCATCCCATGTAGTAAACTTGGGATCCTCCTGTTTAGGTCCAAACTCCATCAGGTGACTCAACTTCCCTTTCCCTTCAACACTGTACGAACAAGTTGGGCCCACTTCAAATAATTTCTTCCATTTAGTCTATATGCAGAATGAATATTCTACAGTTCTCCAAATTGCTGGGATTGGGTATTCCCTGTTTCTAGGGTTGGATTCACAACTTCCTCTTCCCTTGACATTATAGCAAGGAGGTGTGATACAGCAGCAATGCAGGCTGCCGTCTTAGGGTTAAGAAAAATGCAGCAGCAATGCAAGCTACCGTCTTAAGGTTTATAGCGCGCAGACAGAGCTTCCTAGATTGGAAGCTCTGATACCATCTGGAAAATTAGATTAAATGAAATATGATTTTTATTATTTTAATACAAAGAGATGGTATAAGATATATACAGGAGAGCTAAGCTATTTTAAGAAATATAATAACTCTATTTTATTCTAGGATCCCTTGATTTATGGGATTGTTCCTAATTATTCAAATCTGTACAGATTACAAGGAAATATACAAATTTCCTGATTTATTCTTTCCTAAAATACTATTTGATTTCCCACATAAATCAATTTCAGAGATAAAAAAAGGATGAGGAGGAAAATGAAGCCTTTCTACCTTGGTAGCCAAGTGCAAGCCTGCCTCCAATAAGCTAGGACTAGACGATGTGTCCAAGGTAGTACGAACTGCAGATACTAGCTGGGCCTATATAAAGTTGAAGTTATTCCAAATAAATCACAAAACTCATAATCTACTTAAACAATAAAAACAACGTTGTATGGGACTACTTGACAAAAACAGTACGTGAATTAATTAAATTATCCTTAATGAAACAAATTTTGGTCAGGAATTGAAATCTTGGCATGGAAAACAACTTTGGCACATCTTGTCAAATACCTGATACTGTTCCAGCAGAAGATGCCCGGGAAGCTCTGGATCAGCTGATTTTTCAAACTGACAATCCAAATTACATACAAGAGCAAATTAATAAAACTTGACTAGTTGGGAGATAATAATATTAGGATACACCATACAGTTAAAATTAAGCAGAAAATAAACATTAAGTAGTATCTTCGAACATGAACTGGAAACATATAATTAATAAAAGTGATTTAGTTCTACAACACTTGGTCGAACATTTTACTTGTTTCAAAGTAAACAATGGTCAAATTACCCCTAACTGTCTAGACAGAAGAAATTATGCCTCTTATTAGAGTTCTTCAGAGAGAGAGAAAGGAAGAGGAACTGAAAATGATATCTGTTACAATTGATTCAACTGATTTACAAGAGTCTCTTTATAGAGAAACGTACAGCTGCCATAGTAACAGCTGGCAAGCCTAACTAAATAACTAAAAGCTTAACTACGAACAAACAAACAGAAAGCTAAGAAGCACACTAGCTAGCAGAGTAATACAACACTCACATGACTGATAGTATTAGAGGGTATCTCGGCTTTTTGTCAGCTCTTTTTTGTAGTATCTCAGCTGTTAGTGCTCCAGCTATGCGAATTAGTTATAAACTGGTGTGTCTGTCATATAATTAGTTTCTCATATCAGCTGGCTATTCTGAATATATATACTTATATGCTACTGATCTATAATCAGATTGCATTGAATACAAAACTTATCTTAGAAACTCTAAATTTTCTCTTACTTTCTATCTCTTTCACTTTCTTGCCTATTCTGAAAACTTGTAGTCAGTGTTGATAAAAGATGCAGTACTATTAGGCAGAAGAAATAAAAATTCAAGAAAATGGGAGAAGATATCATAAAATGAAAATCAGAAACATAGAAATGATAGAATAAGTATTCAATATAATCAGGCTCTTCAATCCTTTGCATATTTGTTACAGAGGCCCGCTTAAACATACCATGAGCTGAACACCAAAGATATTCCTAAAACTGATAAAAAAAGGTGGAAAGAATTTATGAAGATTCAAGCATTTTCTCAAACCAAAAAGTCAAATATAACAGAATATCATGGTTGCCAGACCACCGTAAAGCCTCTCCCTTAGTTTGATCACAGAAAGTAGCTAATAACAAGAGCCTCTTACAGAAAATAAAAGATAAAAGAAAAAGAAAAAGAAAAAGAAAAATATCAATTAGATCAAAAAATATACTTTATTTGCCATGGGAGAGAAAGAGTGAGAGAGAGAGAGAAAGGCATTTTAGTTACAAACACATACTATTTCACAGAGCATATTACCTTGTCCACAATAGTGCCAAGAAGAGTGACGCCTACTGGTTGCATGTTCTCAAATTGAATTGTACTAATCTGTTAATGGGGAAAAATGAGATTGGAGGGCATGATTGATTTTTAATATATCATGAAAATCAAATAAAAGTGCAAAAGGTAGCTCAGGCATAGCTAAGCAGTACCTGATAAGCAAGTGATATTAACTCTTGCAAGTGGAGAACTAACCAATCACCAGTGGATTGCCCACTTGCATGTTCTTTTCTTGCCAAAGTTAGATCAAAATGTGCAGGATTTCTTCCTACAGCATCTGGTAGATGGCTCAAGCATCTGCAATAACATTTATTATTCAAATAGCAAACTATATTAACAAATGATTGAAATCAAATGTTCTGATCAGAAAAAAGATCAGCGTCAAAATATAAATCATGACATAATCAAGATTAATTACTCAAGGATCACAATAGTTAAGAGAGTTAAAAGAAGATTTATATTTAGTGGGGATGCACCTCTCCACTCTATGATCTCATATATATATATATATATATATATATATATATAGGATTACAGCATTTAAAACAACTACTACAAACTACCAACCACCAACTACTAACTACTAACCACTAACCACTAACCACTAACCACTAACCATTAACCACTAACCACTAACTAATAATAATTATAACACTCCCCCTTAAGCTGGAGCATACAAATTGTATATGCCAAGCTTGGAACAAATAAATTCAATTTGAGGTTCTCTTAAAGACTTTGTCAACACATCTGCAAGTTGATCATTGGACCCGATAAATTCATTGCAAATTTCTTTAGACAACAATTTTTCACGAATAAAATGAAAATCAAGCTTTATATGTTTGGTCCTTTCATGGAACACCGGATTAGAGGCAATGTGGAGAGCTGCTTGATTATCACAATACATCTTCATCTGTTGGATCTTACAAAATTTCAGTTCTTGAACGAATTGTTTCACCGACACTAGTTCACAAGTGAGAGATGTCATTATTCTATATTCAGCTTCAGCACTAGACCGGACCACTACATTTTGTTTCTTGCTTTTCCAAGAAATAATATTGCCTCCAATGAGAACACAATATCCTGTAATGGAGCGTCTTTCCATAGGAGATCCAGCCCAATAAGCATCACAATACCCAGATATTTGAGTACCCCCTTTATCTTCATACAACAGACCTTGTCCTGAAGTCTTTTTAAGATATTTTAGGATGTGAACGACAGCATTTCAATGATCAGTACGCGGATTTTGCATAAATTGACTGACAACTCCAACGGCAAAAGATAGGTCAGGTCTGACAATGGTGAGATAAAGGAGTTTCCCAACAAGTCTTCTATATCTCAGGATCAGAGAGTGGTTCACCTAGATCCGCCATTAATTTCTGATTTGGATCCATAGGGCTGTCTACTGGTCTACAATCAATCATATCTGTTTCTTTTAGGATATCTAAAGCATACTTTCTTTGGGAGACTACGATGCCTTCTTTTGATTGAGCCACTTCAATCCCTAGAAAGTATTTGAGACAACCAAGATCCTTAGTTTGGAAGTGATTGCATAAATGTTTCTTTAGAAGAGAAATTTTATCAACATCATCCCCTATAATGACTATATCATCCACATATACAATTAAATAAACACATTTTCCTGAAGCAGTATAATAAAAAACAGAATGATCTGCTTCACTTCGTTTTAGTCCAAAACTTTGAATAATGTGATTAAACTTTCCAAACCAAGCATGTGGAGACTGTTTAAGATCATAGAGAGAATGATGTAACTTTACAAACCAAACTAGACTCCCCTTGAGTAACAAAACCAGGAGGTTGCTCCATGTAAATTTCCTCCTCAAGATCACCATGCAAGAAAGCATTCTTGATATCTAACTGATGAAGAGGTCAATGCCGGATAGCTGCCATAGCAAAGAAAAGTCGAACAATAGTCATTTTGGCCACAGGAGAAAAAGTATCACTGTAGTCAAGGCCATAGATCTGAATGTAGTCTTTTGCTACTAATCTAGCTTTGAGTCGATCAACTTCACCTTTTGGTCCAACTTTAATGGCATAGACCCAACGACAACCAACAGTCTTCTTCCCAGGTGGAAGAGGAACTAAGTTCCATGTACCATTGTGCTCAAGAGCTTGCATTTCATCAATCATGACTTGTTGCCATCCAGGATGATCAAGTGCCTCTTTCACATTTTTTGGAATAGTAATAGTGGATACAGAAGAGACAAAAGAAAAATAGGAAAGAGACAATCTATGGTAGCTAAGAAAATTATAAATGGGATGTGGATTACGTGTAGAGCGAGTACCTTTGCGAATGACAATAGGCCAACTTGAGTCATCATTATCAGGAATCGTGATATTAGGAGATGATTGAGAAGGATATGCTGAGGAAGTGATGAGGATTCCGGTGTATTTTGTGTGGAATTTTGGGTGTCAAGAGGAGGAGGTACAAATGGCTCCACTAAGGGTATAGGTAGGATATTTTGGACCGAATTAATATCCTGCATAGAAGAAGGAAAGAAGGGAGTTGATTAAAAAAAAGTGACATTAGCAGATATGTAGTACCTCTTGGTTTCAGGAGAATAACATCGATATCCTTTTTGAAGACGAGAATATCCCAAGAAGACACATTTGATGGCTCTAGCTGATAGTTTATCTAAACCTGGAGATATATCATGAACAAAACATACGCAACCAAATACATGAGGAGAAACATGAAAGAGTAGCTTTGGTAATAGAATAGAGTGTGGAACTTTATTGTTAAGAGAAGATGACATTTTGTTAATGAGAAAACATGCAGTAAGAATAGCATCTCTCCAATGATGAACAGACATGTTTGCACCAAGTAATAAGGTACAAGCAGTTTCAACCAAATGTCTATTTTTTCGTTCTGCTATATCATTTTGCTGTGGTATGTGAGGATAAGTAGACTGGTGTAAAATGCCTTGGGAACTTAAGAGAGTGGAGAAATCAGTAGAAAAGTATTTTTTGGCATTATCACTTCGTAAAACTTTGATTACTTTTCCAAATTGATTTTTGATTTCGTTAAGGAAAGACTTAAAGATAGGTAATAATTCAGAATGGTCTTTCATTAGATAAATCCAAGTACACCTAGAAAACTCATCAATGAAGGTAACAAATATCTATAGCCAAAGGATGAGACACGACTAGGACCCCAAATATCAGAATGAACAAGAGAGAAGACAAAGTCACATCTAGATTCAGAACGTTTAGGAAAAGAGGACCTGGTATGTTTCCCTAGTTGACATGATTCACATTCAAAATTTTGAAGAGTCTGAAGTTCAGGAACCATTTTTTTTAATCTTGACAAGTGAGGGTGCCCTAAATGTTCGTGTAATAATTTTTGGAGACAAGGATGCAACACAAGATATAGATGATTTAGTCCCAAGGTAGTATAAGCCTCTAGATTCATGTCCTTCGCCAATCTGTCGACCCGTACCACGTTCCTATATAACAAAAGAGTTGACATTAAAGGTTACTGAACAATTCAATAATTTGGTTAATTGACTTAGGGAAATGAGACTGAAGGGACATGAAGAAACAAAAAGAACAGATTTTAAGTTTAAAGACGGAGAAATGAAGACTTGACCAGTTCCTTTAGAGGCTACTTTAGATCCGTTGGTTAAGGTTATGAGATGAGGAGATTTAGGAAATGAGAGAAAAGAGAACAAAGAGGTATTACCAGACATGTGATCAGAAGCACCTGAGTCAATAATCCATGGATTTTGATTTTCCACAGATTGTGAAATGCAAGCTGTTGATGAATTTGGGGTTGTTGATGATTGTGCTAAATTACTGGATTTCAACCGCAAATATTATTGATATTCTTCGTGAGAGAACTTGGATTCAACCATTTAAGATTTGGAAAAATTGACAGTTTTGTCAGGAAAACTATGCAAAATGTAGCAATTTTCCAGGGTATGACCCATTCTCTTGCAATAAGTGCATTGAGGACGTCCTCTACCTCCACGTCCTCCTCTAGTGCCGCGACCTCCTCTTCCACGAGTAGAAATCATTGCAGAAGATTCAACAAGTTCTTGATTATTTTTTCTTTTGAGAGTTGGAACACGAAGCAGTCTTGTAGTCAAACTTTCCGTAGAAGGAACTTCTTATCAAGTTAAAATTTGATCTCTAACATGATCAAATTCTGAATTCATAGCCCAGAGAGTCATAACCATATAGAATTTATCCAACTTTTGCTTTATCTCCTCTAACAAATCCACCTCTAGGAACATCTTTAATTCTTCAACTGCTGATTGAGCTTCAACAATAAAGGTAATCATATCTTTATCCGTTTGCTTGAGAGAGGCTAATCGATTAGCGGAATCATAGAGGCGTTAGATATCATTTGCGAAGATATTTTGAGCCTTTTTCTAGAAAGAGTTACATGTTTTGAAGAATCTAAGAGTGTTCAAAATATTTGGTTTTACTGATTGTCACAATAGAGCACAGAGTTGATAATTAAGCTTTTTCCATTGTTGAGCTTGATCTTCTGGTATCTTATTTTCGTCTTCTTCTAGATGATTGTGAAACCCTTGTCCAAGGAACCAAAGTTCCACTGAAGAGGACCAAGACATGTAATTTTTTCCATTTAATTTTTTAGCCGTTATAGTGGGAGTTCCGGAAATGGAGGTTGTGGGCCCTGACGACATGTTTTAAATAATGTAGATGTAAGATGGAGACAATGGAACCTGTAAGAAGGAGAACACCCAAGATAGAATTAGATAGAGAGGGAGGTATCAATTTTCACTTTGCAAGAAAACTGATGAATGAGGCCGGAAGGTCACTGGAAGGTGGTCGGAAAGTCGTCGGACGGCAGCAAAAACGTGAATGGACGGAAGGTTGACGGTTGCCAGAAAAGTGATCGGACAATGCCAGATAGTGGCCGGATGGTGGCCATACGACGACCAGACGGTGGCCGGACAGTGACTAGACGGTGGCCGGACGACGACCAAAAAGGCAGAACAGGACCAACCTGCTCTGATACCAAGTTAAAAGAGTTAAAAGAAGATTTATATTTAGTGGGGATGCACCTCTCCACTTTATGATCTCATATATATATATATAGGATTGCAACATTTAAAACAACTACTACCAACCACTAACCACTAGCCACTAATAATTATAACAATTCAAATAGAAAACTATATTAACAAATGATTGAAATCAAATGTTCTGATCAGAAAAAAGATCAGCGTCAAAATATAAATCATGACATAATCAAGATTAATTACTAAAGGATGACAATAGTTTTAGCATTAGATATATTAACATCAAATGAGGGAATCCTTCTTTTAATTCTCTTCAATAGTAAAGCAAAGAGGGTGATTACATTTTGAAGTAGGTTAAATTTATTATTGTCAGATACATCCAAGTTCTACAAATTTAAATTACAAGTTGAGAAATACATACTCTGCAGCAAAAAGTCTGGTCTTATATCTGAGGTACTTCTCCCTATTAGCAGCACCAATGGAAGCTTGAAACTTGTGACTTTGTACGCTGTTGGACCCAGAAACCATATTTTCATCATCTCCAAGGTTCAAACCTGAATCTGGGTTATCATTTGGCGAAATATTATTATTTTCAGTGTTCCTCATTGATGTTGCAAGGACCTGTAGAATCCCATCATACCAAAGTGAAGATTATTGTAAAGTATCAGGAAATATAACCAAGGTTACTGATTGGGGTTTTAAGATTGATAGCATTTGCTTGCAATATTCCTCTAGCATATCTACTAAAAATTGGGGGTAGAGTGGAGATGATTTATAGAATCAAACTTTCAACAAGTGGTCAAAGCAGTATCATTCATTGTGACCTGAACCCATCATAGTCATATGATCTTGTCTTCTATCTATTTTGCTCGCTAACAGTTTAGTAGAAAAAGTAGTTTACTGTCATTTGAGTTTGCTTTGTGATTTGGTAGTAATATCTATAAAGCATCCATGTGTCACTATGTTACAGGTTATACATAGACCATTTTATCATTGTAAATAAGTGACAAGTGTATGGAATGGACTTGAATCACTTAAGGTCATAAGCATTTTCACGCAATAAGGATCTTCCCTAACTCTCCTTCTATTTCTCCTTGTTTTACAAGCCAAATCCCTGCACTGAATAATTACTTAGATACCCCCCGCCCACCTACACACACAAAGGAAAAAAGATCCTTAGATTCCTCAGTCAAAAAACAAAAATTTACTATCTCATGTGTATTACTCTTTACTTTCCATCAAAAGCATCAGTTTTCATCTCTTTTTGCAGTAGAGTTTACAGATATCATAATCAGTGAGGCATATAGAAAAATCTGCTTTTTGAAAAAGAATTTGAAATGGAAAGCTTACCACTTTGCGACATACTGATATCCAATGTGAAGGACATGAAGGGGAAGAGGCACAGAGTAATCGCATAATTGTTGTTTGCACTAAGTTTCCAATTCTGCACAAATGAAAGAAGTAAGAACAAAGCAGTCGAAAATCAAAATACCCATAACTATAATAGCAATGGCAAATTTGACAATATAATGTAAATGATTCGGTGCTTGACCATGGAAAATGTCACCATCCACCTTTTCCCTTTTAAAAGGAATTCATTAAACCACCCCCTCTACCCACCGATTCCCCCACAATCAAATAAAACAACAAAATTGTGAAACCTGAGGGAGATCCAACAAATAATCATATCAGAAAATGATGCGAAGACAAACATGTCCTTTGAAGATTGAAACTGTTAGATATTGTTTATATATTATTTGATATTGTTAAGATATTGTTAGATATTGGTAACCACAATATCAAACAATATCTTCTGTTTATTCTGTTACTTTCAGTTACTCTTTTAGTTGTATATCTCTACTATAAATAGACTACCCTATGTGTGATTTATACACAAGGGAAATTAATTCCAAACCATATTTTCTCTATATTCAACATGGTATCTAGAGCTTAAGGTTCTCTTGAATTTTTTTTTTCCGCCTTTTGTCCACTGTTGGAGCCGCCCCACCGCTGCTAGAGCCTCCCCACCGCTGCTAAAGCCGCCCCACCGCTGCTAAAGCCGCCCCACCGCTGCTGGTAAACTGATCCTCCACATCAGAAAAGAATTATCTTTGTCATTGAATTTTATTTGGTAGTGTGAAAGTGCATGTTTAGGAAAGTTCTGACAAGGAAAGACTTGGTATTTAAGTGTGTCCATTAGTGACCCACCTCTCTTTCCTGGGAACTTACCTAGTGTACTAGTTCACGTTATCTGTCACCGCTGCGCTGAGCGAGTCTCCGGTCCGCCGTCGTCGGAGAATTCGCCGGAGTTTCATTTTTTTTTTACCGGTGACATATGATTTTGCTTGTCTCGGTCGGGGTTTGTTCTCCCGCTCTTCATGACTTCTTCCACTATTTCCAATTTTGTTAACGATTCTTTTGTGTTGACATCCCATCGTGATGACCGGGCTCGCCCTCGCAAACAGGAAAAAGGGCGTCCTAAGTGTGAACATTGTGGCAAGCTAGGTCACAAGATTAACAAGTGTTATACATTACATGGTCGTCCTCCTCGGTCTGCTGTAGTTGTTCGGACCAATCTTTCCCCACCTTTATCTCGTAGGGATCTTCCTTCTTCCGTTGCATCCGACATGTCTCGCTATGTTCAACAAATTTCTCGAATGGTATAAGGATCAACAGTCTTCTAGTTCCACTATATCTGTCACACATACAAATACATATTTTGCTTGGTCCGACCCAATCATTTTCTCCTGGTCCTTGGGTTTTTGATTCAGGAGCCACTGATCATATTACCTGGTAACAAATCTTTGTTCTCCTCTTTATCCTCTCCTAATCATTTACCTTCTGTTACACTCGGCTGATGGCTCTAGAGTATCATCTCATGGTGTTGGAACGGTTAAACTTTTTCCTTCTTTAACCATTGATAATGTTCTTTATGTCCCTTGGTCTCCTTTTAACCTCGTTGTCCATCGGTCGTCTAACTCGTTCTCTTGATTGTGTTGTTACTTTTACCAACAATTCGGTGTGTTTACAGGACCGGAGTTCGAAACAGGTGATTGGCACAGGATGTGAGTCTCATGGTCTTTATTATCTCCAGTCCCTCTACACATGTTAGTACAGTTATGGAGTCTCCCTCTCTTCTTCATGCTCGGTTAGGTCATCCAAGTCTTGCCAAGTTACGTAAACTTGTCCCCGCCTTGTCTAACTTATCTAGTTTGGCGTGTGAGTCATGTCAATTAGGCAAGCATAGTCGTACTTCCTTTCCTCGTAGTTTCACACGTGGTGCTTCGTCCCCTTTGCCGTGGTTCACTCGACATTTGGGGACCTAGCCGCGTTAAGTCTACTTTAGGTTTTCAATACTTTGTTACTTTCATTGATGATTATTCCAGATGCACTTGGTTATTTTTGATGAAAAATCGTTCTGAATTATTTCATATCTTTCAAACTTTTTTTAATGAAATTCAAACTCAGTTCGGTGTTTCTATTAGAGTTTTGCGTAGTGATAATGGCCGTGAATATCTTTCTCATTCTTTTAAACAATTCATGGCTTCTCACGGTATTTTGCATCAAACTTCTTGTGCTTATACACCTCAACAAAATGGTGTAGCTGAACGTAAAAATAGACATCTTATTGAAACAACTCGCACACTTTTAATTCATGGAGATGTTCCTCAACATTTTTGGGGTGATGCTCTTCTTACTGCATGTTATCTCATTAATCGCATGCCTTCTTCGGTTTTAGATAATAAAATACCTCATTCCATTTTATTCCCTCATGAACCACTTCATCCTTTACCTCTGAAAGTTTTCGGGTCTACATGTTTTGTTCATAATTTTAGTTCTGGTCTGGACAAGCTTTCTCCTAGATCACATAAATGTGTTTTCTTAGGGTTTACAAGATCACAAAAAGGATACAAATGTTTTTCTCCTTCTCTTAACCGTTATTTTGTGTCAAAAGATGTCACCTTTGATGAGTTGTCTCTTTATTTTAAAAGTCAAACTTCACCTCTGTCTCCATCCAATCTTGTCAACACTCCTAATACATTTAATGTTCCTGTTGTTTGTGACCCTCTAATTGTGTCTTCTTCACCATTAGTTCCTGCTCCGCAGTTAGCTTCTTCTCCACTGCCTCTTCAGATTTATAGTTCTCGAAACCAATCACAACCACCACCATGTGACTCTACTCAAGTGCCAACTACTCTGTCTCCTCCGGATCTGACACATGAGTCTGACCTTCCCATTGCCCTCCGAAAAGGTATTCGTTCTACACGTAATCCCTCTCCCCATTATATTGCTTTGAGTTATCATCGACTGTCATTACCTTTTTATACATGTCTTTCCTCTATTTCTTCTGTGACCATTCCAAAAACTGTCTGTGAAGCTTTAGCCCATCCTGGTTGGCGTCAGGCCATGTTAGATGAACTAAGTGCTCTTCATAATAGTGGAACTTGGGAATTGGTCCCGTTACCGTCTGGGAAATCTGTTGTTGGTTGCAGGTGGGTGTTTGCTATCAAAGTTGGACCTGATGGTACTATTGATCGCCTCAAAGCTCGTCTTGTGGCCAAAGGTTATACTCAAATTTTTGGGTTGGATTATGGAGATACCTTTTCCCCTGTGGCAAAGATGGCTTCTGTTCGTTTATTTATCGCCATGGCTGCTCTTCAACAATGGCCTCTTTATCAACTGGATGTTAAAAATGCTTTCCTCAATGGTGATTTGCAAGAAGAAATATATATGGAGCAACCTCCTGGGTTTGTTGCTCAGGGGGAGTCTTCTGGGATGGTATGTCGTCTTCGCAAATCCCTATATGGCCTAAAACAGTCTCCTAGGGCTTGGTTTGGAAAGTTTAGCAAGGTTGTTCAACAATTTGGTATGACTCGGTGTGAATCAGATCATTCTGTCTTTTATCGACACTCGAGTGCTGGATGTGTTTACTTGATAGTATATGTTGATGATATTGTTCTTACAGGTAGTGACAACCATGGCATCTCTCAGTTGAAACAACATCTTTGTCACCATTTTCAGACCAAAGATCTTGGCAAACTTAGATATTTCTTGGGTATTGAGGTAGCACAGTCCAATGATGGTATTGTTATATCTCAGAGGAAGTATGCCATAGATATTTTGGAGGAAACTGGGTTGATGAGTTCAAAGTATGTTGATACACCCATGGATCCCAATACTAAACTTCTACCAAATCAGGGGGAGCCTATATCTGATCCTGAGCAGTATAGAAGATTGGTTGGAAAATTGAATTATCTTACAGTTACTCGTCCTGACATTTCCTTTGCAGTCAGTGTGGTAAGTCAATTTCTTAATTCACCATGTGAAGATCATTGGAATGCAGTCATTCGTATCTTGAAGTATATTAAAGGATCTCCTGGAAAAGGATTGTTATATGCTTCTAATAACCATACAAGAGTTGTTTGCTACTCAGATGCTGATTGGGCAGGATCTCCTTCGGATAGAAGATCTACATCTGGATATTGTGTCTCCATTGGTGGTAACTTGATTTCATGGAAAAGTAAGAAACAAAGTGTTGTGGCAAGATCCAGTGCAGAAGCAGAATATAGAGCTATGGCCTCAGCTTCCGTGAACTTGTTTGGCTCAAGCAATTGCTTAGAGAGTTACAATTTGGAGATGTCACTCAAATGACACTTGTGTGTGACAATCAGGTCGCTTCTTCATATTAGTTCTAATCCTGTCTTTCATGAGAGGACCAAACACATTGAGATTGACTGTCATTTTATTCGAGAAAAGATTATGTCTGGAGATATCAAGACTGAGTTTGTTAACTCAAGTGATCAGTTAGCAGATATTTTTACTAAATCTTTACTGGGTCCTAGAATTGATTATATTTGTAACAAGCTTGGCACATACGATTTGTATGCTCCGAGCTTGAGGGGAGTGTTAGATATTGTTTATATATTATTTGATATTGTTAAGATATTGTTAGATATTGGTAACCACAATATCAAACAATATCTTCTGTTTATTCTGTTACTTTCAGTTACTCTTTTAGTTGTATATCTCTACTATAAATAGACTACCCTATGTGTGATTTATACACAAGGGAAATTAATTCCAAACCATATTTTCTCTATATTCAACAGAAACATTGAAAACAAACCAAAGGAAGGCATACAAAGAAGAAAAGCAAGAATAATATCTATTAGAAATGGAAAGGTGTCTAACTCAATCCTACAAAAACAGCTTCTAAGGTAAGGTTTGTACTTTAATTATATATTATAAGTTGATCATATATCTAATCAATGTGAGATTTCTAACACACCACCTCAAGTCGAGGAATGAATATTTCAAGAGCGTGGAACTAAATATTAAACGTGGACCGATAACAGGTAGAGTAATAAGTCAACAAATCTTGTTAGGATAGGCTTTAATACTATATTAGAAATGAAAATATGCCTAACTTATCCCTACAAAATGGGCTTGTAAGGTGAGATTTACACTTTAGTTATATATTATAAGTTGATTATATCTCTAATCAATGTGAAATCTCCAACAATAATATCCAGCACATTGCTCACTTAATTGTTGCTATCTGGTATTTCCTTTCACTAGGTTTTATATTCATAGTGACATCTTTCTGCTACTCTAATATAAATTCTTATTTAAAACAAATGCATTGCCAATTACCTAAAATAATTTCATGAAACTAATAATAAAAAAGGTGTTTGATTTTCATCTTAACCCAAGAACTAATCAGCAGAAAAGGGTAAGAAAGTTCTTTTTCTTTAATCCATGTACATACTCAGAATCAGTTTCCTCGTCAAGCATAAAGAACAGGTTATCTTCAATCTGCTCAACAATTACCGAAGCCTGCAAAGATTAGAATCAGGTCTTAGCACAAAAACTTGACTTGCTACGTTTTCTATATTGAAAATCTTATAAATACGGGAACGAACTGGATCTTTCTCAATTAGATGCCTAAGAGTAGACACAGCAAGATGCCGTAGTGTTGGCTGCATTTAGAAAAAGGAAAAAGGAAGAGTAAGCAGAAAAGACGAGTTAATAACACATTATTTCCTATAATGAAAAGTACATCGGAGGGAAACCTGTCTCGATGACAAAGTAGACAGAAGTGTCTGCACATGGGAGTGCACAGAAACAGCTTGAGGTGCAAAAAGAACAAGTTGTTGCGTGAAGCGTGCACTCCTACAACAGAACAAGTAAAACTTGATATAATCATCAATAAAACATCACTTCGACCGGAAAATACTACTCCTAAAGCCAAACTCAAGATGACCAGAAGAAAATGTTTTTATATGATAATAGGTGGAATGAAGAAACATACTCAAGCATAGTTGATGTTTCTTGCCAGCTGCTAATCTCCGTAATGGCAGACTGCAAAGGAAAAAATACTGTATGAAGTATACAAAAAATGGAGAAGGCAGTAGATTATTCAAACAACCTATGTCCTACTTCAGTGCATAAGGTTGTACGCTAAGACTGCAACTCTCATATCATTAAGCAGGCTTCTTAAACCCAACAGCTGATGGTTTTTAAGGGAGTTTCCAAACAGAGATGCTGAGGAATTATAGCTCCACTTCATTGATTTTTGTTTCTCAATATTTATCAATTTCATTTGCGCTTCCTTATACATTAAGGAGGACCATTTTTCCTCAAATTTTTTTTTTTAAATTATAATTATTTTCTCTTTCCTCTTGATAAGGTTTTTATTAATTAAAAAATACTAGAAAAATTCACCTTGGAGCGCGAGAAAAAAATGCTTCCTGGGGCAAGCTCAGGACCAAGAACAGTAACTATAGCATTTATAAGGCGGCCAACTCCCTGCTGAATGTCTACTAAACCATTCTCATCAGATAAAAGAATGTCCATAGCAAGAGAAAGGGTCGCCTGTGAAGAAAAACAAGAGAACCACATGATGTCTAATAAGAAAGATTATATTACACAATAAAACAAAAGTACATCGATCTGATTAACAAATAAATGTGGCTAGTAGTTTTCCCAATATTTGGATGTCTGATAGTAAGAATAATGGAAAAAAATTATCACTCCATTGTTTGGATACATTATGATGGAATGGAAACTTATTTTGGTTCATTCACACTCCCTCCTCCCCCCAATGTGAATCACAAAGGGTGATTTAGGATCTTTAGGGTTAGAACCTTGTAAGAAATTTATGAATTTAGTGATAAGGTGGAAGGAGAGAATCACTCTTCCCAAGGAAGACAACTTACAAGGGATGTGAAAGTCCTTTGATATAGCCAAGTGTTCTTGAATCACTCAAGAACTTAGGAGAATCATTTTCACTAAGATAAAAGAGATAAACTCTAATATTTCTAAAGATAAAACTCAACTTATTATTTCTGATAAAATGGTTTAGCTTATAAAGAAGTTTTGCCATCAGAGTTACAAAGATTCACTAAAGGAAAATAAATGCTAAAAATGATTTATTAACTTAGGAATTGAAAACTACTTAATGGCTGATTGTAACTGAAATTGTGATAACCAAAAGTCAATCAGTTATGCACCTTCTTGGTCTCTCAAAGACTGATAACTAAATTTTCAATTGAGCCCTTATTACAACTTGCAATAAAACCAAACTAAAACCCATTAATTGATTAATCTAAAACACAATTTGGTCAACCAACAATACTTGTTGAAGAGTTTCTATGGGAAATCAAATAGTATTTTAGGAAAAAATAAATTAGGAAATTTGTAATCTATACAGATTTGAATAATTAGGAACAATCCCATAAATAAAGGGATCCTAGAATAAAATAAAGTTATTATATTTCCTAAAATAGCTTAGGTCTCTTTTATATATATTGTATGATCTCTTTGTATTAAAATAAAAAAAATAATATTTCATTTAATCTAATTTTCCAGATGGTATCGGAGCTTCCGAACTAGGAAGTTCTGTCTGCGCACTATAAACCCTAAGACGGCAGTCTGTATTGCTGCTGCGTTTTTCTTAACCCTAAGACGGCAGCCTGCATTGTTCCTGCATTTTTCTTAATCCTAAGACGACAACCTGCATTGCGGTTGCATATCACCTTTTTGCTATAATGTCAAGGGAAGAGGAGATAGAAAGGGTGAAAACCGTTCTTAGTAAGCTGGAAAAACCTAGAGGTGTGTGTTCTTTGGCATACTTAGGTAAGTTTCCACCTTCTTTTGGATTAAATGTCTCAGATACACCTTTTAACCATTATTGGATATTGGACTCTGGAGCCACAGATCACATGACACCATTAGCCAAACACTTCTCCACATATTCCCCATGTCCCAGCAACAAGAAAATTGTCACAGCAGATGGAACCCTTATAACTGTAGCTGGTCAAGGAAATATCCAAATCAATCCTTTAATAACCTTAAAAGATGTTCTCCATGTCCCAAAGTTGTCCACGAACCTAGTGTCTATACAAAAACTTATAAATGATTTGTCATATAAAGTTTTTTTCAGCGATCATTGTGTATTTCAGGACAAGGATTCGGGGAGGATGATTGGATATGCTAGAGAATGGAATGACCTTTATTATCTCGAAGATCCAAGTCTGCCCAGCAAGAATAGAATCTCTCACTCCTTCATATCTGAATCCTTGATTACCAACAGAGAAAAAATCATGCTTTATCATTGTCAGTTGGGACATCCCTCTTTTGGAGTGATCAAAATTATGTTTCCCTCTCTGTTTACCAAGTTAGATGTTGAGAGTCTTCATTGTGAGGTGTGTGAACTTGCTAAACACAAGCGTATATCTTTTCCAATAAGTAATAGAATTAGCAATTTCCCTTTTTATCTTGTTCATACTGATGTATGGGGACCTTCTAATATTCATAATGTGTCTGGTACTCGATGGTTTGTCACCTTTATAGATGACTGTACAAGGGTCACATGGGTTTTTCTACTTAAACAAAAATCAGAAGTCAGTTCTGTCTTCCTAAACTTCCATTCCATGATAAAAAATCAGTTTGGTGTTAAAATTAAGAGGCTTAGGTCAGATAATGCCAAAGATTACTTCAATCATGTCCTTAATTCTTTTTGTCAAAAAGAAGGTATAATTCATGAGTCCTCTTGTGTCAAAACACCACAACAGAATGGGGTCGCAGAGAAGAAAAATGGACATCTATTAAATCAGACTCGAGCATTGTTGTTCCAAAAAAGTGTCCCAAAAAATTTCTGGGGGGAAGCTGTCCTTACAGCAACATACCTTATCAATAAACTACCCTCTAGAGTCTTAGGATCAAAAAGCCGTATGGAAGCTTTGTCCTCTTTCTATACAAACTTGTCTACTACAAATAATCTTAAACCAAGAGTTTTTGGGTGCATCTCATATGTCCATATTCATAGTACAGACAGGGGGAAACTTGATCCTAGAGCCTTAAAGTGTGTCTTTGTTGGTTACTCGCCCACTCAAAAAGGGTATAAATGCTACCACCCCCCATTCAAAAAATTCTGTGTCTAGGGATGTTACCTTCAATGAACAAGAGGGCTATTTCCATCAACCTTATCTTCAGGGGGAGAGTTTCACGGAAGATAAGGAAAGTAGTAATTCTGGTTTTCCCATTCTTCCAGACTTGACATTTGAACCTAAACGAAATCATATTAAAAGTAGTAATTCTGGTTTTCCCATTCTTCAAGACTTGATATTTGAACCTAAACGAGATCAAGTTGAAGATCAAATTGAAGTTGTAACAAATGAAACAAGTCAAGGAATTGGTCAAGAAAAGGAAGTTGGTCAAGAAAGTGAAATTAATTGTGAAGCTGATCAAGATGTTGAAGCTGAAAAATTTGGTAAGAAGTTGGTGTACTCAAGGAAGACTAAGGCCATTCCAGGATCAAGCCATGTTCAAGAATCCAACTCGACTCCACAAAAAGAGGTAACAATTTTTTCTCCAGCTGTGCAGGTTGAAATTGAAACCCAAAATGATCCTGACCTCCCAATTGCCATTAGAAAAGGGACAAAAAAATGCACCAAACAACCATTCTACCCTCTCTCAAATTACTTGTCCTTTAAAAATTTCTCTCCTACCCATAAAACCTTCCTAGTAAACCTAAACACTATACTTTTACCTAATACCCTATCTGAGGCATTGTCTGACAGAAAATGGAGGCAAGCCATGGATGTAGAGATGAAAGCATTGGAGAAGAACAACACCTGGGAGTTAGTCACCTTACCAATAGGAAAGAAGCCAGTTGGATGTAAGTGGGTCTATACAGTGAAATACAAGGCTGATGGATCAATTGAGAGATATAAGGCAAGACTAGTTGCCAAAAGGTTCACCCAAACCTATGGAGTTGATTATTTGGAGACCTTTGCTCTGGTTGTCAAAATGAACACAGTTAGGGTGATATTATCCCTTGCTGCCAATTATGGTTGGAACTTGGAACAATTTGATGTTAAGAATGCTTTCCTACATGGAGACCTTGAAGAAGAAATTTATAAGGAGATACATCCGGGATATGGTAAAGATGTTGTTGCCAACACTGTTTGTAAGTTGAAAAAGGCATTATATGGGCTAAAACAGTCCCCCCGTGCATGGTTTGGTAGGTTTACTAAAGTTATGACATATCTGGGTTACAAACAAAGCCAAGGGGATCATACTTTGTTCTTTAAACATTCCAAGTCAGGGGGAGTAACAATATTATTGGTGTATGTGGATGACATAATATTACCTGGAGATAATAAAGAAGAGAAGCAATTGTTGAGCCAATGCTTAGGCAAGGAATTTGAGATCAAGACCTTGGGTAAACTAAAATATTTTTTAGGAATCGAAGTTGCCCACTCCAAAAAAGGAATATTTATATCCCAACAGAAATACATAACTGATTTGCTCAAGGAAACTGGAAAGACAGCTTGCAAACCTTCTAGTACCCCATTAGAACCAAACCTAAAGCTTGGAAATGCAGATGTTACTGTTGAAAAAGATGTGTACCAGCGATTAGTGGACAGACTTATATATTTGTCGCATACCAGGCTAGATATTGCCTATGCAGTGAGTTTAATTAGCCAATTTGTGCATAACCCAAAGGAGACCCATTTACAGGCAACCCACAGAATTTTACAGTACCTTAAAGGAACTCCAGGAAGAGGGATTCTATTTAAAAGGAATGGTAATGTAAAGCTTGAAGCCTATACTGATGCTGATTATGCAGGGTCAATTGTGGATAAGAGGTCAACTACAGGATATTGCACCTTTCTTGGAGGAAATCTTGTGACTTGGAGAAGCAAAAAGCAGGGTGTAGTGGCTCGGAAGGCTTGGTCTAGTGCTGAAGCAGAATTCCGAGCCATGTCACAAGGTATATGTGAGTTACTATGGCTTAAAATCATCTTAGAAGACTTGAGGACAAAATGGGAAGAACCTATGGAGCTCTATTGTGATAATAAGTCAGCAATCAGCATAGTCCACAACCCAGTACAGCATGATAGAACAAAGCATATTGAAGTAGACAGACACTTTATCAAAGAAAAGCTTGATAGTGGCTTAATATGCACTCCATATGTGTCCTCTCAAGACCAAATTGCAGACATTCTTACCAAGGGACTGAACTGCCACAATTTTGAGAAGATTGTATCCAAGCTAGGAATGGAAAACACCTATTCACCAGCTTGAGGGGGAGTGTGGGAAATCAAATAGTATTTTAGGAAAGAATAAATTAGGAAATTTGTAATCTATACAGATTTGAATAATTAGGAACAATCCCATAAATCAAGGGATCCTAGAATAAAATAAAGTTATTATATTTCCTAAAATAGCTTAGGTCTCTTGTATATATATTGTATGATATCTTTGTATTAAAATAAAAAAAATAAGATTTCATTTAATCTAATTTTCCAGAGTTTCATTTGCTTCCCTTGCTCTAGTCCTTATCATAGGTCATGTTCACATCATTCTCTTCCCTTGAAAAGGATTTTTCCTCAAATCGGATTCGTCATCTACATAAAAAAGAGATAAGTCTGACAAATTGAATGTAGAACTAATATTATACTCACTTTTTATAGTTAAATAGTTCTCCCTCACTTCAAGTGGTTCACTCTTCTTTTGATTACTCTTTTTCTTCTCAAGTGTTTTACTAACGCTTTTTTTTTTCTTTTCTTGAAGAAATTTTTCTCATTTTCTTCTTATCCTCCTCTGCCATCAATTTGATGTTCAAACCTTTAAATCGGGGCTCTAAATACCAACTGATGTGAATCACAAGGTGTGATTTAGGATCTTTAGGGTTAGAACCTTGTAAGAAATTTAGGAATTTAGTGATAAGGTGGAAGGAAAGAATCACTCTTCCCAAAGAAAGCAACTTCCAAAAGGATATGAAAGTCCTTTGATACAGCCAAGTGTTCTTGAATCACTCAAGAACTTAGGAGAATCACTCTCACTAAGATAAAAGAGATAAACTCTAATATTTCTAAAAATAAAACTCAACTTGTTATTTCTAATAAAATGGTTCAGCTTATAAAGAAGCTTTGCCATCAGAGTTACAAAGATTCACTAAAGGAAAATAAATGCTAATAATGATTTATTAACTTAGAAATTGAAAACTACTTAATGGCTAATTATAACTGAAAATGTGACAACCAAAAGTCAATCTGTTGAACATTCAAGGACTTGATGTTGAACGTACATGGACATGAAGCTTGTTGATTTTGATGATGATTCAAGAACACAAGACTTAGAGAGTTGAAGACTTGTTTTACTGTGTAATAACTCTGTTTTGATTAGATTGAGTCTGTAATATTAGAGTTTGAGATAGCCGGTACATAGTCTGCACCTTAGAAGCTTCAAAAAGCTCAAGTTTATCAAAGTGCCTCGGCTTTAATCGATTAAATGGTGAAATAATCGATTAAAACAGTGAGAAAAACCATTTTCTGTATCTGCTCACTGGTTTAATCGATTAACACACCTGTTAATCGATTAACAGGTCTTTTAATCGATTAAAACAGTGAGTTTTGGGGTTCTGTTGATTTTGGCTCTGTAATAATCGATTAACACTTCATTTAATCGATTATTTCAGTCAGATTTTGATTTTCAACTTCAAATCAACCCTATTTTCGAAAACCCTAATCCCAAGACTCCTAGTTCCGAAATTCCCAATTCCCAAACCCTAATTTCTCTACTTAAGCTTCTCTATGGCACTCAGAAAATAAGAACAACCTTTTTCATACAAAAGTTAAGTGTTGTGAATGCCAGAGAACTATTTGTTGCAAGAAAAATGGGCTTTTGGAACTTGGTGTGGGCTAGAAGCGATAAGAATCACTAAGTGGAGTTCTTAGTGGATTGTGTGTTGTGTCGTCTCTGGGGAAAGCTGTTCTTCATCTCTTGTGGATTTCAAGAGAGGTGTTTTCTTTACTTTATCTTTTCCATTGTAATCTGTTTGTAACAACTTTGATTATAGTGACAACGTTAATCCTCTATTTGAGTGATTAGCAACTGGACGTAGGGTCTTTTGATCCGAATCAGTATAAATCTCCTGTGTAAGATTCTATCTCTACTCTTCTTACGTTTACACAGTATTTTAATCGGTAAAATTTGGGGAAAATTTTTAAAACCTAATTTTTGTTAAGAAACCAATTCACCCCCCTCTTGGTTTTTGTCTGACCACGTGAACATTCCGCTGCGCGATTCTAACACAATCAGCTATGCACTCTCTTGGTCTCCCAAAGACTGATAACTAAATTTTCAATTGGGCCCTTATTACAACTTGCAATAAAACCAAACTAAAACTCATTAATTGATTAATCCAAAACACAATTTGGTCAACCAACAATACTTGTTGAAGAGTTTCACTTGCTTCCCTTGCTCTAGCCCTTATCATAGGTCATACTCACATCACCCCCAACCCTAAACTTTGAGGAACAATGTTAGGTTTTAGGATGTAATGGAGTACAACCCATTCCATTCTAGTTTAAAAAGTTCAAATGGTGGTACATATCCATTCCATCCTACTCTATTCCTTCATGGTCTCCAGATCCAAACACATTTTTCTCTTCATATTTTGGGTGCAAAAAGATCGACCAAAGAAGTACATATAACAAGGATGTGGAAAATAAATGAACTTCTATGACAAACAGTGAAGGCAGGTGGCAACTAAGAGGAATATTCCTTAATAACAAAACAAACAAAGAATTAAAACCTAGTTCGTTTTATCAGTAAAAATTAGCGACATTTTGTCTATAGAGCTTCCTGAGGAATGTGGTTATTAAATAAAAATTTAAAATAAAAAACACTGGATGGCTCAAGAATCAATCAGTTACATTTCATAGTACTATGTTAATTTGGTTCTTAACAAATATAATTCACATGAAAACAAGGGCAAAGTTTTTCATGCTGCAATTATTCTGTGAGATCATTAATTCTATTGGTGAGACAAAAATTCAAAACTATATTAGAATATTATCAATCCTAAGATGATTACATTTAAACTATGAATACCTGGACATGAGAGACAAAGGACAAGCCAGCAGCTTCAATAGTTAAAAGAAGCCCATGCATAGACCAAATCTGCAGATTAGCTACCGAACTTTTAGCCAGTGAGGATATAGAGCTCACTGTTGCAGGCACTAAAGTTGACAAAGCAATCCCTCCTGCACTGCAGTCAAGATACATAAGAAAAGAACTGTCAAAACTTATATAGAAAGAAGATAATGTTGCAAACTCGGGATAAGAGTGCAGAATTATAAAAATAAATAATAAAAAATGGAACCTGTAGCAATAGGGAAAAGGAAGTAAAAGCTTTAATTGGTCATATAAGTTTAAAATAGTTAGTAGATCTGCTATGCCAAATATCTAAGCTTAGATCTTAAATGTACAAGAAAAAGGCAACAGAAACATCATGTGAGCCTTCTACCAGAACCAATATGGCTTTTCATAAACTAATTCTCCAATGAATATTAAATTGTTGCACAAAGTGGAAAGTATGTTTAAGATACTGTAAAGTGTAAAGTTTCTCATTGCCATAGTTTCTGTCCATATTAACCACCCCTTTCCTTTTATTACATCTCAATGGCCACAATGTGTTATTAATTAATTCTTCTATCAACAATTTTTTGGTGTCCAGGATTATTGTTAAGGAATCTAATTTTTTGTAACTTCAATGATAGGTACATTTCTGAAGTTGAGTCCTGAGGTTATCCTGAACTATACTCGATTGTCCTCTAACCAGGACAAAACGTTTTGAACCCTTAATTCAAGGGCCTCCTTGCAAAATTTGTTTTCCAATTCCTCACTCATTCTTCAAATAAGGCTACCCTTTTCCTTGATAGAATCTTTGGAAATCCAAAGTTCCACCTATGGTAATTCCTTTAGAAAGTTCTTAATAGAATAATACAATTGACAGTAGGTTTGTATGTAAGACTCAATCCTTGGATGTATGTAATGCTTCAAGTTTGTTTAGAATCAGTCCCATAACCGTTCTCATATTGCAGATTGCTGTTTCTTTATGGAATCCTGTTTGTGGTCATGTGGTTATGATCTTTCTCCTATTTGACTTATTTCCTGATGTAGTTGATTCAGTCAATCTATCTTTTCAAAAATAGATAAATATTTAATTTCCTGAAACAAGTGATTCATTCATATTTTTAATGTCTTTAATTCATTTTCTTATGGGATCTAATTGGCAAAAGCTGTGTGACTACCACCCTTTAAATTGTAAGCTACCTGCACCCTGAATGATGTGAGGGAATAAAATTTGTTTCTCCACATCAAAGCAAGAGCTCTTTCCCAAAGAGCCTGAATGGAAGTCATTTCAAATTTGGCTCCATAAGAGTTATAGAAACCAAATCAAAATAATATATTTGACAGAGAAGAGGGAGCAAGTCCCACACAACTAGGGAAAATTGACTATTAGTGATGCAATAACATTCTTTGCTTTTGATTAAAAAAAAAACAGGGAAATTGAATATAGAAAATAGTTGCAAAAAGGAAAAGAAAAAATTACTGAGATTGTACCCATAAGTGCTGTTGACCATCTATCTTAACCCACCTTTTTCTTGCCTCACAAACTCCCTCCTCCAACCTCACACTCTCTACCATATTTTAATTATAGAATTTCTTCCTCCTCTACACCAGTGCCATCTATCACAATTCTGTTATTATATTCTTTCTACCGCCTCAGTGGAGATTTTATCCAGAGCACTATCTTCATCAATTCAAATAATCAACAGACAGATGTTCTAACCAAGTCATTGAGTGGTTCTTGAGGTTTGTTATATATGCAGCAAGATTATGGCATATGATTTATATGTTCCAGCTTGAGAGAGGTGTTACAAACAATGCAATTATAGACTATAGTAATTATGTAACTAGGGCAGATTATATGTTATGTAATTAAGTTAATTACTATAGCTTTATATACTTGTAATTGTGCAATTACCCTAGTATTTATGACTTCTAATATATGCACCAAATAGCAATTCAATCATACGGAATCCATCTACTCTCTCTTTCTACACGTTTTATTGTAATTTTCTTTCATTTTTGTTCTAGCGGAAGATTTATTATCTTCCTTTCTCTATAATCAACTTTCACTTCATACCATAATCATAAAAAAAAAAAAAACTATTAATCACAGTTTATTTTAGACAACACATTAACAACTCATAATAATAGTCTTATACTCTTGAGAGTAAATAAAAGAGAAAAAATATGTTTTAGAGGGCTTAATCACACCTCCCATTTTATTTCTTATTTATAATGATGAAGTACAGTACAATGAGTTGAGGGAAGATCAAGGGGCTAAAGTCTGAGCTAGAATCCTAGGTACAAGATACGTACAGCTCATAGGTACAACATAAAACAGCTTTTTAATACAACTACACTCAACCTATTAATTCCAACACTCTTAAAACTACACTAGTCAAATATTGATTCTCATACTTTAAACCTTGTGTTTGGAACAGTTGAAAGATGCAAGATCAGAAAACAATGGACAAAAATAAAATTAAAAACTAATCCTTCTACATTTTGTTAGCATGTCAGGAATGAGGTGAATGTTAAAAAGCATGTGGGACCCATTACTTATTTTACCCACTCAATTTGGCTGGAAAAAAGGTGAAAGCTTTCTTTTGTGTATTAAAATACCAAATTAACCTTATGTTACAAATTTAATTTGTTTTTTTTGTAAGGTATGCCTGTCATTTTATATACATACTTTTCCTTTCCTTCTACTTTCTATACTATCAAACAAGAGAAAAGAAACTGTTACCTCTCTTTAATTTAATTTTCACTCCTACCAAACAACCTATAATCATCCCACTTTCTACTCATTTGCCTTTCATGCTAAAGTATAGATAAACAAAGCTCAAATAAATAAAAACTCATAAGTGATTCATAATGAAAGGATGATATCTTGAGGGAATTGAAAAAACTGATAAAATAAAAATGCAAACTATTAAGCATTCATCGGTGTTATAATAAATGACCTGCGATAAATGCAGCCAAGTGCAAAAGCAATTGATCCGGCGTAGTTGGGATCAGTTGCTCCATTTAGTTCACTTAGTAGTGATCTAGTCTGCTTGCCACCATTGACAAAAAGGACAATCAGAGAAGAAAACAATAATTAGCACAGATAAAATTTTGAAGGTAAATGTGTCTCTCTGTCGAGTGAGAATGCAGGAAATAAAAACAGCTAATATTTCACATATAACCATGCATGAATGGTTAAGATTTTTTTGTTCAAATTTAGTCTTAGCTGTCCATAAATGATTCTATGGTCAAAGATTAGTCCTCATTTCTCATTTCTTACAGAATATGACCCCCCGCCCAAAAAAAACAAATAAGAGGTTTCTTATAATTAGTTCACAGTTGCAACAGAACAGTGAACAATAACATGTATATCAAAAAGCAGACAGAAGAAGCTTGCCATTCTCGCAGTGAAGATATCATTTCCAAATCGAGCTAAATATCCAAGACTTTCAGATGATGCTCTGCGTTGCGACGCACAAATATCTCCCTCCGCCAAAATACCCTTCCATTCAAATTCAACAAACAACATACCATAACATTAAACAAACGGAAAGAAAAAAAAAAGGCAGCAACACCAAGTAACAACAATTGGTGTTAAGACATAATTGATGAATAATCCTATATCATCCAACTTATTAAAGGAAGAAAAGTGTATAATATTTTTTATATTTTCAGGATCCTAAATGTATCTACTTTTTGTATGTGAATTAAAAAATTTCCTACCAGAAAAATAGATTGTGCCAAACCCAAAATCTCCTGTCCTAATTTTTGTGGTCGAAACGACAGCAAAGCCTGGAAAAGATACCAAAAGCATTATGTTAGGTGAGATCCACACAAGATACTTCGATAATACCAATAGAAGGATGGAAAGAACCTTAAAACCAGCAAGTAATCCCACACAAATATTGGTAAGACTAGCTTTGTGCCAATGTTGTTTCTTCCCGGCTTTCAAACACTGCTCAATAATGCCCAGAAGGGAAAGCATGCCAGCACTATCCTGAGATATAAAACACTAATTGATATCCAGAATACAAACAACCACTCCCTCAATTTTGTAATATACCGAGGTGTGTGATGGACTACCTGAGAAGCAAACATGGTCCCAAAAAACAGAAGCATCTGGTTCACCAAAGTCTTGCTTATAGTCTCCGGCTTCAAGTTAAAATTAAGGTGTTATTGAAGTGGAAATTCATCAAACAATAATAAAACAGCATGGGAAAGACATATGAATGAGTTGGATGAACAAAGCAAAATTTATTTAAACCTAAAGAAAAACTCTCACACAACTTTTACAAAAACAATAAATCCTTTCCCACTCTAGGGAGGTTCAGGTTTTAACTACATGGATCAAATGACACTATTATGATATATCAAATACCTAGTTTTCATCAAAGGCCATTTTGATCAGGGCTTCCCGAAATGTTTTCTTCCAGGGAATTCCCCCATTTCCCCACTTCTATTTATCAGGTTATCTTCCTTCCACTCAACTCTTCTTACAAACACTGTCATTGGTCATAAGCCTTACTCTGAACATGGGTTGGGGTCTCTTTTCCAACTCCTATGGTCTACTTTGACAATCAAAGTGATGTCTTTCTTGCTCAGAACCCAGATCTCCATGCTCACACCAAGCGTATTGGGATTGAAATGTTCTTTCTCAGGGAGAAGGTACTTATCAAGCAACTTTCCATTCAGCAAATCCCAGATCAGGATCCGTGTTTGATGCTCTTACCATTTACCAAGCCCATCTCACCTATTTTCTTTTTCTATTTGAGATACAAATTTGAGGAGCTTGAGCCTCATGCTCAGTCTCTCCCACCTTGAGTACAAGGGAGGAGAGGGTGAGTACTATATAAAAGAGCAGTTACCCAACTAACTCTTGGGTAGTTAGTAAGATGGTTAAGTCAGTCACACAGCTATCAGTATGACAGCTGAGTACATATCAACAATATCAGAAGTTTCTTTCTTCTTAATTTTATCTTATAAATTTACAATCTTAATTATATATTTCGTTAATATCTTATCACTTTAAGAACTTATATTTTATTGATGTATTATTATATGAAGTTATTTATTTTAGTAATGTAGAATTGATATTATTTCGTCAAGTTGATATTTTTACACTTACTAGTCTACCTTATATATATATATATACACACACACACACACACATATATATATATATATATACACAATGAAGAACTACATTTAAGGAATCCCAGACAAAACTATTCCAAATCTTAAAAAAATTTAAAGAGACCGTCAATCAGTTAATATATACTTAACTATGTATTATTAACTACATATGCAGCTGATTGTTAATTTTATTCTCCAAAAAATCAATACCTGAGGAAAGCTAGAAATTTCATTCTCCCATACACATGGCATAAGGCCATCTTTTCCTCCTTGAAAAGCTCGAAGCTCATCTTCAAACCAATCCCTTTTTCACAAAAACAAAAGAAAAAGAAAAAGAAAAAGAAGTTAGAAACCGAGAAAGAAAAGAGAGACACCTAAAAAGAATCTCTCCACTTTTTTTCAAAATAATGTTAACCAATCTATATAATATCAGCCTTACCAAGATTAAACATCATAAATAGATAACATAAATATTAGCATAACTGATGACATCATTAAATTGCATTCCGATGATTTGTCACTAAATTTCCTGAGCTTCAGTAGTTGCAAAGGAATGGAAAATCTCAACAATACATTGAAATTCTATTGAATACAAAACCCAGTATTTTGGCACAGAATCATCAGGCGTGGTTAACAGATACAGAAAGTGAGAAATATAAGGTGGTCACCTATTAATGTCATTTGACAGAGGCAACTAATGCCTAGGAATGCAGTTAGTAGCCAAGAAAATAAAGTTGAGGAAAGCAACACGGGGGCTATACAAGTTTTCCTTTTATATTTTTGGATAAAAATATTTTATTAGGACATAGAAGCCAAATACTTCAAAGCACCACAAAAACTCCCTAGAATGGAAGAAAAAATAGGCTTCTCATGTTAAAAGTGTGTCACATGACATTTTATTGGCAGGTCTTCTTGAACTATTGAAAATATTACAAATTGGTCTTACCATATAGGTATAAGTTCAGAAGTACTATAAACAATTTTAGAAGGAAAGATCAGTGTGACTGACAAATGCGTTATCGTTTTAATGTGAAAAGGGGAAACAAAAATTAAAGATTGAAAAAAAATGTGAAAAATTATGTGAATAATTTCATCAAGAAGTTATATCTAGTAAAGAGAGGTTGACAGTTCTGTAAAACATTAATAGCTTAACAATTCACAATAATATTTGATGGACATTACTGACTCGGTCCTCTCTCAGTCAAATGTATGGCACTGGGATACTGCAATCAAAATTTATGAATTCCAAATTTGCAATTTGCAGAAATCACAAGAACAGATCCTACTCCAGAAAATCAAGCCATGCACCTTTGAAAGTCACTAACAGTGATTGGATGATAGATAAAAAAATGTATACTGGATACAGGCAAAAAAAAAAAATGAACATGTTTTAGTGTATCTTGAACAGCTTCAAATACTCCGAGTATATTGGTGGAACCTAGCACAACGTAGGATATGCTTCTTCCAATAAAAAAAGGGGAGATTTTTAACTTTGCAACTAGATAGGAGACATTTGTAATTTCATCTGATGACAAGGGTTCATTGTAATTTACTCTAGTGAGTAAAAAGAAACAACAAAGCTTAATTGCATAAGATAGAAACCTTCCAGGAATCCATGGACCCAACCATGCATCTCTCTTGTCTAAGAGCAACCTCAAGCAGGAACTTTCTTCACATTCTGAAGCATATCTTATTCAAAAAAAAAAAAAAAACTCGGATCAATCAATGAATATTTGACAGTCAATTGTTACAAACAAGAAGTAAATGCAAGAAAATCATTTAACAATTTGGAACGAACTTTCACTAAATTATACCAATAATTTCAAAATTTAGCACAATCTCTTCTTTTTGAAAGATGTTTTATAATTTATTGAGCAAACTTGATTTTTGTCTCTTCATACAGTCTAATTTCTCTCTGTTACTGTTTCTACCAGAAACTCTTGATTGACAATAGCAAATTTAGTGAATTTTGGTTGTGACCTAGCCCCTAGGTCTTGCTACTTATTTTTTATGATTAGGTTTAATGGATTTTGTGACATAAAGAGGGCTGATTCAGCATATATGGTTGCAGCATAACACTTGCAGTTTTTTTTTTAAAGCAAAGAAGGTATGCAAAAGCAACACAAAATAACTTGCAATAACTTGTATTTTTAATAATGCTTTTATAGAACAACAATTGATCTAGGATAATAATAGTCATCTGAATTTTATTGGGACAGTACTTTTAAGGGTTTTTCCACAACAAAAATGTTGAGATATACAGTAGTTTTTCAAAAGAATTCCTTTATAGATTGTATTTCTATCTTTAGTACGGAAGGTTCATTACTTCAAATTCATTTTAATTTCTTCAATTCCTCAAGAAATGACTTTTTATCAACCAAAAAAAAAATCCACAAAAAACAAAAATTCTTGAAAATAATAGCACTTAGAAAAACTAGAAAGAGAAAAGCATTTTAATGACATTTTTACACGTTTTCTCACAATACCAAACATTACTTACATGTCATTTTAAAAGGAAGCATTACTCAGAAAAGATAAAATTTAATAACATCTTTTTCAATGAATCAACTATTAACATCTGTTGAGAGAATCTCAAGTCAAACATTACAAGCCAAATTAAAGTATATATGCTAGGAGACAACTCTCATGTTACAATCTGTTTGTTGTTTTAAGTTAGGTCCAAACCCAAATTCTAAGAACATTGAACCTCAAGTCGAAATATTAAATGACAGAAAGATAGCAAACACTACCTGAATGGAAATGTACATAGTTGAATAATCTGAGGATAGTCATTTTTAAATGACCAAGGATCAGGAAGAGATTGGTAAGCTATTAAAGTTTTGATAACAAATACATCCACTGCAGACTTTATATTTGGCACTTCCTTGGCTGTTAATGCTGATACATAAGATAATGCACTGTTTTGTACAGAGATAAGAATTAATATAAAATGTAAAATGAAGTCACGGCAACAAATGAAAAGGAGCAGGTATACAAGAACAAGCTATACCTACTAAGGTATACAAGAACTGGTTGAAGTAGAACTCCACCTTTTACAAAATTTGGAGATATGAAGCATTTTATGAAAGCTGTGAGTGCATGAATGGCTGCAGACCATACGCTACAAAATACAAGAGAAAATAATGAATAACAAAGGCACAACCAAACACAGTTTACAATTATTATTCAACACAGAAAACAAATAAAATATCCAAAACAACATTAACTTTAATTTAAAAGGTAAGAAAACTTTGAATCTCAGATACCTTCTTACTTTTTAAACCTCACAGGTAACATGTGTTAATTTTCTTCTTAACTCACAATGCAGTCAAAGTTGCATGAATTTATTTAACTACATCATTCAGACTACCAAATCTTTATTGATCTCATCTCACAAAAACATAATACCATCGGAGAAATTCTCTACTCTCCACAATACTTTCCATTCTACCAAATACATTTGCTCCCAATCTCATGTTTTTATTTAGGTACATTCCCCCATTGTTTTCCCTTTGCATCTTGTACTCTAGTCCACTCCTAAACCTGTTTAATCCTATTCTCCCTACACATAAATTTGTTTCCTTGTTGGAAATCTCCTGCCAAGCATTCACTCCATAAAGAATCACTAGTCAGGTAGCTCTTCAGAAGAGTTTTCCATTGATTTTGATGCATGCTGTGGTTGTATGCTTTGTAATTAAATTAAACTACTAGATGTTTGTCAGTTTATCCGAGTTAGTTATTTCTAGATGGGCCATCTGTTGCAAGCAGTCAGTAACTGCATAATATTCCTGTACATTTTGAATACTGATATCTATGATTTAGATAATTGTATAGGATAAAAACTCAATAAGAGAAAATATAAGATGATTAAGATGTACTTACTATATCCTTGACATTAAATCATCAGTTTTCTTGATTTCATTTTCTGGATTGTTAGTAAACAGGCTAGCCCATAAGGCAAGAATATCAAAGACATCCTCTTCAAGCTCCTGCATGCAAAGAAACCGTCCATGGAATGAGAATTTAGCTTAAATCAATTATGAGGCATAACATAGGTTATTATCCTAATAATAATTTTCAGATTATCTTAAAATCTTATGAAACAAGTAGAATTTCATGTTATAAGTTTCCAAGAGGTTAGATAGTTAAAGAAACTCTGAAAATGAACATGGGCTTGAAAAATAATGCTAATTATTCTGAAAGAAGTCACTCTCCCTCAAGTCCTGACTCTTCTCCTTAATATTACTAAGGTTGATTTTATGTAATGCTGATACCAAATATTTACATATGATTTCCTTTATCGTTGTTCTGGTTTTATACAAAAACTTTAGCTTAAGAAAAATCCAAACTATCAGTAACTTCAAACCTCCTTCGGTATAGAAGCCAATAATGATGATAAAAGCAACCATCCAGCTTCTTTTTCCACAGTGGCTGCAACTGGGTTGCGACTATGTTCTGTCAGCATTTTCTTTGAAACCCCAAACACTAATCTTGGAAGCCTGGTTATAGCACATTATAATTAATTAGTACAGCAAATAAAGCAAACATTAAATCAATAAATGATGGTCCATGGGTCATTGTATATTAGTGTGCACTATGAAACATGTCTATTGTGTTTAACAGTATTAGACTCAGTTAGTTACAACGATTTATAGCAACCAGCTTATATCTAATCTAATTTTACAAACACACACACAATGAGAGGTGCAAAATTTTATGACTAACCCCCAAATTAATCCTCCTGATTGTATGAGTCAATCAATTTAGTTCTTGAGAGTTTAAAAACCTTCCACTAGTCCCTGAGATTTAAGAAAAAAAAATTATACTTTTACTCATCCTGACTTACAAAACACAATTCACCTTTGTCCATTTTGATGCAAAACAAAGGTGAAAAATAACCGAAATGAAATGACCTTTTATAAAGTCTGAGTCTATCAGAGATTTTTAAAATTCTCAGGGACTAAAATTCACAACCATGCAATCTTGAGGATTAATCCAAAGCTTTACTCAATTTTATATGTTCTGGTCGAATGGTCAATTTATCCCTCTCACTCAATGTACCAATATGTATAGTTGTTATACTTCTAATAGATAATTAATCTAGCGGTAATAGACTGGCTGACTGTTATGTAACTGATTAGCAGTCGTTACTAACTCTAAGGGACTGGTTGCAGTCTACTGACACAGAAACTTTAATCCATGTCAGAATTGGATAACCCTAGATTCCGTTTGATGGAAGACAACAACAAACTGACATTTATATCAAGTATCATATGGCCAACATTTAAACTTCAAAGCATTTGACTCTTCATCATCCAAATAAATTAGGTGTTAATCAACCTCTGTTCCATCATAAGACATGCATATAAATTACAACTAAGGCAAAGACTGAGCACTTCCAAATTCAGGGCTCATACACAAATATTTACATAGGGAAACACAATTCATAAATTTGGTGTAGAAAGAAACGTAACTTAATCTAAAAAATAATAAATAAATAAAATATAACAATAATTAATGAGGGAAGGAAGATAGCTTACCTGGCTGGGTAACCAAGAGGTAATTTTGGCGAAATAGAGACTAAAGCTGCCAAGACAGTAGCCTGCCCATGGAAGGAATCAAGCTCAAACTGTAAATTGCTTCCCTGCAAATAAGGCATCAAAATATCAATTCATAAAATGAAAATTTAAAAGAGAACCACTGGTTGAAGATGGATTTTTTCATTACCTCTCCACAAGTAAAACAACATAAAATATTTTACGTACAATACATACAAACCGTTATCATAGAATGCTATTCATGTTTCTAAATAATTTACTTGACAAAACCCATGTAGTACTAACAAAAACTGCATTCCACTTCACATAAATTGCATGCTGCCACCTTCATCAAAACCTTTACGATGTACGGGCAAACAAAATTTTAACAACAACTTGAAACTAAGACATGTTCGTAACACGTGCCAAAAGAAAGATGTATTGACTTGGAACATATCAGTTGAAAAGACACCACTTCAAATAACTAGTACATAGCGGACATTGAAATTAATATTTTCTAATTTGTGCCCATGGGCGTACTTTAAGTAGCACTAAATATACTATTAAATGCTTCTGATTACTTAAAAAAGGAATCTGTTGAAGAAATAAATTTCTCCTTTTGGCCCCTAAAATGTGTCCACAGCACACATTAACATTGGAAAAACTGATTAGATTAAATTAAACTATTACAATAACAGATGATATTCAAAACCAATTTTTGTTTGAATAAATTTTAAAAAGTTGTTTCAAAATAATTAATTTTGTTTGGCTGCAACAAAAAATCAAATTTTAGTTAGTATTAGTAAAAGTGTGAAAACAACTGATAGAAAGAGTTGAAATATAATCATAAGCTACAATTTTTTTTATTACCAAAAGTAGCTTATTTTTCTGTAAAAAAAGTCTTTTCTTGTAAATTTCAGTCAGATTCCAAAAAACATCTAGCATTTTTTATAAACAACATAAAAAAGAACAGCTGCAAAATACACTTTTATCCAAACATACAATTATTAATGTAGTGATTGACAGATGCAAATGCAACATAAGAGAGATTGAGAAAAATAGTAATGACTACAGAAAAAATAGTGCAAGGTAACATAAGAGAGATTTAAACAGCTTCAATAATTCCAATTCAAAAGAAGGGGCCGCAATATAAAGAACAATATTTTGGGTGACTTGATATTTTAACTACATAATCTATTACTAATAAAATCCTACATAATTGGAACATATACAGCATAAAAATCTGAGCTATATTTTATTGATGTTTGTGAAAAACGATCTAATCAATTAGCAGCTAGGTCTAAAATGTTAGATGTATCCTGTCAAAACAGCTTATTCGGTCAATATATAGCAGGCATTGAGGGAGAACCAACTACTTAAGATAAAATAAAAGAGAGATAGTAGTTTTTAGAGGGCTTAATCACCCCTCTAATATGATATCTTATTTATAATGATAAGAACATATACACTAAGTAGATGGAAGCTCAAGGGGCAGAATTGTGAGCTAGAAGCCATAGGTACAAAGATAGGTACAACTAATTAATAATTCCAACACTCCCACTCAAGCTGGAGCATACAGATTGTATGTATCAAGTTTGGAACAAATGAACTCAATCCAATGACCCCTTAATGATTTTATTAACATATCTGCAAGTTGGTCATTAGATCTAATAAACTCAGTACAAATTTCCTTAGCCACCAACTTTTCCCGAACAAAATGACAGTCAATCTCAATGTGTTTTGCTCTCTCATGGAATGCTGGGATAGAGACATTGTGAAGTGCAACTTGATTATCACAATATATTTTCATAGTCTGGATCTCACAAAATTTAAGCTCTTGAAGGAATTGTTTCACTCATACAAGTTCGCAAATAAGAGATGTCATTGCCCTATATTCAACTTTGGCATCGGGCCACAATATTTTGTTTCTTACTTTTCTAAGAAATAATATTTCCTCCAAGGAAAACACAATATCCTGCAATAAAGCGCCTGTCAGAAGGGGAATCAGCCCAATCAACATCACAATATCCAAATATTTGAGTGTTGTTTTTATCTTCATATAACAAGCCTTATCCTGGAGCCTTTTTCAGATACATCACGATAGGATGATGGCATTCCAATGGTCAATGCAAGGAGTCTGCATGAACTAGCGAACAACACCAACTGCAGAAGACACATTAGACCTAGAAATGGTAAGATAGCTAAGTTTTCCAACCAATCTTCTATATCTTTCTGGATCAGAAAGCGATTAACCTTGTTCAGTCATTAATTTTTTATTTTGGATCCATAGGACTGTTGGTCTAATCATAATGGTCTCTCTTAGAATATCTAGAGGATATTTCCTTTGAGATATTACAATACCTTCTCTTGACTGAGTTACTTCTAACAACATCACTCCTAGTAATAACTATATCATCAACATATACTATTATGTAAACACATTTATCAAGAGACATGACAGTGAAGAACAAAATTATCTACTTCACTTCATTTCAACCCAAAAATTTGAATAATGTGGCTAAATTTTTCAAATCAAGCTCGTGGAGATTGTTTAAGACCAAAGAGAGAGCGACTTAAATTACAAACCAAGTCTGACTCCCGCTGAGCAACAAATCTAGGAGGTTTCTCTATACAGATCTTTTCCTCTAGATTGTCATGAAGAAATGCATTTTTAATATCCAATTGATGAAGTGGCCAATGATGAATAGGTGCCATAGTAAAAAATAAATGAATAGTAATCATTTTGGCCACTAGAGAAAAAGTATCACTATAATCAAGGCCATAAATTGGAGTGTATCTTATAACAACTAAGCAGGTCTTGAGATGATCGACTTCACCATTTGATCAAATTTTAATAGTATAAACCCAACGACATCCCGCGGTTTTCTTTCCAAATGGAACGGGTACCAAATCTCATGTGTGATTCTAGTCAAGAGCCTGCATTTCAATAATCATGGCTTGGCACCATCCTGGGCGATCAAGTACTTTATTCACATTTTTTGGAATAGTAATAGAAGACACTGATGATATAAAAGAACAATAGGAAGGAGACATGGGATAGTTAAGAAAATTATAAATGGAATTAGGGTTACAAGTAGAACGATTACCTTTTCTGATGACAATGGGTAGGGAATCATCAAGTTGAGGAACCGTGATATGAGAAGATGGAGAAGGACCGGAAGAAGAGGTCTCACTTTGGAGCATTGCACGAGTAGTTTGGTTCCAACAATGGTAAGTAAAAAGCGGAGGTGGTGTCGATCCAGGGGAATTAATGATAGGACCAGGATCATTTGAGACACGAGGGACAATTGACTCAACTAATAGAATATGTAGAATCTCCTGGATAGAAGTAACATCTTGAACAGACAAAGGGAAAAAAGGAGTTTGTTCAAAGAAGGTGACACTGGCAAACATGTAATATTTCTTTAGGAAGGTAACATCGATATCCTTTTTGAAAGCGATTATAGCCTAAGAAGACACATTTGATAGCTCGGGCAAAAAGTTTATCTATTTCTAGGGATAAATTATGAACAAAACATATATAACCAAACACACGAGGAGATATAAAAAAAGGTTCTTTGAGAAAGAGAATAGAATAAGAAATCATATTATTGAGAGAAGAGGATGACATTCTATTAATAAGAAAACAAGTAGTTAGAACAGTATCACCCCAATGATCAGCCGATAGATTGGCACCATGGGCAGTCTCAATCAAGTGTTTATTTTTCCTTTCAACAATACCATTTTGTTAAGGAGTGTGAGGACATGTGAACTAGTGTAGAATGTCATACGAATTTAGAACAACAAAGAAATGAGAGGAGAAATACTCTTTGGCATTGTCACTTCTTAAAATTTTAATTACTTAACCAAATTGATTTTTTATTTCATTCAAGAAGGACACAAAGATAGGTAACAATTCTGAACGATCTTTTATGAGATAAATCCATGTACATCTGGAATATTCATCAATGAAAATAACAAAATATCTGAAACCAAAAGATGAGGCACGGCTAGGCCCCCCAATATCAAAATGAATAATACAAAAGACAAAATAACATCTTGACTTAGATTTCTTTGGAAAAGATGATGTAACATGTTTGCCTAATTGACATGACTCACATTCCAACATATGGAGACTACTATGTTCAGGAACTATTTTTTTTTTTTTAAGTTTGACAGGTTGGGATGACCCAAACGATCATGTAATAGTTTGGGGTTTTGAGATGCAAAACAAGACATTGGTGGCCTAGCTCCAAAATAGTATAAACCTCTAGATTCATGTCATTCTTCAATCAATCGCTCCGTACCACATTCCTGTGTAACAAAAGAATTGGCATCAAAGGTTATTGAACAATTTAAAAACTTGGTTTATTGGCTTAATGAAACAAGATTAAAAGGACAAATGAAACAAATTTTAAATTTAAAAAAGGTGAAAGAGAAACTTGACCCACTCCTTTGAAGGGAGCTTTAGAACCATTGGTTAAGGTAATGGAATGAGGATTCTTGGGAAAGAAAAGGGATGAAAACAATGATGCATTACCAAAAATGTGGTTAGAAGCACGTAAATCGATTATCCATGGATTTTTATTTTCCACAAATTGTAAAATGCAAACTATTGATGGATTGGAACTTGATGCTTCTGCTAAGTTATTGTATTTCAACCTAAGATATTCTTGATACTCTTCATCAGAGAACTTGGGCTCAACAACTTCAGCCTTAGTGAGATTGATGGTCTTATTAGAAAATTATCACGGTCTTATTAGAAAAACCATGTAATGTTAAACAATTCTCTTGAACGTGACCCATCCTCTTACCGTGCGCACATTGAGGGCACCCTCGGCCACTCCTTCCTCCTCTAACATTACATCCTCCTTTGTCACGTGTAGAATCATGACAGAAGATTATATATCCTCTTTGAGGTTCTTATTTTTACATGAAGGAACCCGAAGAAGTCTTGTAGTCAAACTTTCCATGGATGGAACTTCATGACATGTTAATAGTTGATCTCTAACATGTTCAAAATCTGGATGTATGGCACGAAGAATCATAACCATATAGAATTTATCTAGTTTCTTCTGAAGACTCATCCTCCAAGAACATCTTTAGTTCTTTAACAGCAGGTTGAGCTTCACTCATGAAAGTCATCATATCATAGTCTGATTGTTTGATAAATAAGTCTATTGGTAGAATCATAAAGGCGCTGAATATTATTTGCGAAAATATTCTGAGCCTTTTTTCAAAAGGAATGACATGTTTTAAATGCTCTAAGAGTTCCCAACAGCTTTGGTTCCACAGATTGTCACAATAAGGCACAAAGCTAAAATTCAGTCTGCTTCCATTTTTCGGCTTTATCAACTGGTACCTTACCCCCATCTTGTACAAGGTGATCATGGAGACCATGGCCAAGGAACCATAGTTCAATTGAGGAAGACCAAGATAGATAATTTTTTCTATTCAACTTTTCAACGGTAATTGAAGGAGTTCCTGAGAAGGATAACACAAGTATAGAGGAAATTTTTTATAATATCAACTTGCAGCTTTAGGTTTAACTTTTGAAACCTAGAAACAAATCTTCAAGTAAACTAGAAAGAAGGACCCAATGATCGGAACAGGGACAGGGAGGTCCGGCAACAAACGATGACCGGCGACGAAGGACGGTGGCGGCGAACTATGGCGGCTGGCAACGGACAATGGGCGGAGGACGACGGACAATGGCGGACGATGGCCGGAGGACTGCAACGGCCGGAGGACGGCAACGACCGGCGGCAGATGGTGGCTAGAGGACTATAGACCAGCAGCACGGGATTAACCCGCTCTGACACCAACTTAAGATAAAATAAAAGAGAGAAAATAGTTTTTAGAGCGCTTAATCACACCTCTAACATGATATCTTATTTATAATGATAAGAACATATACACCGAGTAGATGGAAGGTCAAGAGACAGAATTGTGAGCTAGAAGACAGAGATACAGAGATAGGTACAACTAATTAATAATTCCAACACAACTCTTTCACCATGAATTCCCACTATTTCTCCTAGATGAAGAACTAGTGAGAATACCAAATCAAAAAGAATTTGCATAATGAAACAAAGGGAAGTAGACTGTGAGTATGATGGAATAAGTTTCTCCATAAACACTCACACAAGAAGAAAAATAAAATTAAGTTACACCATAAACTAAAATTAACTAATAAAAGTTGTTAGTGTGTAAGTTAATTTGTAGAGGTCCTCTTATTTTATCTTCCTCAAACACTTATTTTTAACTTAAGCTAATTTTAGCTAATGGAAATTTTTATTTCATTTTTCTTATTGTTTCCTCCTATAAATTCTTATGAAAAAGTTTATCCAAACAGAATCTTTATCAATTAAAAACCGACTCCAGTAAGCTACCTAACTAAATTTAGTTATCAGGACATGTTTGCCTGTCTTTTTATGTATCACATTTCTGCATCAACTATGGAGGTTCTCATCCTCTACCATTGCACTCATTTCATATTACCTTTAGTAAAACCTGTTTTATGCCAATTATAAAACATGCAATAAAATATAGATTATCATAAGTGGACAAACTTTACCTTTTCAAAAGAAACACTCTCTCTTAAAGCAGTAAGATTGGTCACCCCATATGAAGTTAAACCACCAACACATGTGGGATCAACCTCAGCCAATGCACGTAATGCCAAAGCTGCCTCAATCCGAACCTAACAATTTGCATATGTAAAACAGATATGACAGAGACAAGAAATAAAAGTCAGAATAAAAGAACTATGTTGTTATTCCATATTTATCACAAACAAGATTAGAAGCAAAAGGTTTGTGAATTAGATAAAGCCATGCTGTGGGTAATTATACTCTACTAGCATGCATGCTTGTAACTCCAACTGCTAAATTATTACCAACAGTCAAGGAGATAGTCATCTCAATATAATTTTTATCATGTAGGGTTAAAATTCACAGTTAGATACACACCTAGTATATTGATTTTATTTATATCTATTATATACAGAGAATATACACAATAAATATCATAAATTAAACAATTAGTCAAAGAATAAATTATATCCCTATAAAATATGCTTTCATGAGCTCACCAGTTTTGAAGAATGTGACACTGCTGCAACTACAGTGTTGTCAAGAATTTCCTTAAATTCAAATGGAACCTGCACAAGGAATAATTAAAATAAGCACACCTTAAGACATCCCAGTCCCTCATAGTCCCTGGTTAAAAGAATCTAGATTTCATTACCTAATTGAAACATAAGCAGTTATGCCTTACCTCTCCCAGTGTCTTCAGAGTATAAGACAGTGTTCGCAAGGCTGCCACTTTCATGGAGGGACCTGCCTCAGATGATTGGAGCTATAATTTGCCAAAAAGTGGGAAAAGAAATGTAGGAAAAGGAGTTAAGATTTCAGTACACATCATTAAGTTGAATACTAAACTTGAAAGCTTGCGGCAACTACTCATTTAATTTAAATAAATTTTACCTGCTTTCCTAAAAAAACCAAAAAGCTCCTTTGAGTAGGTTCAGTCATTTGATTGGTTACTGCAATACGAAGGACATACAGAACACATGCCTGCAACAAGGATAAAAAAATCCTCTAAGCAGTTTACAATGTTGAAAATATTACAACCCTGAACCTAGTTTATATGAAAGAAGCAAATGGCTAATTCACAAACCAGTAGCGTCATAGACAACCCAAATTTGAAATCAATTGAAAGATGCATCACAACTGAGGCAAGAAAAAGTATTTTGTGATCTCAATCACAATGCATTCAAGAAAATCACGGGCTGAAAATTCTTGCAGTTTTTTCTTCAACCAAATGAACAATGTGTGCAGAAAGAGAACAAATGCATATTACCCTATTTTCTTGTCTCAAACTCATGACACAGGTAGCAGATTTTACAAGTCCTCATAAATAGTTTTCGCAAGTGTATTCTTATCTTCTTTTGAGATGAGGGAAACCAATAAGACATGATAAATTCTGTGTGTTTAGAGCACAACGGAGCTATTCAATTTCCCCATTTTAAGCTAATAACATATATATAGAATCAATCCAATTGATCTTAATATCATCATTTAAACTTAATAACATATCTCTAGGATTCTATCATCTTCATTCAATCACAGACAAAATTGACAATAGTTCAAAAATTATAAGCTAGGAGGTCTTGTTATTAGAAGGAAGCCACTATTTTAGTGTTTTTACATGAATTTCTTCATTTCAAATGTTCTACAGCAGATGGCATCCAAATTTCAGTCAATTTTGAATTCGACAAGAATTTGAATGGCAAGTATATCCATTTTAAAGATTTTGTGTGTATGCTAATGAAATATATATGTTTCAATTTAACTGAATCAACCTTTTATCCATTCTCTTTCAATCCAAGACATTTGACAGGATCTCTAATTTCTAAAGAAAATTTAAATTTATTTTATCAAGGTTAATGAACTTTACTGCTTTTCAGTTCTGTTTCTTACTCCAGCTTTGATAAAATCAGAAGAATGGACAATTAGGATTTTAAGTGCAATGAATTCTGCAAAGAATCTGTTTATTATAGTTTTTTGTCCCTTTGTGGTGGCAAATCTAACCTGTAGCTTGACGTCAGCCAGTAGTAGACTTTGATCATTGGGTCAAATAATATATTATTAATAAATAATAAATAAATATAAAAAGGTAAAAAAAGATGAAAAGGTGAGAGGATAAAAATGTAAATATATAAGTAAATATATTAAATGACTATTAATATTGAGGGGGACCAAAATCATAAATTATATGAGAGTTACAAAACTAAGGAGAGAATGAGAGGATAAAATTGTAAATATATAAATAAATATATTAAATAATCATTAAGTTTGGAGGGTAAAAATCATAAATAAAATGGGATTTACAAAACTTTGTGGAAACCGTAACCCCTCTCTGTTCCCAAGAAGATCCGCCACTGACATAAGCTATCAAGCTTTAATCCATTGTTTGGTAGAGAGGAAAGAAATAGAGATAGAAGAAATTAGTAGAAGAGAAAAAAAAAATTAAAGTGGAATGGGATGGAAACAGAGATTCTTTAGGTTTGAGGAGCAGAAAAAATTTTAGCAAACTCATAAGGAAACTTCCTTCAACTATCTTCTCTATCAGTCTATTGTGTACAAGTACAACAACCAAGACTATTCCACCAGGTGGGAAACTTTAGGTACATGGTGACTGTCTGTACTTTTTACCACTAACAATGAGCAACCTTAGTGACATAGATTTTGAGTGTTCCTTATTTTCTTTTAATTAAACCGAATACCCCATCTCTGTGCTCTTCTCTCTGCTTCCATTGACAATTTCTTAACAAATAGATTTCCAAACACAAGTTCATGTGAAATTATATACGATGCCCAAGGAGAAGAGGTAGACTATAAAACATCATTGGTGGTACACTATTTAGAAGGATATGGGTATATGGGCCTTCATGAATATGTTCCTATTGCTCTTCTATATTTTCTTCAGGGAAAAATTTCTGTCCGATCAATGTTATCAGACAAAGCTATACATTGTACCTCATTATGGTGCTCCGATGGCTTATTTAGAGCAGTGTCTCTACCCATCAAAATTGGTGAGCCTAGGTTTTGCTCATGTAGTTCATGAGTGTGAGTGTGTGTGTGTGTGTGTGTTAAATTAAGACATTTCTGGAAATGTACGTCCTTATTTTGATGAGGGTGAACCTTGGTGCCATGGTAAGGTTGGCAAAGAAACAGCCACCAACAGGGATAAAGATGCATACATCTAACCTTCTCCAAACCCACTGTGGTTGGAGCCCTGTGCCCGGAACCACCATTGTGATAATATAGATTAAATGTACTAAAAAGATATTTCCTTACAAAGAAAGGCCCCATTTGAACAGGCAGATTCAATAGGTACTGGTTCAAGTAGAGCTTGTTAATAAGATTTACTTTCACAAGAGCAGATTAAAATAAGCCAAATAGCCTTTTGGATACATTTGGAGAAATGCTTATGCAGAAATGAACTTTTGACACTTTATCTAGGTTAATTTAGACAGAAAACTACTATTAGAAGAAACACCCTAAGACAATTAAGCTTAGTCAAAGGTTTATTTGATAAGCTTCAGTTTGTAGCTTATGAATATAAGCTCAAATAGCTCATACTGTTTGTATTAGCTATTTGATAAACCACTCCAAAAAGGACCAAAATGTTTCATACTTGCTTAATACAATAGATAAGCTGAAATAAGTTAAAATAATTCCTCGAAAGTCCAAACAGGGCCTAATTGACTAAATATAAAATAAACAGTGTAAATTAAATTTAAAAAGGGTTGTGCACTATTTTCTTTCTCCTCTCCTATTTGCACCAGTCTATCTTAATGATTGCACGTACAAAAAACTGAAATCAAAAGGTCAACTTAAAATACATAGAAAATACCAAGGCATGGGCGTCAACAGAAGTTTCAGCACTGAGCATTTCCATAACTTGCAATGCAAAATTTTGAAGCTCACTATCAGGAAGCAGATATTTTATGCGCATGACCTGAAAAATGACATTACCAGAGAATAGTATTCACAATCAGAACAAGTATATGCATTTCAAATTTCTTCTTAACAGATAATTTTGGTAGCATCTACCAAACTAATAAAAGGGACAATCTACATATACACAAAAATATATAAATAAAATATCAATACAGAAAATCAAAACTTTTTCACAGTCATATCATATGAACAACCAGATCACATAAAAGTGGGTACAAAGTGACTTTTTCAATTCATATTCCATTTGCCTCCCAAACTTAATGTGTACAAAGTGACTTGAAATGAAGTGTCTGGATAAAAGCACTGCTCATCAGAGAGAGAGAAAAAAAAATTCTTTAAAAAGTAGTTATCATACCTATATTATAGAAAAGGATGAAAAGCAGCCAGTGTTCCAAACAAGAGAAATATAGTAAACCAAATTTGAGAAAAAATACAGTAAATGACAATGTTTCATTGAAGTAAATGAAGTTATTAATGGCCAAACCCAAAATACAGCAGAATAAGGACGAGTGTCCCCCTTGATAAAACAGAAAACAATATAGGTTCTATGTTGTCACAAAATAACCAATCTACAAATATCTACAAGAATGCCTTCAGATAAACTGTAAGCTAAACATTTATCAGAGAAATGTAATTCACCTGTAAGAAGAATACCCATGCTAATGTTAACCCAACCCGAACATTCCTAGACTTCACTCCACTAACTGAAACAGAAATAAAAAATTCATTACATGCCCACAAAGAATGTGCAGTATAAATGGAAGCCTTAACAAGAAACTGAGACAGTTGTAAATTTGTAATTTTTAGATGAATTTGGTGTAGTATCGAAACAATACATGAACTCCATTCTATACTTTGGGTTTATAACTTTCTATTAATAGTAATGTATCCCAATCAAAAGGCTACAATGTGCAGGGTATAAATTTAACCAGCATATATAAAGAAAAATAATACCCAGTTGAAACACAGAAAATGTTGGAAAACAAAAATAAAACAATCTGCAGCCCAGTTTTGAAAAAAAATTGTATTCATATTGAACAGAAGTTTTTACTGATAACCAACATTAAATGCGATATCCATTCACCCCCTCCGTGCAGACTATCAATAATCAAAAAGAGCAAGGCCCAATTGGCTGGGCAACAGGCATAATCCATTTTCTGCAATTCCTAGATGGAAGTTCTAAGTATTGTCACCTACCATCCTATAACTCACTTGCAATCATTTATTTGACCTCCAATAATCAAATAGAAATGCCAGCATTCAATGCATTTCATTCAATACTATTAGAAATCAGAGAAATGGAAGAAAATGATATTAGTATGGGAAAATAAGAGAAAGTGAGGGAAAGAGAGAACGGATGTACCGAGATGTAGATCTAAAAATGGGAAAATGTATATTCTATTAACTTTTCTGTACAAGCTTCAGCAATATAGTCAGACAATAAGCCGCACAAAAAAAAAAATTAAACAAACTGTAAAGTACTGTAGAAACTATAGAGGAGTTAGCTTTCAAAGAACTCTAACACCAGAGAGAATCTGTAGCAGTAATACAGTAGCAAACTTAACAATGATCTGCCAATCACTCTAACAACTACAGCAGCCTAAGTAACAACAAAAAAAAATCATCACCTCCATACTAATAGTAATCCGAAACAAAAAATATGGTATATAGAACCCCTAATACCACTAGGCGAGTACTTATTGAGGGGGGATGTTGAGAAATATTTGGCCCAGAATTTTATGGCCTAAAGGTTACTTTAAAGTTAAAGCAAAAAATAAAAATTTAAATAAAGTAAAAGTTATTTGGAAGTTTTAGCTTAAAAGTCCCATTTAAACTAAACAATATGTTTCACTTCTCCCACCAATTAGATCAGGATGAGATGGTGAAGGCTAACATATACAGTATTTTTTATATATGTTAGAACTGAACACATGTCAAGAAGTTTAAATCAACTGACGTTCAACCAAGTAAGCTACATCCCCTAGACGTATGCAGCATTTTTTTTACAAACTACTATGTTAGTTTTTTTTTTATTATTCAAAAGCTACAGTTCCCATTTTTCTTTTATAAAGATTATGATTGTTCATTTTTCAAGAGAATTTCTCCATGAGTGTTTGGCTTAGGTTCAAGCACATCTAGAAAAGGTTAAGCCAACACAAGCTAAAAATAAGGGAATTTTTGTATCATCATGACAAACAAAAACACAGTGATCCAAACAGAGCATCAAACCTTTTGTGAAGGCCAAAATCAAATGCTTCTGCAATCCACCTTCTAATTTTGTTCCTTGATGTAAAGGACCCTTTCCCCTTGGTTGAACCTAGAAAAATTTTGGGGTAAAAATTATGATTGATGCAAAACCAAGGAAAAATCAGAGAAAAACAGTAATAGAGACCTGTGCTTCAGGATTCATTCCAAGAGCAAGCAAGGAACCCAAAGTTTCAGCAAAGGCATCCCGTACAGATGAAACAGGATCGTCAAGTGCCTATGAGAAGTAGCAGTGACACAGAAATGTATAGAATACTATGATTTTGCACCAAACTATTGGCATATTTATAGGTGAAAGAGACAAAATTGATACAAAAATACCTGCCTTGACACAGTAAGAGGCTGAATTGTCGAGTTCTGTGACACCCAGGCCTGGACCTCCAATGCTAGCAAATGCCTTCAAACATCTTGCAGCAGCTATTCTCACACCAAACGACTTATCTGCAGTGGCCGATCTCATTATGAGACGGAATGCCTCTGAATATGCTGTTGAAGCAGCACTACCACCAGAGCCTTCTAAGGCATTCCGAACCATATATAATGCTTCCTGTCTAACAAACTCCTGATGTTTGATACATAGAAAACTCATTAGAAGACACCCATATTTTATTTTTTTAGTTTTTCTCCCTTTTTTCATTTTCTTAATCTTACTCAGCAACTCTAGTACAATATCATAAACAGATGTGATCTAGTAAATTTAACTAGTTTGATAAAGTCTTCTGGTGATGTTGAACACATTTCTTGCAACCTCAGGCCAAAACTTTTAATGGTCACCATCCAATAAAATTGTGTCTACTCAACAGTTGTTTACAGATATCAAAACATTTTTAAAGTAAATCAAATAACAAACTTTCAATGTAAATAGGGACAAAAAAAAGAATCAAAAGGAAATAGTAAGTAAAGGTACTGCTAGGAAATAGTAAGCATAAACCAACATCAAGAAATATAATTTTTTTCTCTGTGATATACATACAACCATTCAGTTATTGGTAATTTAACATATAAACGTAAAAGTTGTAAGGATATACCTCATTGACTTTCATAAGTTTAGTTGCTATGATTGTTGTTTCAAGTAAACCTGACGTGATTCTTCTGCCAAAGTGCTTGTACAGTTCTCCCAAGCATTGTAAAACACCTATAACATTATGTTCAGAAAATTTGGAAAAGTAAAAACAAAAGAAAAGTGACAGAATCTGAATAATTAAATGCAAGAATCAAGAAGAAAACAAATACACTCCAGAAAAAACAGCAACACAAAATTCAATACAAATATGATGTGTAAGAGTCAAGTGATGTGATGCCAAAAACAATCAAAAGGACATTTACAAATAAAAGTTGCCACGTATGCTTGGTTCATTTCATGGAATTACAGACACAAAAAAACTCTCCTTTTACTTAGGGAAATTGTAAGGTTCAGGCCTTTTGCCTTAATGACAATAGTTTAAATATTGTTCGCTCTAGAGAATACACTTATCATCCTTCTTATTAGTACTTCCTCCTGCCTCTCAATAATATTTTGTTGACTAAAAAGAATATACATTTAGAGTATATCTCCCAAGTTACAATCCAGATTGGGAAGATCCAGCATAAATCCAGAATAAAAACATGGATTTCCTTATTTTATTCTGCAAAGAGTTGCTACATTTCATATTTTTTCTTTATTTTAAAATTGCTCTGCGACCTAGTTAGGGGTGTGGGAAAAGACTAGTACATGTGAGCATTGTTCTTCCTTGTGATCCTTATTTTCATCTATTTTTGGAAGTGTCGCATCTTCCTCATAACTTTATTCTTTCTCTTTAATTTCCAACAGTTTATCATGACTTGTTATAAAGCTTCTATTAACAACAAAGATGCCCATTTTTTCAACTTAATGAATTCCTTATTTTATCAACAACAAAAAACAAAGAAAATAGGCCATAACTTTATGTTAGTGTAGTTGGTTGAGTGTCTCCTTGCACCAACATTTGCTTTCAAATATAATAGTATTTATGGATTCTCTCTAATGCTATTTTTATAGCTTCTCTAAAATAAGGTTGGTTATCTTTGCAATGTATGGGGGACTAATTTCTGTTGGAACAACGTTTTGAAGTTCATGGTGTTGGAGATCCCATATAGATATGGCAAAATTAAAGAATATAATTGGGTGCAATCCTCATCTTACAAGTTGGTTTTGTAAAGTTAAGTTAAACATAAAACCTACGTTCTAAGATGTTATCAGACTATATCTTAACAAGGTTTGTTAAGCATATCGTGTCACTCACTATCGGACAACGCAAAATATCAAATTTCACGCTCAATACGTCAGTCCTCAACATGAAGGGTTTGTTGGAGATCTTACATTTACTAGAGATATGACCAATTTTAATATATATAAGTGGATAAAAACCTCATCTTATAAGCCGGTTTTTGATGGTGAGTTAGAAGGGTTGTAATAAAAAAAATGACATAATAATTTTGAGGCAATGTATAAGTTATACAACCCTTTAATTCGTAAGTTAAGTGCAATTTTAGAATCCTTATCAGTGTGTCTTTTCCCCTAAACTTGTTATGGAATAGACTTATGCTTATCGCTTCTTTTTTAGGTTTGTGCTCATGACGGTTTCAAAGGACACAACAATTTAACTATGCAAGTTTTATAGTATGATGATTATAAGTATATTTGCGTTCAGGGAGAAGAAAAATAACATAATAATAGAGACAAACTCATCAACCTTCAGATAAGAATCTTCTACACCTCAAAACTTGGAAGAATCGATTACAAGCACTAGAACAATTCAATATCTAACTAAACTTCAAGAAATCTTTAATCTAGACAAACCAGCAATTTTCTGAGGTTCAATCCTCTTCCCATCTGAAAGAAATCCCTGAAGGCTGCTTGCTCTAGAGTAAATTGATATTGCATCTCCCTTAGATATGACCTTTGCCATCGCTACCGATGCCAAGTGACGCACAGGGCGTCGTGCACCAAAAACAAGTAGGGAATATAAAGCATCCTCACATCTCCTTTGCCACAACAAAATATTTTCCTGGAAACCATATTCTACAACATTAGACTTTGAGAATCACCGTTGATAGAGTTTCAGGAAATCAGGTTAAACAAAAGTGCCAAAAATCAAAAGAATGATGACATTAAACCTCACTATAATTACAGAGCTCCAGTTTATAAACAAAAGCCCGTTCTGAAAGGAAATAAGAGTCTTATCTTAGTCATATTCTTATTCTTAGCTTGCTCTCAGTGAAGTTCAGCAGCAAGCATTGAATTTGAAAACATATCTTAGTCAGCTCATCACACCATGATAGCGTGAGAAGAAAATAACAAAAACAAAAACGGTTTATCCGAACTTACGCATGCAAATGTCAGTTCCTCTAAATTCTGACTCTCAATCTTAATTTACTAATGAGAAAAAAAAAACGTGAATGAATTCAAATAACGAGAGGAACACTAGTGAATCAGCGGCGTTCTAAATCAAATCAAATATCGAACGAATGAAATAATGCGGAAAAACGAATTAGCAAAGAAAAAAAAAAACAATCCAGTGCAATGCGATGGAAGCTTGGGACAGATATACCTTGGTGTCCTCGTCGATAGTGGTGATGAGATCGGAGAGGAGATCGAAGCAGAGGAGTGGCTGAGGAGATTTGTGAACGGCGGAGGCCACTATAGATTCGAGTTGCGCAACCAGCACACCGAAATGTGACAGCGGCGCCGCCGCCGCCGCCGCCATGTAATTCTTCGCCATGTAAATCCAATTTCTCTTCTTCGCTGCAATGCAGAGTGTGTAGCTGGAATGGATTGATTTGATGATCGTTTGGGGACTTAGTCTGGATCAGGCAAAATGGTGTGGAAATGGTGTAATAAATTACAAATATCAGATTTGCAGATTTTCTT